CATCAATCAGTCAGTTCTGTTCAAAACAACAGTCAGGTGAATAAATCTCAAAGCGCAACAACAGCGGGCAAAAATACACAAGGAATTTGTAAAGCTTCATCTACCAAAAGTGTCACTCCAATAATTACCCAGGTTTCGTATGGTTTAAGTGCTAACTCTAAAGCTGGAGGTTTCCTTCTTCCAAAGAAATCTGCAACAGCGCTCGTAATCAATCAGGGGCGTCCTATTTACGTTGATGCGACCAACTCGATCATTGACGAAGGATGGAGATTAGGGAACGTTGGTCAGCGGTTTTTAAATGTAGGAAACACGGTTTCAGGTCTTAATTCAAATATTTCCGGAAATGTTACAATATCACAGCCAGTCTCTCTAGGTAGTAGTGTGAGTCAAAACGAAGTACGCCAGATGAACAGTGGCTTAACTTTAGGTCAGCAGTTATCTAACAGCACAACTTCTTCAACGACTAGTTCATTAACAACGGATCAGCGCCTTGACACTTCGCTTGCGCAATTTTCTGCCTCAAAACTCGACGAGCACCGTATTGTCAATAACATATTAAAACCAGTCAATACTTCTATATTAGGAACTGAAAGAACTGTGATCTCGGGTGGAAAACAGAGTTATATATGTGAAGGCACATCAAACGCTGCTAAGCTGAGGGCGATTACCAAGGGAAGGGTGATTGATGAGCCACGAGAGTTTGTTAAGCCAGGCGTGGTCGCCAAGGCAGGAGAGGCTGCTAAGCCACACGAGGTAATCGAAATAGCAGATTCGCCCCCAAGTTCAGACAGCACTAACTCTAATTGTAACGTGACAACTGATTGTGAAATTAAGGAAACTGAGTGCACGATTGTTGGTGAACCATCAAGTTCCATAGCACAACTTCAGAGTTGTGTGGAGCAACTTCCACCGCTTGCCGGTAAAGCAAACAAAGCAGCAAATGAACTTCAAACGTGCAATCCATCAATAGCCCCGCATTCAACCAATCAGAAAAAAGCAGGAAAAGGAGCGCCGAGGTTAAAGGAGGAAGAGGCGGCGAAGATTCGCAACGAGGCGTTGAGAGATGAACTTGTTAAAAAGATTAATAACACACGCGAGAGATTCGAGCAAGAAGAAATCGAATGGAAGAAGTCTCGGCTGAGTAGACTGAAAATGGTGCTCATGAGGAAACTGGCTAAGCTTTCTGGAAGTGATATTATTGTAGATGACGAATGAAATCCGGCATTTGACCAGAACCTGTATTCCGAGCACTAAAAACATTTTTTTCTAATTTCAAATAAGCCTTCCTGGCCATGTATTTGAGTGAAAATTTCTTTGCGTCCAAACATGCTTTCAATCAAATGGTTTCTCTGGCGTGCAGATGAAACTCTTTTGAAGTGGCCGTATAAATTCAAATTAATTAGCAATTTGTTTTGGCTGAATCCTCGATTTTTTGACCTTCCGGCGTCCGGGGAAAGTTGTTCAACACTGAACCCTTAAGTTGGATGCGCACGTTTGTAGATTCCTCTTATCAGTCCTGATCCATTACGCTGCAAACACCTACTTCAGTGTGCTTTCTATCATTACTGCATAAAATGCGAGAAAAACGGTGTCACAGTTTGTTGAGATTTATTTTGAAAACCCCTGAAAACAACAAAAAATTCAAATGAAAATAAAGCTAATTTACCTGCGTGCAAATCTGAAAAAGGAGTTTATTGGAAAACTCTAATCCCGGGTTAGCTTAACGTATGCGGACGAATCTGCCCTCAACGTCTATCTTTTTGTCGGAAGAAGAAGCCAAAAATTAAAACGAAAGAAAATACCTCTGTTCTGATAGTCAAACTTGCTGTACTAATCACAGTTTGAGTAAAAAACAAAGTTTATACACTCTACTTTCCCTTTTTGGATTTATGGGGATAAAAATACGTTTAAAGTATTTCTAAATCCAGAGCGGAAACTTTGCGGTGTTTTCAGAGCGGTCTATAAGTTTGTTGCATGGTAGGCCTGGTTACATGGCAAACTGTGTGAAATCGACGACGAAAGCGATGTGAATGTTGCGCGCGTAACTTTTAACTCAGACTTAATGCAATTAAGTTGGCAGGTGTTTTCTTTCAGACACCTTCAGTTATGCCCTTTACGACCTAATCACTCTTATGATAAGGGAAAGAAGTTGCTGGTACCAGCTATTACCTGTAACAAACTAGAATTGATACAAAAATGACGTTTTTGTTACAAGTTCAAATCAGACAAAAAAACTAATTACTCCTTCAAATCTACACATAAAACGATATGCTATTTCCCGTCGCTTCAGTTTTTTAGCGGAGAGGTGCGACTGTGTGTCGATCACCTTGACTGTAAAATAAAAAGAGGTGATGCATGAGAAAACCACGCAAGTTACACGAAATTGTCGCGAGGAACCAGTGCTGTACTCAGTTGATATTGAAACAGAGAGACAAACGTAGGAAGCGCGCCAACAAAGAAAGGACAGAATGGAAAATGGAGCTGAGAGGTTAAACGGAGTAATATGTTCGAACAAGTAAAAAAAGAAAAACGAAAACCAAAAAAACTTTCATCTTGACAACATTTGCGGGAAATGTCGTGTAGATAAAAATTTTTTTGACGGTTATGATCAGTGGTTTATTTTTGGCCGTCAAATTGGAGAATCCTGAATTCCAGGACTCATGATCAGTGTCGCAAAGATACTGAAACATCGATTGATGACAACACGACCTCGATCAAATTCCGCGGCCATGGTTACCAAAAAGCTGTTATTTACCGGAGTTGCATCCATGTCAAATTCCAAATATAGACAAATGCGATTACGTGGCTCTTAATAAATGTTCATTGGTTGATCTGACAAGTTCCAATCGGTGTCCACTCATCCATAACCTTGCGAGATTATTAATAATTATTAATAATTCAAATGCTCTAGAAGAGGCATCTTTTACTCCCAAGCTATATTACCTTTTCTTCTAAAAAAGCTAGTATTATGTATATTGAAAAAGGAGAAGCTAGCAAGATGAGAAATTTGAAATTGACGTATTCGGGGTTGAAATTGTCACTGACCAAAAAATTTGCGTTTCTGAAGTGGCCCGCCCACCATGTTTCGTGTCCTTAGAACTAACCTCTAGCGGTCATACTTGCGCAAAATTAAAAATTGCTTTTGCTTGCACACCTCCTCTTTACCAAATGAATATAAAACAGTTTCAATTTGACTCACTTTTATTTTTCGGTCTTTGCCACCCGTTTGAAATGTCGTACTAAGTGCATTTATTCTTATTGGTACATCCATTCTGGAGTTTTGTGCTTTTGTGGTGATCTCTACCTATATGTCTCTGTTAGTAAATAGGAAAGTACTCTATAATTGAAAGTTGGCAGCCGGCCATTATAGCCTGGAGTAATCATGATGTATAATCATGAATGTCTTGCTTGAGAGTATACCTTCATCTCCTAGCTTCATTTACTAGATGCTATGAGACCTACTTGAAAAGCACTTGGCGTAGACTCACGCAAAATGTTTGGTTATAAATGATTTCTTTCTTAAATTAGGTAATGATTTTTCAACATATTCAATTGACTGTCATCCGTGAGGAGAGCACGATAACTCATTTATATGCATACAGAACACGGAGATGTAACTAAACCCCGTAAAACCCTTGTTAGAACTAGAGCATTTAGCGGTGAAAATTCACCACCAATGAAATTTACCTTTTTAGGGACCAGTCATTTTTTTATCGCCTGGGGATGGTGGGGTGGGGTGGGGTGGTGGTGGGAATATTTTAGGGGATCACCTGGTTTTCAGGGGTAATGTAGGGGAATCAGTCATCGCCAACAGAGTATCAAGGGGTGCTATAAAGAAAATGACTGGTGATTAACCCTTTAACCCCTAGAAGTGATTAACATGTAACTTCTCCCTATAATATCCAAACATTATCCAGCAAACAGGTCATGAGAAGACTCAAACTTATCAGGTGGAGGTTGTTATCTTGATCTACCACCAAATTCTCGTAACTTATTTACAAGGAAATGTGTAGCAGCTAGAGGGGAGAATCGACAATCAGATCTTGGGAGTTAAAGGGTTAACTACCAATGAGGAAGGACCGGAACAGTATTACAGAGCCTTATGGGGAATCAGGTAATTATTATCGTGATACAACCAAAATCTTCCGACCCGCCATGCGATACATAATTGCTAGACAGACTGGTCCCCACAAAATTTTACTGTGAACAGACATGTAACGTTATGTTTTGACGCTCCAGTGACCAAACCTGCATTGGCTGTTGAGTTTACTTTTATTCCGGCAGCAGGTAATGAACTGGTGGTGTGTGTTTAATTGATAAGTCATCGTTGAATCGCTGGTGAGTGAACAATTTTTGTCAACACTATAAATGCCAGATGAGTTTAGCCACGGCCGTGAACAGGAAACAATGCTTACGACTATATGTCACCGGAATGGAAGCTAAAGAAGAAATCCAGTTGTAAATGAAGAAACTTATAAAAACTTCAGCGAATATAGTGAAACTGATGCAGCAGGTATGTTTGTCATTAACTTCACTTCACTTTTATCTCATCCTTAAGCCTTTGCTCGAGCAAAAGCGCGCTTAATACAGATATTTTTTTAGTGATTACAGGCGACCAACTATAAGAGCCTTAACAAAATTAAAGGGGACTGATAATTTAAAGCTCTTTATTTTCTCAATGATGTTCTTCATTTCTCTTGTGTGACACTGGTGAATCTCTGCGTTTGGAACATTTGTGATTTCTTGACACTTGTAACAGGTGACTTAAAGGTTTATACTCTCAGCCAATCGACAGGCGTTTCCTAGTTTACGAATGACGTAATCAGCAGGTCAGTGGCTTACGTGGCCTAATCTCAGAAAGCCACTTGAGTGCATTGTTCATCCGTGTACTATTCTGATTTGCTAATACCAGCAGTTCACTTGTTCACATGCTTATTACGTCACTCAACTGCTTAAAAACATCTCAACTCACCAATTTCTTTTTTTTCGGGGAAGAGAGACTTACGATTATAAATTGTTGGCCATATTCCTTGCAGCGAAGAAATTCTCCTCAGGGGACGATGATGTCTCAAAAGTGACACAGGAGTATTCAACTGCAACACCGGACTCAACAAATAGTGACTGCGGCGATGATTTTTTTGTGTTCATACTGATCTACTGATCAACTGTGTGGCTGACAAGTTAAAACGGTAAGATATTATTTCAATCACGATTATTTAAAGACTCTCAACAAAACTTTAGTGTCGCCCCACGCGACGCTGTGAAGAAACCACGGATAAATGTCAATACTGGTGCGATTCTATGTTTCGTGATCGTTCAGATACGCACTGACGAGTCGTTTAATACTCTAATACGTTTTTTTGGTAATTCTTGTCAGGAGTTACTGTTTATTGACAGTAGTTTGGAAAGGCAAGGATGATTTGAGGTAACAGGCAAATTAAACAGTTTCATTCATTAAATTTGAGATAATAAGCTTTTAATGGCGTTCTCCATCATTGTACTAAAATCCCTTAAGAATAGGGCCGGGGCTAACGCCAACTGAGAAAAGGTTAATTATTCCTCCACAATTTGAATTAATCTTGCATTAATTTTCACGTCTCTCGACCATTAAAGCAACTATCTCAGTGTATGAACACACTCACTCATGGACCTGTGACGTGACGTTTTGGTCACCAAAGAAGGCGAATGACACTATTCCTCGATAAAACTGCCATGAGTGTGTTTAATATTCTCGCATTTTTGTGGCGAATCATTTTTATGTTCACTGTCGCAATGTATCTTTTTTTACCGAGTTCAAACAACCAGTTACCTGTTGAACCTGTTAGAGAGATCATAAAAAAAACGCGTGAATATTTTTTTAACTAACTCTATTTTTGAAGGAAATTTTGAAATAAATGTTTGAAGTAGTCTGAAGTTTCTGACAAAACTTACGTGCAAGGATATCATTAACAACCTTTTTGATCAGCTATTGACAGCAGTAAACATGCCACATCAAACGAGGCAAAGGATGAAATGTGGCTTTTTCCTTTTCATTTCCCAAATTGAATTTACTTTTGGAATCAATCAGGCGATTTGAGTGCGTGTAGACGTCATAGACCAACGAAGCACCCTGCAAAAAAAAAAAAAATTCGGTCATCACTGATTCCGTTAGGTTATTGACCGATTATTTCCACAATTGTTATATTGCTTTGCCTCAAACGATAGTTTTTTCCCTCTGGGAACTGTTCTATAATTTATGTAGTAATAATCACATGCTTTTACTGCTTCTTCTAGGTGCCAAAGTTTTGTTAGCGAAAAATCGTTCTGGTGCAAGTGGCATAAGTGTTTTCTGTGAAAACGCCGCTTATATGATAACTCCATATGACATGGATGGTCCACAAAATGACTCTGACAGGTGGAGTTTTTATGGAACAAAGACATTGCAAAATCTTTTGCAGCAATATCTCTCAGAAACTTCAGTATCATCGTATACAGAAATTGCTTCCCATCGGCAAAACGTGAAAGCGAAAGAGCTTGGTAGCATCTTCACCGAAGACGTCCAAGAACATGAGAGTTCTCTCGCTCCTCCTCCACTTCTTCATCGACCCACAAAGCGATCCTTAGAGCAAAGCCAAATGAGTGTTGTATCGCCAGACTCTAAGCACCCAAGACTAGAGAGTTGTTCTGCTTATTTCGACCATCAAAGAGGGGGAGTGCTGCAAGAGCCTTTTGATGTCAGGGAGCAAATGTTCGAGAGGACTCGGTCGCTTGAAAACTCACTGAAGCCAGCATTTCCCCCTCCACCGCTGCTGAAGCAGACAGTAGTGAACACTAATGGACGGAAATCCCAGATAACTACACACTTTAATCATAAAGAAATTTTCCACCATACAACTGCTAAATGGAGCACAATAACGGATAGTGATCAATGTGGGACTACAACAGCTTCTCCGGACGATGCTACAAATAGCAAAAGAGTTCTTGATCATAGACTTCCGATAAAGGACGTAGCCAATGGGAGACATCCATCACCTGAGGGGAACGGAAAGCAAAAGGTTTTTACAGCACAACCTGTACCGCGACAAATAACAACCGATGATCACTCATCTTGTGGAGGGTATGCCTTTGATCACATGGCGATGCCAAAAATTGTTGCAGTGCATTCCGTTTCAAAGAGCACACGAGATGAGGACGAATGGGAAAGAAATAAAGCCTTTATTTCGAAGGTTAAAGCCGCTCGAGATAGATCATTTCACGGTGGGACGCCCGTTGAAGCGCATGGTCAAGCAAGGGAGAAACTGCAGGAAGTACCCCACCTCAAAACTAGACCAGCCATATCGCAAGACCAACAAAGTTTTCTTCAAGATTTGCAGAAGGGCACACGTCAAACCTCTTCTACTGATCTTGGAGACAGATCCATGGATATCTCGTTTGAGCGTTTTGCACTTTATCATCTGCTCTCAAAATTCCAAGGAAATGTTGAGCAGGTCAAAAGTGTTTTGAAGGAGAACCTGCAAAAGGAATGGTTAGAGTATTCTCAAGGAAGTATTGATCCTAAAAAACAGACGCTGAGTGGAGTGAATTTGAATGAGCTGCGCAAACTCTATGACGTCTGGTGTACGTTAAAAAAGAGCCAAAAAAAGGAGACTCGAAGCGGATATTTGGAGAACATTTTAAAGTCTCAGGATTCCGAGCAGTATAGAGTAAAAACAAGCTGTGGATTAAACTTTCAAAAGAACCATGAAGTCAGTCAAAGTAACTCTCAACTTTCCCCAAGTACGCAGCTCTTTAAGGCTATTTCTCCAGGATACTGTTCTCCACGAAATCTGTCCAAATCGGCAGTTCATCAGACACCTGTGAATCCTTCTCCCGTTTCTTTGAATTCACAGTGTGTTCACAACAATGTCACCGTGGAAAAAGCAGAAAGCATTTCCATGCAGCACTCCCCTATGATTATCCAAGAGAAGATTTATAGTTTTTCACGGAGCTCATCTTTAAATCGGAAAATCGGCTCCAAATCAACCTTTTCACCTGTTTTGGCTTCTTTCCGTGACCACGACATCAAGACAGCAGAACTTATCAAACATGTACAAGTGCAACCGAAAACCAATCAGGTTTACGCTTGCGATGATAGTCAATTGACATTTGATGGTCCGAAGAAAGATGGAGTTAACGCTATTATTGGTCACATCCGTAATGTCTCTAGAAACCCTCAGAGAACAGACATTGAAAAGGAGACAAAGAGTGGTTCAAACATTTCACTGCGTGCCTCTGTTCTTCAGCATTTTCCACAAACAATTTCCAAGCCAACACAAAAGGAGTCGCTTCCTTTTGTTAATTCACACACAACAACAACATTTTGTAACAACTTTATCAGTAGTTCATGCAAGGAATCCGCGCAATCTGACAATCATGCTGCCAAAAAAGCCATGCATTTAGACGCCCGCAGTATTGAAATTGGCAGCGGTCATGAAACAAAGTCAAGCTATCTCTGGCGCTTCAAAGGGGGAAAATTGATTAGTGACAACATGCCCATTCTCCGTACTGAAAAACCAGTAGCAGAAATTGATGCGAGGACGATGAATAAGATTAAAGAGCCTGAAGTTGTGGTAAAACGTGAAGGCCATGCCTCTGGGCAGCAGCCATGCCACAGAGATTCAAACTGGAAGTCCATTCCTCAAGGGTGTCCGCTTGTTAGTTCAACAGCAGAGCAGGAACATAAGAAAGTGTGTGGTGCTGCAGCTTCTGGTAAGCGGTGTTACTGTGTTTTGGAACCCAACTGCCGTCCACAAAGGGATAAAACATCAATTGATCCTCTTCAAAGTATGCAAAATATGATTAACAGAGCAGCAGAAAGTTCACCGAGACACCGTCCCTCGCAAATCCATGCTCAAAGACCAGACACTACGGAGAAAACAGCAAAGAATATTGTAGCCACTAACAGTGCACAGGTATACCAGCGGCCTAGCACTATCGTCCGGATTTCAACCAGTGCACACGACCGCCAACAGTCCAAAGAAACAGTCAGTGTTTCAAGTAATGAGCAGTTTAGTCGGCAATCTGGAGCCAACTTCCATTTTACCACGAGCTCGCAAGAAAAAAAGCTATCCTATACTACTGTCAAAGTAACAAGTGCTGCCAACGGAAATCAACAACCCCCTCCAAGTCTCCTTATTTCACCTGCTGCACAATCAAGTAGCCAAAATATTTCGAGTAACGAGCAGTTTAACGGACCCTCCAGTGCAGGCTTACACGCTTTTGGAAATGTAAAGGAACAATCCAGTGCCAATGTCCACCTGTCATATGATAAGCAGATAAACCAACGACCCAACTCCACCGATAAGCATACTCAGTATAACGAACCAAACACCCATCAACGTATTGCTAACCGGCAAGAATTTCTTCGTGACGAAGAAGTGAACAGTTTGCTAATCCCTCGCTCGCAGATAAAACAGCAGCCTGGGAATGATACTGGGATAGCTGTTTCGTGTACTGTCCGCCAAACAAACCAACAAAGAACCCAGCAATCAAACACAATTGCCAACCTTGACAACACTATACCAACAGGTCAGCTTACAAATGGTAGCCTGGTTCTTTCTGGTGGCGCACTTGCAAACCAACAGTCTAACATACAAAGCACAATTTCCAAGGTTTCTGCGAAAACTGTGGTTAGGATAGCCCCAAAGGTGGAATCTGGTGCTAACGGCGAAATAGAGAAACCCAAGAAAGCTGCAACCTCGATTCCTATCAAATCTGAAAAAGCCAACGATAAACAGTGCAGTTTTGTAACACCCCATCCTCCAAAGAAACAGTATACTTCTCTGCAACAGCTTGCTAATAAAGTTATCGAGACTAGACAGAGAATCGAGACGGAGAGCATTCCATGGAAGAAAAAGATTTTAAAATCTCTCGAAGCCGTGCTGATGAAACGGTTGAGAAAAGTAGAGAGAGAGACTGGGGAACAGGCCAATCTAGGTGGCGGAAAAATTTCTGAGACTGAAAAGAATAAAGTCGGACATCAGAAAGAAAAATAGAAAGAGAGAGAAAAAAAAATTAAAATCTAAGACCTAACAAGAATAAAACTTTTTTAACTATAGTTTTATGAAATAGTTTCTTTTATCTCATTGTAGGTTTTCCCTGAATGAATTCACTTTCTGTCAGGAATAATTTAGAAAATGAATCCTCCCCATCCATTGTGGGGTCCAGTTGTGACTGAAAAATTTTTGGGAGGAATTAAACCCGCAAAGAAGTGGTCGCTCTAAGGTTCCACGTTTGTCTTAGTTTGCTTTCATGCACTAATTTACATTTTGTCGATCATACTATTGATCATGCAGTTCTCCCTTTAGTCGTATGATCATTGTGATCAGTCTTTAATGTTTGTCTGGAGTCCTCGTTTTTTTGTGCTTAAGGCTACCATGACCTCGATATCTTACAATATATAGTCAACATTACCCTTTAACACTACCCTTATTTCCACTTCCTCTCGTCTCTTATCTCCTCCACCCGCCTTTTTGAAAAAAAGACCGAGCGAGTGTGACCTCATTAAGGACGAAAATCATAACCAACAGTTGAAAGGAAATGTTGTTCTAGAAAAACGATGTAGAAAATCCAACGAATCTGAAAAAGCAAAAAACGTCAATAAGAACAGAGGAATCTGCCTCGAGCGCGGGAAAACGCATCTGAGTGTGTTAGGATTGTTCATTGTTGTTGTTTTTTTGTAAGACTGATTGGTTAGCAGGGGTCAGAAATATTCAAGACTAATGGCAGAGGAAATACGAGTAAAGCGCACTCATTGTTCTTCATGGATTTCTTTGAACACTTAATGGAAAATTTCTCTATTTACACACTTAATGTACCTGTCAGCTGACAAGAGGGCGGAACGAAGTGTCGGTCATGTTTTCAAACTGTTGGTTCCCTCTCTTCCATTTCAAGTGTAAGCGGCGATGACAATGTTTGTAGAAATCGAACAAGCAAATAGAACATTTGATCGGATTTCTCCATAAAGAACACAAGTAGCATCTTAGAAGAACACGGTTTTCTACGGAGAGTTGATACTCGTTTTGTTTAAGGATTCACTGAAGGTAGGATAATGAAAAAAATTATTTCCCTGTCGACTCTTCACATAATACCAAACTACTATACCTTACAAGGCAAAATGACTAGACAGGTTGAAACAGTGGGTCGCTACTTCACGACTTTCCAAAGTTATTTAGCCTGTTTTGATCCATTGTACTGTTTACAACCACTGAAATTCAGCCGTGTGATCGGTGTTCTAATAAAAATTTAGCAAATTTTTTTATTGCAAAAAAACTGTCGCCAGGAAAGAACTAAAATCGTACACGATAGTATAGTTTTATTTTCAATTTCCTTTGTAAATTTTCATTCGTGGGTTTAAACGAAACGGCTTACCTTGTCCCATGTAAGAATAAGACTAAATAACCTTTTTGTATCCGTGAATCAAAATAATTTCTTCTGTTAATTAATGATTTAACACTTTCTTTTGATCTGAAAGAAGATGGCATCCAAAATTGGCGTCTTGGGAGAAGTTGCCGCCACTTCTGCGACAAACTCTGCTTCAATTCTGAACAAGAATACGAAGCCTCATAATCATATTTATTTTTCATTTAACAGAAAAACTTGCATAATTATTATTTGGGTTAAACTTATTGTATTAGTGGTTTGCTTCCGTCAGGATTACTGGTTGTAGCAGGTGTACCAATTTTGCTTCGTTTTTCTGTCTGTGTCCCCTCGCTGGGGTTAATTGAGCCACCTGTTGATAAAACAGGGACAGAGAGAATTAAGGAATTTCACTCTTCACTGAACAACTTCACAACTTCTTAACATGGCCTCAAACAAAACATGCCATTGATCGCACCAAAAGTAAATTATTTTGTTCATTAAAAAATGAACCGAAGCCGGAGAATTAATGATAACACAGGGTGGCCCCTGAAGGGGGAGGAGAGGGAGGAGAGTTAAGGAGAAAAATGCTGCTCTCTCGACTTGTTCTTCCTCATGCTCATCGTAGAAAGCTCCGCTCTACAATTCCGAGGCAGGGCTGGAGATCCGAGTTTTCTTGCAAGGGTGGGAGGTGAAAGAAGCAATCAGCGTCTGACGAATGTCGAGCATGACCGTCGATTGCTGCATGTTAATAGTTGGCGATGAGGTTTGTGTCTCAAACCTCTGAGTGATGTGTGGTGCTCTCAAACCTTTTTTTCTTTTTTGTGCTGGTATCAACATTTCAGGTGGTGACCATGAAACACAACATCGCAAAATCTAAGAGGAATGGCCGCGATTTATCAGCCAATTCCTACCTAAAAGAGGACTCGACAAATGGAATCTACATACCGGTATACTGACTCTTCAGACTCGGAGGAATTAAGTTTGGACAACTTTACTGTACAAAGGTACGACTTATAGAATTGTTCCTCTTTCTTTTGTTGCATGCAGAAGAATATAACAAGAACTGTGTCGTGGAAGTAAACGTAGGGCTGTAAGTCTCCTTTAGAAGGTGCTGAGCCTTAAATTATTTTCATAACCAGTAGATCAGGGAGAAACTGACAGGAATCAAAACCATCAAGTACACACTGCGTCAGAATGGTGCTGGTGTCCTTTTCTTTAAAAATACGGACATCATTATATATGGTGAAGTTTTTGGAGTCTTGTAAGTCTACGATTGGGGCCAAAAACAGCGAAATTAGATCGGACTCTATTCTGGGCACAATTCAACTTACTTAAAATTTACCTGAAATCGGCGTTCGGTTAATTGATGAAACAATTTTTACAAGTGTCTGAATGCAACTCGGTCTTCATTACTGAAAAGGAATAACTCCCCTCTCTCCCTGCAATCCGATGTCCATCGCAGGAAAATAAAAAAAAAAAATGCACAGCCTGGATTGGGCCCTGTTAATCTACACATGATGTTGTCACGAAGCTAAAAATTGCCGTCAATTGGGCACCCGCGTGTTTTTCTTCGTTCGAAGGGGTCAGAGATACGGAGTCTCCACAAACAATCTAATCGACGTTCAAAAAAATTGGCGAATCCGAAAATCTAAGGGCAAGAGATAAACAGTAGTTTCTCAGACACGGCCGAATAAGGGCTTGGGCATTTTAAGAATGTACAACCCGTTGGAGAGGATAATTAGCGCAGATGTCTTTTACCTCTCACACCGATCGATACGATGACAGGTAATCTTTCGTAAATCGTAGGACCTGTGATAATTTGACGAGTTTCTCCATGATTTCACGCTTCATCTCCCGAGACGAAACTAACAAAAATTATCGTTTATTGTAGACTAGCTAGTGCAAACACGGATACAGAAGACACGAGTGATGGAAGCGACGAAGATATCCGATCTACCAGGCTGGAGTCTGATGATAGAAGGTAAGAACCCCTTAGAATATTAACATATCAAATATTTATGTTAGATTAATTACTCCGTGAGAGGAAAATAATCAGTTGTTGGACTGGTTCTATTCAGTATAGGCTGTATTTAGACAGCTTTCCAATCTCGTTTGTTTTCTACAGCTGTCGTAGAACACACTAACCGATTGAAAAGTTCAAGCCGTCCAAAGATGCGGAGCGTACACCACCAAAAACTCGCTGCATGCGATCGAAGCCAATCTAATTGTTTAGTTGAAGAGTCAAGATTGCGTTTGAAAAGAAAGCTTTTAACATAAAACGTCTCTTTCGATTAACCATTTACATTTTAAACTAAGTGTTTGCATTCTCCGCTCTGTTCTCGTTACATTTCTTATGGTATTAATTGGTAAAATTTGTTTGGCAATTATGAGCTTCTTTACTCGGTGATCATTTCCTTTCTTCCTGTGACCTTAACGTGTGATTCAGAGGTGATATTGTAAGGAGAAATAAGATGTTAGGCACTGCTTTTGGTTAAAAAAGAAGCTTCTTTTCTTGCCGAGAGGGCGAACTCCGTGAGCTTTCAAACGACGGAAATTATTCGTAATATTTTTGGGTATTTGACTAAAGTACAAAAGCTCACTGGTTTGTTGATCTCTGATCGGGGGCTTCAAATTGTAGGAAAACATCTTTTGATTTATTTTGGCACGGGCCGTGACCTAGAACCATGTAAGTCTGGAAACAACACCGCAGCTAACCTGTCGTGATACATGCAGGCTTTCATTAATCGTAGTGTTCGTTAAAATCTGTAGTGCGCCAAACTGGTAAAACTGGAGCCAGTCAAAATATACGACAGAAAGATCGGAAACAGGTGACTGCTGATACGGGTTTGCTCTGCATGCTAAAAGGGAGTAAAGACTTATCAGAGATAAATATGTTCAAGTCTTCTATGTTTTATTCCGTCAACTCAGTAAGGGTCAGATATTTTAAATTATGTACAACATTTGCAGAAGAGTGAACTTTATTTTTTAACGTTTTTGTATATCCAATAGGGAGATACCGCAAAAGAAATATCAAGACAAGAATGAAATCAAGAACGATTTCCTTAAAGAAGCTTCGAACACTGCCCATACTCCAGCAGATTCAAATGAATCTCCAAAACCAATCTCAAGTGATACAACGTATTCTCTTCGGGTACCCCCAAGTGGAGAAACTGACTCTTCTCCGAGCGCCCGAGCCTACTCCCCAGAGGAGGAAAGTGAACTGTTTTCAACAGAATACGTCGATAAGTTGGTGGCCTCGTTTTGGAACAAAGTTGATCAGAAGATCGAGGCAGCTGTTTCTAATCACCAGGCGAGTCCGCAGGCCACTCAGCAGACTAACATGGAAAACAGTGCGCAGACGGGGGATACTAAAGCAGATGACAAAAGCAATGGTAAAGAGAAAGCTAATTCATTGTCGGTATCACTCTCTCATTTACAGAACTGGGGCTGCTCTGCCGTCTTATTAACGCACATATCAATCTACTGGATATATTTAGTTGACATGGTTGATCTGTTTTTTTCTTTGTTATTTGTTTCCACCTCACAGGCAGTGTATTATTCTTGTTTTTACTTGTCATTTTCAGCTAAACCACTCCTTGCTCTTCATATTAAGCAATATTTTTCTCTTAACAGACAAAAGTACCACTAAGTACCCTGGAGGTGTCTGCGTGTTTATCCTTTTTATATTCCAGGTAAGGACTCTATGGGACTCCAACGTTTTGACATACGTGGGTACAGGGTTAATAAAAGAATGGGTGGCTATGCAGCTCGTGGCTGAGGGGTCCGGGACAGCGCCTTTATCGAGTCACTGAAGAAACCTCATTCCTGCATAACCTCTTTCTTCTCCACGAATGAATACGAATGACTATTAATAATTTTAAGTCCGATATCCTCTAGTAGACTAGCATGCTGTCGTAGAGGACTAGGAATTCCTCTAGTCGCTCCGCTTAGCTTATAACTCACGAGCAAGGATAAACTCAGAAAGTTTTGGCCGTCGATGGAATGGAAACTTTAACTTACCTTGCGTAGATAACATGCAAGTATCTGGCGTGAAGTTTCTGGCGTGATATGAAAACCAAGAGTAGCCTCTACTCGATGATCTCTTGCGTGCAAATTAAAATGGTGAATTGGTGGAAAATTTACTTCCTCATAAAAAAAGTGGTAGTTTTGTTAGACGTTTTGAAGCAATTTTTTTGAACTAATTTCATCATGGGTAACCTGTATAAAACATTTTTAACTCCTTTTTTTGTTGTTGCAGTTTTTAGCAAAAATTTGTGTTCTTTGTAAAGAGGATATAAAGAACAAGTGGAAGGTCAGTAACTTAAGTCAACAACGCATGCGCTTTTTTATGATGTGACTTATTGATAAAACAAAGGTGGGATACACATTACTAGCCAGCTTTAAAACACTTGTGAAAAGAAGCTTTGTCGTTAAATGTTAAATATAAAGCATACTCTGCATATCAACACTGCCTAAAATAATTAAGTCTTATGTCTCAGTAACTGGTAAGGCCTTTAGAAGCTTAGGGCGGTTCTTCAGCTGGTACAAAACCTTCAGTGTCACTATTGTGTCAATCTGTTTTTAAGGAAGAGGCTTAAAAAAAGATGTTTGTAAAAAAATCAAAGCACTCTTCGAGGCGAAGCCAACGTTTGTTATCGTTGCATGTTCCGTCCGGGATTAATTTTATTCGCAATTTTCAAAACACTTCCTATCATCAGGAGTGGTTCACCGATGGAATGTGGCGGCAGAATCTGAAAACGATTATTACTCATCGCCATGCTAACTTCACAGTTGTTATGGTTACGTTGATGGATTGTTTCTTAGTGATTGCTAACATTCTTGCTGACTTTGACGTGATTGATGGTAAGGCTCAAAAGATACGTGTAAAGTATAGGGACGAAATGGCTCACATTGCCTGCGATTGTTTAGCAAGGAACAATAGCAAAAAGATGGTAAGCTACTTTTATAAAGAAACTGTGGCACTGCGTCGGTTGGGTTAATAACAAGGTAGTTTGGTTTTATCAACTGAGTTGATGATGTAAATTGGCCACCATAGAGGGTTTCTCTCGCTCGATGCGTCAGCCTTGGAAACTTTCCACGGGGGCCAATTGACATTATTAATTCAGTAGATAAAACCAAATTATCCTAAACGAAATAGAACAAGGTGGCAATGAAAACTCTGAGTACAGTGAATATACTTAAAATCTACTAGGGCACGGGAAAAGGCAGGCGGTCAAATGCGATTGGCTTTCATCTACATTTGACTGGACAACAGGGTGGCGAGGGATTTCTTCACCAGTCTTAGAGTGGCCTGATAAAAAGGGAAACAATCGCAATTCCGAATTATTTTTGAATCTCAATTAACACTGGCAGTCGTCGTAAGAAATTGAAACCACCTTGCCTCTCTCAATGTGATGACAATTGCTAAGATGCCAGTCGCGGAGCATGGATGCCGTGTGATGTTGAAGACACCATAATAAACTTTTCATATATAGATCATGGCATTCTGATATAGGAGCCATTCTTCTGTAAGAGGGCATCATCACTTCAATGTCGAAAGGAACTGTTAGGATTAATCACGATTGCGTGTCAAAGACGTAAAAGGTGTCGCTTTGTATCTTTCAGATAACGGAATTGAATTCATTTTTCACGGTTTTCTTGACATCAATTTGATCATAATGTTCTTATTTGTTGTCGAGGTAAGGTTTTTCATGTTTCAAACGGTCTCTGTTGTAACCACAGTGAAAGAGTGTATATTTCATTGGCGGGAATATCCATCACTTACGATCACTATCATGATTTCCATCAGCATATATAGCTCCTAAAATTATATGTATAAACTTACCTTTTTTCGCGAATTATTCATAGTGTAAGTTTACTTCGAATTTCTGGAAGAGAAAAGAAAGCTACCACATTCCCAGACCACACTTTAGAGATATTTTTCATCGTTAGGGCAACATTTTCTCGACTGAGAAAATTGACTCGGTAACCTGTACCGTCTCCTCCTTTCTACCCTCCACCCATATCAATATTGCCTTGCTCACAATTTGGTCGGTCCTTGATATTATGACGCCGTACTGCAACACAAGAGGAGGAGAGTAGGGCAAGGATTTTTTTCTAGAAATTTAGGTGTGGTGGGTGTCCTGATGCATTAGTTATTGCTGGGGCAGGGGGTGGGGAGTTTGAGGATCTTGGTCAAGTCACAATAGTATTTACTTACACCCCTCATAAGGCTGTGTAATATTTTTATGATTCCCCCACTTTCTCCCCCTATCCCCCCCCCCCTCATTGGAAGTTAATTGGCAGTCAATTTCCTAAAATTCACTTTTATTCTATTTTGACGACGACTGACCCTCCCTCCATTCCCCCTGAAAACCATGCGATGCCCCAAAAATCCTCCACTGCCCCCTTCCCCCAAGGGTATAAGTGGTGACTGGTCCCTAACTAGAAGTCGATATGTAAACTTGGAACTATTCTATCAAGGGATCTGTACTGTATTGCAGTGAACAATCAGTCAGGCTCAATAACTGTTTCAGTAGCGTCCTGTGTTGTTCTTCCCAGTGTCTTGTAAGAATGGCTGTTCTCCAAAAAGAACTTTTTCAAGACAAGCTGGAGGTAATCAATAGCTCACTTGTTGCAGATTATTATATCGCTCAGTTAGTATGTGCGCCATGATTGGTCAATTTAGCGGGCCGTATTTCACTGCACGGCTCCTTCCATTTGAACCCAGAGATCTGCAAGTTACGCCCCTGGTTTTTTTCCGCTCAGATTTATGCATGTGTGCTTCGTGCTTGGGCCATAAATCCGAGCGGTAAAAACTCCTTCCGTAACTTACAGTACAGACCTCGAACACGGTTATTATATACTGTTGTTTTGGTAACCGGAAGGGTATTACCTATAGGAGATGTACCGTATATAACCAAATGTGGGAGGTAATAACCACAGGGAGGAAAATACTATTTGGATTTCGTTTCATTTTTTATGTGCACAATCTTTAAAAGTATATTATATATTCTTTATCGCAGATGTTTGACGCTGCTCTGGTGTATTTCTACTTTCTGGTAGAGTTAATTACAAGCAATTGCTTCAGGTAAATTTACAGTATGATTACGTAATGACCATTTAAACGTAACACCGAACCGCATGTGCATGCATTTTGCTCCAAAGTTTGATATTTCACTTTGTTTAATTGTCATGCTTTCGTTTTCCAGTGAAGTACAAAAGCCTTACCCCAAGTACCTACATATGATAGTCATTCTTCGATGCTGGCGAATTCTTCTCGTTTTAGAACGTAAGTGACCAACCTCAACCGATTACTCAATGCTACCGGCACAAATCATGCGAATCAATCAAATCAATCAGGCCACTATCTCTCTAAAGCTTTTCATCTGTGTAAATAACTTTACACACCTTATCAAAATGCATGTGAAAAGTAACATTTCCTAAACAGTGCTTAGTTTTTTATTTTTTTTTTTCTTTTTTCGTAATTTGCTCCTTAACGAAAGCTAACTGATTGATTGATCGAACAGGTGATAAACTGGATGATGATCGATTGATTCATTGATTGAATACGATTCAATACATTTGTTGTTCTCGTCGGTTGGCTGGCTGCTGAATTATTCGATTGGTCAGATTTCACCTCCTTGGTTGATTGACTAATTGACTCTCTGACTGGCTGAGTAACTGAATGTCTGACAAATTGAAGGCCTCATTGACCGACCGACCGACCGACTGACAAACTAAAGGACAGTTGACTCACGACCGACTGATTCTTTGCTTCATTGTCTCACGTTCGTTTGATTTATCTCAATTTAGTCGGATACCTTTTCATTTCCCCTTAGAACTTCAGCTGGAAAAAGAATTAGAATTGAGCGCCATGGAAAGCCAAACGCAAAGATGACAGCAGTGAAGGACCACACCCCTTTTTGTACAACAAATTCGAATTTTGATCTTACTTCCGGAGTTAGACATCATGTTTAAAACGAGCATTGAAATCGACGCAATCATTCAACCTTTCTACCCCCAAGATTGCCGCCTCACTCTCCCTTTTTCCTCCTGTAACTTCCTTTCAAAAATGATTCCTAGGAATTTGGCGTAACCTTTTTCGTGATTTTTATCAAATGTTCGCTTAGTAACACTTAAAATTTGGTAGAGGAAAATGCTAATTGTTCACTTCGGACGTAAAAAGGTTATTGAGAAAAACTTCAAAGCAAACCAGTCGGCCACTCAAGATTATCGTATAACCCTTTATACCCTAACATCAATATGCATATTCTATATATACTGTCATCTATACATTCCCTAAGGTGCTGACAAGGAGAATTTGTTTAACGATCAAGAGCTTCTTTAGTTGGTGATCAATTCCTTTATTCTCATGATCTTAAATGAATGATTCAGCAGTATTATTGTAAGGAGAAACTAGATGCTGGTCCCTCTTAGGGTTTGAAGGGATAATTGTCCCATTTGTAAAGGCTTTGCTCACCGAGTCGGTTCTTGAGCATTATAACAAGAAGCTTGTGTCGTAGTTTAACCAATCAATTCTGTGTGGAACCACCCCCGTTCTCCCGCCAAATGAGACGAGGACCAAAGAGCCCATCTGGCATCGTAGCCAGAGTGAGAGGGGGAGGGGGAAAGGGTAAGAAATAAAGGCTATATGACGTGAACGCAATTTTACCTCAAAATACCCAGATGATTCTTGATTATGCGGAGCATAACATTATAATCGCTTTCGATTCTTCGTTTTATACTATATAATTAATAAAACGGTTTTTTTTAAATAGCTATATAGCAATCAGTTTAATCCATATAAAACCCGACCGATGTAATTTATTATGAAATACGATGGCGTTAGGATTGCTGAGTTTGACAACTTTATGTTGAGTCAGGATTCCCATACACATTGGTATATCGAGATTCTGACAATGAGAGGTATTTTGTATACATTGAGGTATTAAAAACTAAAAAGAAAAATATGCTTTCTGTTTTAAGCGAACATCGTGTGCATAAAAAAAAACCTGCGTGGAAATATAGCTATAATTAACCAAGTACGATAACCTCGTTAAAATTTTATTAATTGGGTGACAACGAACGAAAAGAACAATACAAAAAATATCGAGCCTGAAAACTGTAGTAATCCTCAAAAGTGTTCTGTTATAAATGGAAAAGGTGGCACTGGTCAAAGGAACACAGAAGAAACAAAAGTACACTGAAAGAAACCAGCTCTACTGTTCATTTTCCCATTTCCTAATCGATAAACAAAAATGATGTACTCTTGCATTGTAACCTTAGCATTATTACTGTTTTTTTTTTTTGACAAACCTTTTATTGACAATATATTAGAAGGAGGAATTAAGAAATTTACGTAATGACAATTTGAATCTTTGGAAGAGAAACTCAAAAACGATGGTCATGGCTCTCAAAGGGGTAAATTAAGTTGTTTGATTCTTCCTTTACGTTTAGTAGAAACGAAAAATTGACGATCTTATTCTTTACAAATGAAACGGACTACTGGGTCATTTGAACAACTCTAGATCTGAGAGGAAAGACTTCTTAATCCATTCCTTGAAACACCACGTATGAATACAAATTAGCCTTCCCCAGGCGTTCTCTTTTTGTCCGCGCAAACTCTGGGAAGGGGTCACGTTACGTCTTACAAAAGCATCCAGAATTAACCTAGCGGAGGGGCCTTGGGACTTCATGTAAGCCGAATACAAATAGAATCAGGCCTCCAAGCTTCCTCGCTCCTGTTGTGCAGTTAGTTTCATCAGCCGTTTTCCCAAGTTGGTATTGTGTTGCTGTAGATATCGGATCATGTCCGCTTGTTTCTCCAGGACTTCATCCAAATAATCATTGTCCCTAAGAGGGTGTTCAATGTATTAGGAAGTTAATTTTTATGCATCAGTCAAAGTATACACAACTATAACTTGCACTGAATCTAAAAGATCCTAATCCTGGTCACTCAAAACAGTAATTCGCTTATACACGTGTGTCTCGGATACCTGTCGATTAGATTAGGTCGACAAGACAAGGTTGAATGGCAGAGAAGGCCGACGATCAGCAAAAATAAATACGCAAGACAACACCAGGAGTGTTATGCGACAGCCAATCGCTGAGGGAATATTTCTGCGAATTGCACCAATCACAGCCGTTAAATACCAGCCAATCACAGCTGGGCATATTGGTTCCTTAGGTAACGCGTAACCAGTTGATGTTAAAGCCCGAGGAAGAATCACAAAATACAATCGATACACGCAATCCACATCGGAAGTTACCACATCGTGTGACTTACAATGCTGAAGGTCTTGAGGGAAAACCACTCCATACTCACCTATATCCTGTTACGGAAAGGGAAGATGCCCCATTGTTTGTGTAAACGTTCAAAAAGTCTGAGTCCTCTGCATCTGGGAGTGGTCTTCTTACGTTGAACTTCATAACTTTTACTGAAACAACAAAATATAACAACATTGCCACAGAAAACAAGTATCGGTAAGCAGCTTCACTCCCACAGTGAACAGAACACAAGTATTCTCTACCACAGGAATTTTGGACAATGTTAAGTGGACAGGTACTGAGAATTTAGAAAATTATCAAACTGAGGGACATTGCCTTCATTCACAATGTAGGAACAAATTCTTCGGAGTAGCCTACAATTCTAACTTTAATGATTGCCTTCAGAATTTGGGAGACAAAACTATTGATACAAGTAATTTAGTATACAAACACAGGTAAATGTCACTTTTATTAATTGATCAAATACCAAATTCTCCAATCTAGCGTCATACAAATTGTATGGTGAACAGTAAGGAGAAGTACTAAATACGAGATCTTGGGAGTGAAGGGGTTGAAATTTCTTTTTAAAATAGCTTTTTTAGACACTGCTAGGAAGACAAAGTAGCCTTCACGGAGATGAGTGATCATTAATGGAGAGAATCAATTATGGAGAGATTAGTTTTAAAATGTTTGGAATATTTGCACAACTTACCTAAGTACCACAGAATTCCAGGCACAGATATAATAAACTCAACAGTGAAAATAATCTGCAATATATTGTATAGTGCCAGGTCACCCCTGTCAGATTTGTTTGAATCATGACCCATGACTGCATATATAACCAACAAAACAGCATTTCCTGGAAGAAAAACAAACATCGCGTTTGACTCTTGGTACATCAAGCCTTCGATGGAAATTGCACACATTAGAGTTGAAAGGAGTTTGAATCATTGGGAGCCAATGACAACTGATGGATAAAACATGTTTCCAGTGCTTCAATAGTTATGGTTTCCACACTGAATATACTGTAACATATGTACTGGTAAGTCTTCAAAATAAGTCTTTAAGTTGACCTATGAAATAACAATGCTGTTTCAACAGCTAGAGGTGTTGGTGAACATTCCTCACCCTGTAAATATGTAAGAGATTGATACAAATACCAGGAAAATTAATTCACTCCATTCACATGTTTTTCCCAGTAGAGCACAGAGAAGGGATTGGACCTCTTTCCAACTCTCTTCCCACCCAAATAGGGTGTTAGTCTGCTGGTCAATCATTAATCCTATACCTTAATTCAACCAAGTATGAATTAGAGTGTTGTAAAATAAAATACTGTTTCTACTGATAGTGCTGTGAAAATGTAACCAGACCTAGTGATAGAATGGCGTGCGGAATTCTTCTCAACTCTTTGGTCTCTCTAAAGAACTCCAGATAGCCTTTAGCTTGGGACTGATGATGTTGATATTGCAAAACTCTGTCGCAGATAAATATAACTACCCACAACCCCACATGTAGCAAGATTAAGAAGCTGAATGGAGGATCCGTACCACCAAGCGACAAGGAAACCTCAAAGTTTTTACCCATAAGTTCTTTATTAGGCAAAATAAATTGAAGGGATTCAAAAGCAATCTGAAAAATAAAAAATTGATAAATATATATTTATATATACAATTATAAGCTTTACTGAAAATTATAGGGAGTGATCAGCCAAGCTGCCCTGCTTTATAGGCTAATGTAACATGCCAAACTGGGGCCAATCAGAATATATAGTACATTTGTCTATTGAATGGTATTACATCCAAACTTGATATCGTCCTTTTCCTGCAAAATTTAGCATGCATGCATTTGCAGTTTCTTTCAAGCCTTTTTCCAAGCTAATTAAAAGTTATTTATTTGACATATATTCTTTAATTTTGTGTCAAATATTTAATTTTACATATCTTTACTACAGATAACTGAAGACAAGTCTTACCAATTCATAATGGTGGTAGGACTGAGTGGAGTCCAGCGTGGTCTGTAATCACATGAGTGATTGACAAAACCAGACAAGCATGAAGTGAGAGTCTGATTTGATAATCACAAGTATGATTACAGACAGAATTGGACAACATGAAGTCCTGTTACCAATTAATCAAAACTGTAACAAAATGTAAGAAACAAACTACATGTAACTATACATTTTCATAAAAAACCCAGTTAACTCTGAGAAAAGCAAAACAACAATGCATGATGTGTATAGAGACACAACACATACAGTAAACTGTCCAATTACACTGTCTAATCAAAACTATAACAAAATTCTTGAACGTGATTGGTTATCAAAATATATGGGAAAAATTTTTAATGATGACATCATCAATATGTCTGTTTCTTTCTCAAATTTTGCCATAGTTTTGATTAATTGATAATAGGACTTTGTGCTGTCCAATTCTGTCTGTAATCCTCCAATAGATCATAAGTGAGAACCTATCAGAATGTGTGCATAAATGAGCTTATTATATAATTTTGTTTATCACTCGTACGATTACAGACAGAATTGGACTCCACTCAGTCCTATTACCATTATCAATCACAAGCACAAAGCATACACTGTTCTATTAGTAGAGAGAAATACTTTGAGGAAATTCTTTGACAAAATTAACAAATCCTTTTATGACAAAATTTTGAAAATACAACATGGCTGAGTGTCTTTCTTTTTGCTACATGTAATTCATAGCACTGATTTTCTCCCAAAACCAAAGAGGCAAATGAAGAACTTGATTAACATCCAAATTATCTTTGCATTGCCCATTATCTCAATAAACTCTTAACTTACGCTTGTACTTACAAAGAGGATCAGCTGCAAAATAGCAATCCATGTTGTTCGAATTGGATGAAACTTTGTTTCGGGTAAAAGACCCAGGGAAGCTGTGTCATTGGCTAGGGCTTCTTCCTGGGCTTGAGAAGATATCCCTGGACTGCCACTGTCCTCTCGGTCGAAAAAGTAACCCTGTGGGGAGAAAAAAAAAAAAAGAGAAAAAAAAAAGTAAAGTGAGGCTTACATAGATACATAACCTTAATTGCTCCCTGAATTTGAGAGCAGCGATATAAAAATTTAGCAAATAATAAAATAAAAATTTCAACAAAACCAAAACAACACCAAAATATACTTACATAATATTTTATGGATATGGACCTCTTATATTTCAACTAATAATGTTTATGGGACTTAAGGGTTCATACTTCAAACTCACAAAAGGTGAGAGTTTGAAGCCTGTCAGTGCATATTTGCTTTGCCACAAGAAGTAGAAACACTCCACATCACTTCATGCGATAGACACTGAAGATAAGCATGATATTGCACCAGAAGTCATGGAACCACACGGCATCTCATGCTACAATGAGCCCCCCTCCTCAGCAATGTTAAATAACCTAATAAACGTTACAATGTATGTCACTTGCAAGTAAGTTAAGGAAAAGATAAACGAACCTTATGAAAAATTAAAACAAATAGTGAGCATGCAAAAACTTGCATCGTCTCACTGTTGTTGGTTAACCTGTGAGATAGTTGAACACATATTTATTCTGCCAGTATACTAGTGAAATTGTGTCATTTAACCTAAAGAGCGGAAATTTCTTTTTGATTGCGACAACGTTAGCGCGTGTATCTTCCTCATTACCGAGGAAACAAATTTAGTTCTCTATATTTCATTTTAAACTGACATGAACGAAAGGACAAATGGAAACTTTATAATACAGACGACACGCTTGATACTTCAGATGATCTGAACGCAAAGGAATAAGCAGAACAGTATTCGTTAAAAAAGTCCAGACTGCGCTGATGCGGAAAAAAATCTCTTACCCCGCTTCCTCGGTCTCCACTTAAACTAACCATCTCAGAACTTTGCGATTCTTTCACATTTCGTATCGAAACACAAACTTTGAGCAGTAAAACTTGTAAAAAGCTACAAATATCCACTTAATTTGAGCCTGTGAGGCACATGACTGAGCCTGATATATACAGTGAGCCCGTGTGCAAAAAACCAGCGGAAAACAGAGCAGTACCAGATCTCTTTCAACCTTCCAATATGGCGGTCACAGGTGTAGGGCAAATATCACTTTCCTCACGAAAATTTGCCATTCTCGGTGGAGGAATATCTGGCCTAGCCGCCGCTTATCACCTACTGGATAAAGTGAAAGACCCGAGTAACATAACAGTTCTTGAATCTAGCGAGAGAGTTGGGGGATGGATGCAAAGTTGCTCTACGGAGAACGGGGCTGTTTTCGAGTTAGGCCCGAGAAGTATTAGGCCCGCAGGCAATGCCGGGAGAGCAACCCTTAAAATTGTAAGTAGAATTCATTTGAGGGAAAATTTCTCACGAGTGTGTGTCACTCGTGGTCGCTTTTTGTTTTTATGCTCAACTGAAGTCCTATATTGGAGCAGTAGCTCCACGATGCATTGGGGATGATTTAGGGACCAGTCGTATTTAAAAGGGGGGAGGGACAGGGCTAATGCAAAATTGTATATCCCTTATTTACTTTATCCTAACCCGCCTTTTCGTGAGGCACTTGTAGTTAAGTGCTTTGTTAGATATTAGAGGTATTTTACCTTATGTTTTGTTATGCCGGAATCATTGAATACTTGTAGAAATTTATATGGCTACCCCCCAATCTTTTTATCTCTGCATAAAAATTGGCGACCTACTAACTTTCTCCACCAGCCCTTCCTCCTTCTAAATCACAAAAGGTCCCTAAGAGGGTACTTTCTCTTTGGTGGGAAGGGGTCACTCGATTCATGTTCACGAAATGATCTTTCTTCTGTACTTTTTGAACAGGTTCATGATCTGGGCTTGGAGAAAAATGTTCTTTCAGTTTCTTCAAGTCATCCTGCAGCAAGGAGCAGATTTATATACTCTCGTGAAAAACTGCATCAGCTTCCCTCTGGAGTTATATCAATAATAAAAAGACAATCTTTGTTTTCTAAGTCATTACTACCTACTATAATTAGAGAACCATTTGTGAGAGGAAAGCAAGATCATGAGGATGAAAGCATTTATAATTTCTTCAAAAGAAGGATGAATGAAGAGGTATGTGCATTTACTAGTTTTCATTTGTCACAATGTATTTTAATATTAATGTTTGATCTGTGAACAAAGGCTGTTGCAAATTCTTTGATTTTAGTTGATTTATCGCAGGTGAATTTGCCCAAAATGTCAACTCAAAATCAGTAGAATCACTTTGGATATTTGTCATGATTGGCTTATTGTGTTTGCTTTTCTGTGGTTTCAAGGTAGCGGAGTATCTCAGTGATCCACTCTGTAGAGGCATCTTTGCTGGTGACTCTCGTTTGCTGAGCCTTCAGTCATGTTTTCCTGCTGTGCATCAGTATGAGAATCAACATGGTTCCATAATCAAAGGAGCTTTCTTTACAAAAGAAGGTACCTGTGTTTGCATTTCAGAGGGAAGGTCTTCAGAATTTAGTAGAAGCAACCCTCTTCTAAATGTGGTTGAACCATCTCATTCTTAAGATTGAAGAGCTTTTAACTAACCTCATAAACTTTTAACCCTTTACACCCAAACATCAATATGCACATTCTCCATACTGTTTTCTTTACATTTCCCAATGTGCTGGCAAGGAGAATTTGTTTAAGGTTCTTCAGCTGAGTATCATGTCTTTTATCCACATGACCTTAATGTTTGATTCAGTGGTGATACAGTATTGAAAGGAGAAATTAGATCACTGGTCACTCTCAGGGATTACAGGGTTAAGGTCACTCCATAGTGTTCCATTGCACATCCTTCCTGTGCATAATTTCACATGAAACTAAGGTGCACATTAAAAAATGGATGCTTTTTTGGAGCTCACTGGAGAGGTATATGTAACTCATCAGTTTTTCTCCAACAAGCATGGTGACCTATCTTTATTTTCTGTCTTGGAATTGAGCTATGTCTCTCTTCCTGTAAAATAAATATAAAGGTAAGCAATTCTCATAGGTTAGGAATGGAAATGATTGAAGTAGATTGCAAATGAAAAAATGAAATGTCTTTCATTCATTTTAGTCTCCGACCCCTCTGTTATGAGTCCATTGGCAATGAGGGCTAAAGAAGAACGATGGAGCACTTGGTCGCTCAAGGGCGGTTTGCAGACACTATCTGACAAACTACTTGAAGTATTAATACAGCGGGGAGTGAACGTCAAAATGACCTCACCTTGTACAGCTGTGAATTTTAACCCTGACGGCAAACTGAGAGTAGCATGGCCCCATGAGGAGCTAACAGTAGATCACGTGATGAGCGGCATACCAGCTGAGAGTCTCGCAACTATTTTACCCGAAGACTGCCTGGAATTAACATCGGAGTTGAAAAATATAAACAGTACAACAGTAGCTGTGGTCAATCTTGAGTACGAAGGAAATGTAGTGCCCGTGGAGGGGTTTGGGTATTTAGCTCCTTCCTCTGAACCATTGAAAGTTCTTGGGATTATCTTTGACTCCTGCGCCTTCCCTGAAAATGATCGACCCGGAGGAAAAACTACACGATTAACTGTAAGTAAGCCAAGTTGTTCATAACAAAAGATCCTTTTAAAGTATCCGCGTTCAGTATACCCCTAAAAAGACCGATTTGAAATTGAGTGAAGAAAGTTGTTTAGGTTACTTCGGTTTCACTTCGCTACGCTCATGTAATTCGTTCAGGAAACCTTGTGCCTCTTCTGAAACCAAGAAAATACATATTTAAGTATCGACTTTCAGAATAATCGTACAAAGAGCAATATTTTATTGAGTGCCAAAAGAGTGCCTTGGTTAACAACATAACAGGTCGGGGCTCGAACCAGGACTTCTCGTTCCAGAGTCCAGCGCGCTCCCGCAGACCCCCTGTGTCTCTAATTGTAATTATTGTTATTATAGTAAAAATCCTAGTATTACTATATAGTTATAATTAGTATTAATTTATAGTTATAATGATAACGATGATGATAATGATACCACTTCTACCAATAATAACGATAATAACAATGAACCTGACTCGTTTCGTTTCTGTTCCCTATTTCAATTTCATCCCTTTTCTGTCGACTTTCAGGTCATGATGGGAGGTCACTGGTTCAATTCCCTATTTGGAGATCCTAACTCAGTAGACCCCAGTCATCTACAAGACGTTGCGGAAGAAGCTGCCGAAAAAACGCTCGGCATCCGAACTAAACCGACGAGTTGTTTGACCACTGTGCAACATGACTGTATACCTCAGTACACCTTGGGTCATTCTTATCGTTTGAAAAACATTTTCGACTTCATTGAGAAACGCAAGTTACCTCTTTCTCTGATCGGATCATCATATAATGGTGTTAGCGTAAATGACTGTATTTATAATGCTCAGCGCGCTGTAGAACGAATTTTGGCAGCGAATTGATAAAGGTTCGAACTCTAGTTAGCAAATATCGTAGACTACCTCGTAGAGGTAGGTTCATCGTAGTACATCGTTGTAGTCTGGTTTTGTATGATTCTGCGAGTGTGAATGGAACCAAACGCATAAATGTCGTTTGGACAGTGAGGGACTAAGCCGAACCCACGAAAAAACAAACCAAGTTTCTTTTCTAGCACGAAGCACCTTGTCTCGTGCCATTCTCTTATCCACTTAATCCACTGTAGCAGAAAGCTATCGCCCAATGTTGGTAAAGAAAAGAGGGTTGACGGTCCACAAATACTATCTTTGCCGATAATATTTTTTTCTTGTCACTACTGGTCTAGACAACAAGGTCATAAGTCAGAGTTCGACAGAAAGCCATCTGGGTTTCAGAATTTTCCCGGGGATGGTATGTGAAGTACTCGTTTGAGATCATTTTTATGGACAGAACATTTAAGCAATTGATGATAAATAAATGGATACATATTTTGTTTAATACATTTAGAAGGCGTAGCCATGCGATCATTTCTGTGAACAGTTAGAAATTGTAACAAAGAGAATGAACATGTTTTAATTAAGGATAAACAGATATTCTTGATTACATCCATTTTGAAATCACCGGTGATCCTTGTAATCTGATTGGCTCTCATTGGTGCCATGCATTTACGAAACGTAACATTTTCTGCTCTTAATCGCATGTTTTTCCCAGCCACAGAGGATGTATTACTCAAATACAATAACCAATCAGAGGACAAGGCTTGTTCAAAGAAACCAATCCAATTGCAGGAAAATAAAAAACAACTAATGCAACTTTCTTCACACTAGCTCACTACAATAGAATGTTTGTGCAGACTAAAGAATCTTGCATTTAAGCGAATGAATTTTGCGATTTTAAAATGGATGTAATTGAGTGGTAAGTGAACTTCGTGTCGTGCAATTTTGATCTGAAATGCGTGTACTTGTGTACACGCTTATGATTTCAGACCATATTGCACTCCACTCAGTTCAATTAGTATAGGTAATTCCATGATTTCTCTTTCAATTTGGTGGTAGTAAGCACCAGTACATTTTTCAAAGACAACAAAATTACGGGCTCGTGCATCTGTAGTCTGACAAATTTACAAGTGCTAATTCCACCAAATTGTAAGAGAAATCATGTTATTTCTTGTTAATAATGTACATAAAAACATCACGAAAGGTCAAGACGGACGAAATTTTGAAAGCGTGGGCGCTAATTTGCACAAGTGTTACAACTTTGCACTTGTGTGACATGAGAATGCACTCGTTTTCAGCCAATCAGAAGCGCGTAATTTTTCAGGTACATTATTACCATTTTAAATTAACTTTTTAATTTGGAACCCTTGACTCGGCTTGTTTATCAAGCAACTATGGATTCTATTGGTCAGTTCTTCGTTTGAGGGAGGTCCTATTTTATTTATGAGATAATGATTCTGCTTACGTCATTTCATTTTCTCCTCCCCAATTTCCATATACAGCTTCTCGATATACGTCAAACGTAATTACAGTGTAAAGGGGCAGATTCACCGAAACACTTCCACTTTAACAGCTGCTTGCGCAATAACATGAACATGTTTATGAATAAGAGTTATTTCCTTGTCTCATATTGTTGAACCTAATTGAAAAAAAGGAAACAAAATTGTGCTAAATTTTGCTTTTTGCCTCTACAGCAAACGCTGTCGGAATTTGTTATGCAACAGTAATTATCCATTTGCTTTAGGATTTTAACTTTTTTGTTGCCATTGGAAACAGACATATGACATGGTTATCGAGGGCGACTGTAGTTGAATCATGTTCACCTAAGAAAAAGCTTTACCGACTGAGTGGGGCATGAAATACTAGCCTGTTTGAAATAAGTAAAGAGGTGAACAAATTTCTTTCAGCATGGGAAATGGAGTTTCGGGCAAAGCGTCGGCAAATCTCAAAACCATTTATCTTGAAGTGGACGGGCGCAAACAAAAGGTAAGAAAATTTTGATCGACTCTCCGTCGTTCTTTCGATTCTATATGTGTTGCCTTTCAGTGAGGAAATCTAATTTAATCGCCATTTGATCAACCACTTTTCATTCTATTTTTTATCCTGTAAGTAATTTTTTCATTAGGATCAATGTTAAAATTCGATGATTTTGTTTTTCTAGTTCATGAAATGTGTTGACGATGGTATTTGAGAAGAAAAAGTGGACTCGTTTTATCTTTATATCTCTTAATGTTTCGCGAAATAACTATATTTGATTGCTTTAAAATCACAGTAAGGTAATGAAAAATGGCGGAATTGAATTGTTAAGTTGATGAGTCGCCTCCTCAAGCGTAGAACGGTGCCAGCTATATATTTCCATTAGCTGGTCAAGTTGAGATTGGTAAGGAGCTGCAATTTATGCACTCCACGTAGTGTCGAAATGAAAAGAAATGAACAACATGATAACCCTTGGGACCTAATCACATTACACTTGTGTAACTGAGTATCGTGAACATTTTCTTCTTTCGAAATATCATTTAGGTCGTTTTCTCAAAGCACAGTAGTTCTCGGGATATCAAAGATCTTCTAGCTTCAGCCGTTGGAGTGAGTCGGTAAGTTCAGAGGGTTGTCTTTGTCTGGTCTGTACAATTAATTTTCTGTAAGTTCATAGCCAAAGATGTTCTTTTCAACGACCTAATTTTCTCTGTTATTAGCGAGGTTTAAAACTGGGGAAATTACATCCCTACTTCACATTTTTGAAAGCGCAGAGTTAAAGAAATTTGTTTTCGTACTTTCGTGTTGAAGAGAATATTTCGATAATTCACAGTGAGGTCGTCGAAAAAAACCCTATGTGGCCCTGGAATTGACAAATCTCAGCTATAGTCTCAAGTATTCCTCTCTCTCCCGTCATTTTCTCATGCTGTTATTCATTTCGTACTGTTTTTTTTTTATCTCAGATGGTCCAACATGATGTTGAAGACACAAGATGGAAGCACTGTGTGTATTGAGCCGAATTTACCGTCGAATACTGCACGGTAGGAGAAAATATTTTAATATCCACACTCATTTGGGTCTCGAGGAGTAAATTTACAACTAATGCTCCATTCACACTACAGCTAAGAAATGTTTCAAAGCTGTTTTTTTTTTAACATGGCCTAAAATTGTTTCTTCGTGGAAGTTGCTTACATTGTAGTTTATCGACTTCAAATGTAGTATAACGAAAATACAGCCCAGTGATTACTTGAACCCCATTCAGTTTTCTGTCGCTAATTTTTCATTCTGTTAAACCTGATTTAACTAAACATGTTTTTCTGTGGTGGATGGGGCATAATTCACGCTCAGAGAAAAGTATTTTCAAATTTTTTCATGGCATTTCATTCTATATTTCCAACAATTGTCACTTCTTTTTTTCACGTAGTGTGGGTGAAAACAAGCCGTTCTTGGCAAAAGAGAACCGAGGCAATCTCATATTTAAAATAACTTGACTAAATTCTAACAATTAAGCATAACTCTTTCAGTAACTGTAGGATTTACCGCCTTCGTTTCCTGTTTTTAAAGTCTACGAAGCTTGTTTACTCGACATAAGTTGACTTTTAGGCCAATGCGCATATACTTCGCCCATCTGCACATTGTTATGAACGATGTTTTCGTTTGTTTCGTAGATCACCTTATCGTATTGTAGTTGGTGCCATGGACAAAAATCCATATACTTCGCCCATCTGCACATAGTTGTTAACGATATTTTAGTTTCATTTCGTAGATCACCTTATCGTGTTGTAGTTGGTGCCATGGACAAAAAGCACGGTAAGTCAGAGGTGATACTATAGGTTTCGGTCCGCCGTTGAATAAGCGTGATACTGAGTTTTCCCCGTAGTTGAAATTGCTGTGTGGCATGGACGCGTCACTTGTAAGTAGCTGGACGTACAGGATGCCTTTTTTCATCTGGTCAGAAAGCGAAAAAGGTGGAATAAGTGAAATAGTCAGACATTACTTGATACCTCTGCGGTAAGCTTGGCATAGGTTGGACATTTCCAGCGCGTGGACCACGTTGTGAATTCCCCCCCTTGTTTTATTTGCGAGTTCCCCCCGCTTGTGCTAGTTGTGAAGTTTCCCGCATTTAGTGCTCGTTGTGAGTTTCTTGCACTTGGTGCTTGTAATATGTTTTCTCGCAGTTGGAGTTTGTTGTATGTTTGTTATGAAATACAAAAATTAGAAGTCGGTTTGGGGACTACTTAAATTAGGAACGTTCTGGCTAAATATTTGGGAACTGTTTAGGCCTGTTAGGTTATCTTGAAATCTTTGTGTGAGTCTTTTGAGCCTTGGTTTGTTAAGTGCTGTAAGACCACAAATTTATTTTAAGTTCTTGAGTGATGTGTCCCTGACCGTTATAGTCAGGTTTAATTCTCGTACGATGATCAACATCGCTAGTCGTGTTAGGGTTTGTCCTTGATCTTGCTTAGAGTCCTCAACGGGAAGTTTTCTCGGAGAGTTAAGTAAACTGTTGCTGATCAGACTCTCGGTGCCTCTCGGCGCCGTTTGCGCGTTGTGTACGAGTTAATCTACCCCGACAGTCCAATATATTTCTCCCAGCATGGTAATTGGTTTATTTTTTCCCGCGCTTGGCACTGAGGGCATGTTTTCTCCTTCGTCACACTTGGTGGATATATCCTTTTTCCTTTCGTTTTTTTATCTCCTTCAATCATGCTTGAATTACAAAAGGTTTATATTACTACAAATTTTCTTCTCTTTCTTTTGTTCACGTTATTTTCGTTCCATTTTTCTTCGTATCTAGGAGACGAAGAGGTCTTTGCAAATGTGCTCAGCCAAGTTGCTGATAAGTTTATCAGGTTAGATAAACATTAACTGACTTCTGGCCAAGCTTGATTTTATGAATTATTTAATGAGTTAGAGATAAATTTGTTTTAACTCGGTTGAAAATATCAGTCTTACGTAGAGAATACATGCAAATTCTGGTCAATTGCTCATACGACATTCAATAAATATTTCTTCATAACGAATTTAACACTAGGCCTTTGTTTGTTTTTCCTTGCTGAAAAGCCACCACGAATTTTCGTATTTGCACATATAATGGCTCAGGTTATTTCCTGTTACTATGATAAAAAATGTCTGGCGTATACTTGATCACCAATTTTTTTACTGTTAATTTTTTTCCAGTACCTTCACAGTGTCCCAGCTGAAGTCCGAATTGGCCAAACAACTGTCGCATTTGGAAAGAAAAGTAGAAGGTTACTCGAGCACACCTTACACACCTTTGTGCATGTTCTCTAAACTTCCCGCGTGCTTCATAGTTCATGAACACACGCTGAATCGTGAAGAAATTATGTTATAAAATAATTCAAATAGTACGCGCGCTCTGATTGGCCATAAAACCATTTTACATGAGCGTATGTAAACACGGTTTTCGTTCCTCTGTCATTAGTTATTTTATAAAAGAAATGTAAAATGGTTTCCGTGTTTACATAGCCTGATGTAAACACTTGGGAGGTTGGGAGAACACTCGATAAGCTGGAAACCACTCCACTTCGCGTCGTGGTTTCCTACGCTTATCTCGTGTTCTCCCAACCTCCCAAGTGTTTACATCAGGCTATGTAAACATGGAAACCATTTTACATTTCTTCATTAAAAATTGTAGCGAGGCTATTAAGAATAGAAATCACCAGAAAACACTGATAGCAATCGATGTTTTTGGCAAAAATGAGCTGCTTTTTCTACGATTCACAAATCTCCATGAAGCGTCTTTAATTCGTCATAAGAAAAAAAACCACAGTTATGATTATTTGAAACTGGTCTCTTTATTTTCCTTTTGCTTAAAGCTGAGGCATTGAAGGCAATTGAAATGCAGCACTTGAGTGCAGAGATCACCGAGATAAGGGAACAAATACGTCAAGACAGGTATTTATTCCAAAAATCTACGCACTTTTCTTTTTTTTTACTTCATTTTCAGATCCGATGAGAATCTAGTGCATTCTTCCTTTGGTGTTGATCACAGTATTTTTAAATTGAATGTCCAGAGTTATCCGGGATCGTGTGATTTTACTCTACTCTGCAGTCTCTGATTGGCTGGGAAAACTCGCGCCATTCTTCCAAGGCGATCAAATCAAAACCAAAATCCATCGCGACGTGGTCACATAACAACTTCGGATTTGGTTTTATGACACTCATTCGAAACTCTTTCTAATTTGATATAATGTGTTCGAGAGACCTTCAAGTTAAGGTAAGAGACTGCCATTCTTATTCCAAGTGTGAATCCCTCGAGCGCTTATTTCAGATCAGTCCCGTTTCAGGAGATCGTCTATTCTATTCTGTTCTCTGCCTAAACATTCAAGACAAGTGAGACACAGGCAAATGATAGACCGGAAGCACATTACATATCTTATTATGAAGGTGTCGAAATATTCTATTCTATGATAAATATTGCTAATACTTGGAAACGCTTAGCGAAAAAACTCGATGTCACGTATTGAGTTAAATCACACGTCAAGAAAAAATTAAAGATTCCCTCGGTAAAAAAAAAGGAAAGGAAAGAAAGGGAAGAAAAATCAAGCTTGAACTCTACTTATGAAGAAGGTGCAAACTAAAGGAAAAAATATTTCCGGCTGATGAGTACAAAAATGTAGAAAACACAGAAACAGAATCGAAGGCCACTATCTTGCTTATGATATTTTGATAATTGCTAAACTGTGATCGTTTTTGCTCGTAACAATCCTAGAATCACTTGGCAAGCCATCAAAGACAATGTCAAGACAAACAAGAATAATAAAAGGAACATCAGCATTTCACGACCAATGCCTAACTTTGTCAAGGTAACTTACAGTGAACATAAGGTGATCTTAGGCAAGAAATCCTTTTGTAGCTGCTTAAACACTTGATATAATTAAAGGCTCCTGTGAGGCAGCTCATGGATGAATTGGATTAGCGAAAGAAAAGGCAGCTGAGTAAAAAAATAGGTCAGCAATGCGAACATGTGTGGCTTACGATCATGTTATCGGGCAAGATTTCACGCCTTTCTCGTCCCCCTATAAAAATTGACAGACATAGTGGAACAAAACAATAACTTAGCAGGAGAGATTGGAGCTGGATTGTTAATCCATTTTTGATGAATAAATTAATCAGAATCGAAAGTGTCATGTCGTGAGCTAAAAATTAGAGACGGCGGTCTCTTCCGTATAACCTTACCCGCCACACTTGGATATATCTAGTCCCATACCTGGATATATCTTTTGCGAATAGGTTTTCAATTAAATGTAAACTTATTTTGCAGTATACCTTGTCTCAAACAACGGTAGAGCAGTTGAAGGAACCAATTTTCAACATATGGCACTGGGAACCTAATGAGGTGTGACGTAAATTTGTAATAAGGTCACTGAGTCTGCGTACAAGCCAACGAAGCTAAACTGCTGGAAATTGTCTCAGTTTTTAAAAGATAAAGCGAAAATGAGTAATTATAACTCAGCCTTTATAAAGGATGGGATGATAGTCATTTATGATAGTTAACCCGTTGTGTTATGTGCAATATTACTTGGTCTTCTAATTGGCAACTTACTCTGCAAATTCACACGCCAAAGTTTGTTCTTTTCTAGTCATCTTGGCGGCCAAAACGGTTGCAGCATGGAGTCCCTTTTTTTGTTTCTGTTTTGCTTTTTTCATCATTCTGATTTCATTTTTGTGCCTACCTGTGTGTGCGTTTATCTATTTAACTTTTCTTTACGATAATCCATCAGGTCTTATCTCTGTTTTATAGATGTTGTCACTCATGGAACATATGTACCAAGAACTTGGACTAATCGATGACTTTGGAATCAACTCAGTTGTTCTAAGGCGTTTCTTGGTAAGAGTAATAGAAGTATTAACCCCTTAACTTCCATGAGTGACCAAGACAGAATTTCTCCTTACAATATCAATACGATATCAAGCAGACATGTGATGAGAATCAAGAGAAAATATAAAAAAGTGGATTATTATGTGATCCAGTACCAAATTCTCCGATCTACCATCATAACCATTGTACTGCAGACAGTAAGGAGAGTTACTAATTAGATCTTGGGAGTGAAAGGGTTGATAAGTGGTTTCTCTTTCAGTCATAAGACTGAAACCAGTTATTTCAGAAATCATTCGTCAAACCGAAAATGTTTATTTACCTGTTACTACATCTAATATTATTTCTGGCTCAAACTTCACAGGTATCAATTCAACAAAACTACCGAAACAATCCTTTCCACAATTTTCGTCATTGCTTTTGTGTCACTCAGATGGTAAGTGACGTCCTCTCAATAAAATGTTATTTAAAGCTTTTCTCGCTTCATTTGCATCACGGACAAGAATTTTGTAACGATCAAGGTCTGTCTCACTGTGTATATGAAACTTACTGAGAAAAACAGGATCTTACTTGGTGTAGAAGATTCAGTTAACGTAAAACAATAGAGAACACAAATAAAGAACGAGAAAAACAGGTGAAATCAGTTGGTTGATGAGTCGGTATTCTATAGTGACATGTCCTGTGTCTTCTACACTAAGAGGGAGTCGAAAAATACAAACAGATTTAGGAAACTTTGTTTTAAAGTTCTTGGTAACCGGAAGAAAAATTTCCGGTGGGGAGGAGGGGGAGCTGGGATTGAGTTGAGGCAGTACTTTTCTTCCAGGAATCCTTTACTTCGTAAAACTTAGAACAGTACTCAATTTGAAGAACAGAAATTCATTGAAGATACTGTAAGGAGAAAATAATAAATGAAGAAGAAGTTTACGCACTTGCTCCATCTGCTCAAACGAGGGGAGTAGAATGGCTGAGGGGTAAGAACATTAAGTCTCCTTCTGGTTTGGCCTAAATTTTGTGTTATATTTCAGTAGTAGTGACTCGGGAGTTTGCTCTGGCTTCGCTAGTTTTCCTACCTCCACAAAAGCCAATACTTAAATTTCCAACCCGACCAGGACACGGTGGACACACAACAACTTTGTGGAGGTAGTTTTGCAAAAATTCAATCTTTTTGTGGCGTACCCCAACAGTTCTTCCAAAATGTGTGCCTGAAAACTTTTAACAATGAAAAGTATAAAGAAGACTTTCACTCCTTTTTTGACTTGAAGTATTCAATACATTCAATATAAAAGTGGTCTCATGCGTGTTTCTTTCTCATCAGATGTTTTGCATCGTCCATCTGTGTAACCTAAAAGACTTGCTTTCAAAAATGGACCTGCTTGTTCTTATGACCGCCTGCATTTGCCATGACCTCGATCATCCGGGATTTAACAACACGTAAGTTGTTCAAATTAAAAACAGCACCATAGCCAGCCAATCAAACTGCATGTGTAAAGCAGTTTTCAGTGGAGTGTCGGAATATGAAAACGAACGCAATCCCAGCTACCAATCAGAACAAAGATTAGCCTACGTGTAGCTACACCCTCCCCCCTCCCCCATACCCCCCCCCCCCCAGTGAAAATTAACCAGAAAACTGTTTGCAGCGCGGGAAAACGCGGCAGACCTAGTCGCGATTGTCTTTGGTTTTGCATCTGATTGGTTGAGAGGATGGCGCAATTTTTCTGGAACAATATACAGAGCAGAGTGAAGTAAAAGCAGAACGATCTTGGATTACTTTCGACCCTCAAGTAAAAAGTTGCTTTGATTTAACTTATTGTCTGATCTTTAATTTTTCCAATATCTACAGTTACCAGATCAATGCCCAGACGGAGCTTGCCATTCGTTACAATGACATCTCACCTCTGGAAAATCATCACGCAGCCATTGCGTTTGAGATCATTAGTCAGGTATCTGATATCCTGATATAACGCTTTAACTCACCTAAGTGATTAAATGTAACTTCTCCCTATAAGATTCGTACGATATCCGGAAAACATGGAATGAGAATACTCAAACTTATCAGGCAGAGCTTGAGTTTTTATCTATACCTTACACTAAATTCTCGTAACTGATTTTCATGGAAATGTGTAGCAGCTAGAGGGGGAGAATTAGCTAATTATTAATTAATTAATTAATTAATCATTAATTAACTAATAGATCTTAGGAGTTGAAGGGTTAATAACGGCCATGTTTAATAATGATTTTAGCTCTCGCCCTTTTGAAATCATCCCGTAAATGATAACCATAGTCTATGATTATGAATTGAAAGAGAATTATGATGATGTGCACGATCACGATCAAAAATCACAAAACGTTCTCGCCGCCAAACTTTATGTCTCCAAATCATCAGTGCTACAAGCTACACTTGTCACACTAATGTGTGTAAGATTTGTCAAAAAAGTTGCACAATCAGGCAATAACTAGTTATAATGTATTGTTGTTATCAGCCGGACTGTAACATATTTGCCAACCTTAGTAAGGAGGATCAGAAGAAGATTCGGCAGGTAAGAATTGTCTCTTACTCCTACCAGTCCCCTGTTTTAACCATTATGTCGATAGAGGTCGATGTTTCTTTTTCTCAAATTTTGAAAAGCCCTTTGTTTGTGACAATACGATTCTTTAAGGATCTTAGCAAGACAGAGAAAGGCTGAAACGCCGTGGCATTCTCGTCACACAATTGTGACAGTTAACAGTCATACCGACGATGATATTTAGAGTGAGAACGAAAAATTTTCTTCTTTTTAGCTGTTGTAGGTGGCGTAACAAACAACATCAACAACAACAATTTTAAAACACCCCAAAGCTATCACGAATCTATTTTGAACTGGTTGTATCGCTTTCCCCGCCCCCTCCCCCCTTGGATCCCTTGATGAGATACAACTGGCTCCTTACCCCTCTCCCTTTACTATCCTTCTGACATTTCGTCAATACCCTCAAATACGTTAATGAGGATGGAATCAGGAGCTGTGATGACGCAGAAGAGGAATCAAATCCATCGTCAAATTGATCCGTCCATTGATTTAGAGTTTTGCGCGCTCGCTACCAGACTACGGCGTCTCTACTTTCCGGTTGCATTAGGTAAGGAAGCTTAGAGAGAGGGCGCTTTCAAAAGTAATTTTGTACCTAAGGCATGCATGCGGGACTTGGCTTTGGACTAACTTCAGGGAGAGATACCTGCACTCCCTTCCCATAACTGTCATTTTGTAATAAATTTTTTTTCTCAGGAAATTGTGATGCTGATCCTGGCCACCGACATGGCTCGGCACAGTGAGATAGTGGAGAGATTTAAGAGTAAACTGGACACCTTTGATTTCAGCAACGATGATTACGTTAGTTCGGTGAGCGAATGAACGAAATTTGTTCACGGTAGCTGTCAGGGTTGTTTTAACACGTATTTTTTACGTCTGCGGAGAAAAGTCAGGTGTTGATTTTTAATACTGCCTCCCATGGAGGCGAAGCCATAATGTTGTCCTATTGAGTGAATGAGTGAGTGAGTGAGTGAGTGAGTGGGTGGGTGGGTGTAACACTAGAATACAAACGACCTCTTAGCCCACAACGAAGTCTATCGAGTTGTACCCGATGTTCCTCGCTCTTGGCTTTTGTCTGTTTCGGGAAATACCCATTTATTACATGAACAACCTTTTAAAAATGTCTGTTTTTTTAAAAGCTGTCCCTTTTTTTATTAGCTCAAGATGATTCTTATAAAGTGTTGCGACATTTCAAATGAAGTTCGTCCAATAGATGTATCTGAACCTTGGGCGGACTGTCTTCTTGAAGAATACTTCATGCAGGTTAGAATGAGGAGTAACCAACCAATCGTAATTCAGGGAATCAACTTCCAAAAACCATGGCCAATACAAGTAACTGGTGCGGAAACATTTTTTGGATTTTTTTCTTGGGGCTTTTTTCAACTGTGCAATGTCAGTATCCGAGAAACTACGCACCCCTTCCCTAACCCAACTAAAGTCAACTGATAACAAGTTAGGGTTAATGTTGGGTTAGGGGAGGGGTAGGTGCGCAGTTGTTCAGTTACCGATATTGATCCAAAACTTCCCATATACTTTTCGGTTACAATAAGATAACACCAAGAGAAAAGATTGACCTCGGTCAAGGAGCTTTAACATAGACTTCAGTACTTAGTTTTTTTTTCTATCGCTCCTCATAATCAGACATCTGTTCTAATTACGAAAGGAAAAAGGCACTGACAGTTGTACGAACGGCCAATTATGAGTTCCAAATTATCAAATGAGGCCAAGAGCACAACCTCATTCGTGAAAGTAAGGATTTGCGTTAAGCCTCGCTTCTGAATAGAGGTATCTGCTTAAAATGTTTGCCTTTTGTGGGGGGGGGGGGTGAATACTGGAGCTTGATGTGCCCATGACATGCTATTTGACTCGATACTTCCAGAGTGATCGAGAAAAAGCCGAGGGTCTGCCTGTGGCTCCTTTCATGGACCGTGATAAAGTCAGTAAACCGACCGCGCAGATCGGCTTCATCAAGTTTGTGCTGATTCCGCTGTTTGAGCTGTTGAACAAGGTATTTGTAACAATTTTAAGCTAACTGTTGTCGTGAAAACCTAAAGTGCCTCTCAGATCTTTCATTTTTCAGACGTTTTTTTCGTTTGTCCAATATTAGTTTACCCAGTTTGGAAAACGTACTCAGAAAATGTTAGAATATGGATAGAAACTCAAATATAGATCAACTCAATGGTCGGTGCGTTAATTTATTAATTCATTGGCGTAGTTGTAAGCGCATTGAAGCCTGGATCGGAAGGGATGAGTTTGGGTCCTGGTCGCCGTTAATATGTTCGGTTCTTGTCCAAGACACTTTATTCTCACATTGCCTCTTGCAAACGAGGAGTTCAAATGGGTGCCAGTGATTGTTAGTGATGCGTAATGCAGTGCGGAGTGGGGAAGGGGTTTGGTCACTTGTGACGAAGATCCAAGGGGACCAGCTCTATTTTTAGACCCTTTGTGCTGCCTTGTACTTGTGTCTCTTTTTAAATTCTTTTATGGTTTATTTGCAGTTGTTTCCTCAAGTAGCTCCTGTTATGATAGTGCCTCTACGGGAAGCCTACGAAAACTACGAAAGAATGCGCATTGTGGAGGAAGAAGTTAAGGCTGCCACGGCCGACTTCCCTGAAGATTCAAGTCCTCCTGAGAAAAGTGTGGATAGTAGCAAAGGTAAAGGAGGGTGGAGTCCGTCAAAGGGCAAGTCGAACTTAATGGGTGTGTCCAAGGAAATACGAGAGATATTCCACGACCGCAACAAGGAGAGTAAACAAACGGAAAAAGAGCAGGAGAAACTGGCCCGCAACACCAACAAAAAGCAGGAGGTAGGAATTTACAGGAAGCACTGAAGGGAGAAAAGAGAAAGAATTGATAAAAATAATAGCGATAATGACAGTCATGATGAAAATGGTAGTGAAAGTGTTAGTGACGAGAACTATGACGATGACGATGACGATGACAATAATGCAGATGATGAGCATACGATCGTGATGATAATAACGAAAATAATAATGACAATAGCAATAACAATTATTCTGCTTTTGTACCTGTGACATTATTCGGATAAGTTCAGTCAATTTTCTTTGGTGTGCCGTTCTTTAAAATCCTGCTGAACAAGCAGACTAGTATCGCAACTGGTCAGTGGTCTACTGAAGTAAGATTCAATATGGCGAACTACGATGAATACAAGCGGACTATACTTTTAATCGATTTTCAAATCTGTTCTCTGATTTAGAAAAAGGATGAAGCCGCAGATTGCAGTCCGTCAGCAAGCGAAGACAAATAGATGGTCCACAAGCCTGATTACTTTGAAGACATGCAGACTTGACGATGAAAATTTGATCTATTTTTCCAGTATATTTAACACGTTAAAAGATTTAATTAGCGACCCTGAGATCGTTTTATTTGGCTGATTTTTTCCCACGAGACAGACCAGCGGCGGGGTGGGGGCGGATATGAAGCGTTTAAATGAGACCAAGGGTTGTCGTTAATTCTTAAGCTATTTTGTTTCTCTCAGTTTTCTAAACCCAATCAATAGCCGTCAGAATTAACATAAGCAATATTTCTCGCATCTCTAATAGCCACTAGTCTAGTGATGACGAGAGACCATTAGTCTAAGAGACTGAAACGCTCTCGTCAGAATTATTCTAAGTCTGACTATTTTTGGATCACACCTACTTTCGGAGGTCCCTGAAGAATATAGAAATACCCTATCCGAATTTCGTTTGGCTGGTCTTTTTTCTACAATACATTTAGGCGACACCAAAGAAAACATTGATTAAAAAAAGAAGTAACCTTCGCATCGAGAACTTTGTGAAGTAGCGTGCTGTTAAAACAGGCTTCAATGGCGGCTGGCCTCCTCTTCAGTGTAACGTATGAAGGTCACGTTGCAGTCGACTTCCAAATAATACGGTAATTTGGTTTTATTAACTGAGTTGGTAAGGTAAATTAGCCACCACAAAGAGTTTCTATAGCTACGCTGGCCAATTTACATGATAAACTCTGTGATAGCCCCCTCCCCCCACCGACGCAGCCCCCCAGTTTTTTAAGAAACTTACCCCCTTTACGTAAATAGTTGCTATCGGGGTTCTCTTTCTCATCTTATACAAAGTCTGGCAATTTTACGTGATTGTTTCGTTTTCGACAGTCAGGAAATGTATAAATTTAACGAGCACATTCAGACCTATTATCGAACTCAATAAAACTCTTTTGAGAGAGAGAGACAGACAGACAGACAGACAGACAGACAGAGACAGAGAGAGAGACAGAGACAGAGACAGAGACAGAGACAGAGAGAGAGAGACAGAGACAGAGACAGAGACAGAGAGAGATACAGGATTTAATGTAGTGTTACAGCGTCTGTTGCAAATAGATTGTAAATAAAGGAAATCAACGGTTATTGTATTAGATTAGAAATTGATAAATACCTATTAAAGACTCCTTAGAGTTACCTCATGGTACGTACCTTTGATTCCTCATGGGGACACAGAATTCTTTGTCCCATGCTCGAGACGAGGCGAGTGAACATCTTCCTCTCCAACCTTTCGAATTTATGGTACTTATTTCAGTTGTACCTATTTATCATTCTTAGCCCTTAGGATTACTGCACCTACATTGCCTCCTTTTATAATGAAAGGATGTCGGTGCTTCTAATTCATTTGCATGCTTTTGATATTGTTTTTCCATCATGGGAGAGTGACAAAGCGTTTTAATTTCTTCATGTTTTTTTCCTTCACCGGTAAATTACAGGGCATCATCTTCATCTCCGTTGTCTTTTTGTTATTTCTTAAGTTCCCTTCGTAAGAGAAAAACAAACAATCATTCATTTATTCATGAAATTTCAAAATGAGGCCTTAAAAATTTCTTTATTTATTACTGAGATCTACTGCTTTTGATGCTATTAGTCTTTCAATTCAGCTATTTTCGAGAATCTGAGTAATTTCCCGATCACAAAGTATTTCCCAAAATTCAGTTGCTGTGAATTTCATTTTCTCCTCTTGTCAAATGCAGCCTGTCAGCAGCCTGGTGCAAACGCAACTAGGCGCCAAATCTGTGACGTATAGCCGATTATTGGGTGCAGTTGTTAATCCCTATTCATCAGAAGTTGTGGAATTTTCAGCAAACCACGCCGTCCGTTTTACAGTGAAGATGTGCCGTCCGTTGTGCTAAATTTTACGTTGCACTAGAAGGAAGAAGACATTGGACCTCTAAAGAAGAGCAACGAAAGCACTTTTTTGTCACTACAATAACAGGTTAGCATTGCCTTTGGAAAATATCGCTTTAACACCTTCAGAGATCTAAACGAGTCGTATAAGCTCAGTTCAACGACAAAGCAGAGTTGGTTGCTGGTCTTAGCCGCTCCTCAACTCGAAATAAGACTTAATTAGGGCCGTGGCTTCGAGAAAAGCATAACTGACATAGGATTGTAAAATATCTCTCCAGTGAAACGTTCAAATAAAAATTTTTGGCTCGCTATTTCCATTCGGGACTTCATTTTGTATTTGAGTGCAGCCACGTGGAAGTCTGACACCGCTACTCGACATTTTGAATTTTTTTTATACTTTCGCTTTCTAAAATTGTTTCAAGGAGCAAAAACTACACAGAGTTTCAATTTCTAGGTTTCGTTCATGGAATTTTTTTTCTTGACATCTTTTAATCAGTACAATTAATTTGAAGCAAATAAAATGCTTTGCGGAACACGAAACTTTTGTGGTTTATTGAGTAAATATTGCTGAAAAACAATACAAATAATGAAACTTTGCTTTATTAACTTCCTCACTGATTGAAATAATTAAAGACAACAAGTAAATTAACACTCAGTTTATCAGTAAAAAAAAACAAAAAATGGCGCATGCGTATTTTGAGCGCCGTATTTGTCTAAGTCTTTTGGCGGGAAAATTCGCCACATTTGAACAGAAGATACTTACAGAGTAAATAACGTACAAAATGGTACATGCACACTTTAAGCGCCTGTGTTTTCAAGTTTTTTGGCAGGAACATTTTTCCTTACTAAAAGCTCTTAAAAATAACTGAATCGCCAAAAATCACGAAATAACAGCTTTCCAGTTAAACATGGTTTAATGCTACTCTAGTTTACAGATTTAATGAATGTAACCTAGTGCCTTCATCAGGGGTGATCTAAACGCTGCAACAAGAGGTCCTTTTATATGATCACTAATTAGCGGCCTTTTTTCTGACGAGGCGTAAATAGGCGTCAGGAAGCAAACCGCCTAACAAAGGCGCTGGTGGTAACGCCGATTAGTGGTGATAATTTTAGAATTATCCAACCCAATTGTATGGTTAGTTAGGCACGTGTGCTCCGATAAAGCTGAATTTTCCTTTTTGCAAAAGAAAACCGCTTTTTGATGCTCTTTTAAACGTGTACCAAACTGACGTTTGGTCTGTCCGATGTGTTCGTTCTCACAGTCATCGCAAGGAATAGAATAAATGGCGTCGGTTCGTTGTTCTTTCGTGACAGGATCCTTGGGTTTGGCGAAAATATGCCCCAAAGTCCGAAAATTTTTTTGAGCAACTTTAACGTTGTGGCTATTCAAAATTCTCTTGATGGGTTCCGTAACACCCTGAATGTAAGGAATAACAGCAAAACCAGTCGCTGATTCCCTTTCATCAAGAGCGTTACTAGTTGTAACTGGTTTTTGGCAGTTACGGAGAAAGGTTTTTGTATAGCCATTTGCCTTTACGACACTAGAAACATATTTCCTCTCCTCAGCCTTCGAATCGAGTGAAGATGGTGGACAGTCAGCCCTCCTAAGTAAAGTTTTGGCTACAGACTTTTTATGGCAAATAGGGTGGTGAGAATAGAAAGCGAGGTATTTGTCCAGTTCTTGATATTTGCGTTTGAATCTTGGCTGACTCTAAATAGTGTTGAAAGAAATGTTCTGCGTCTGTTTTGTACCCCCAAATAAAGTTTGTCTCCACTGGATCATAGTTTTTCTTGATTTATTTGTGCTTCAACTGATATTTACTAGTCAGTCTGCGAAAAAAGGAAAATAAACCGTAAATTAACAATACTCTGGGATTTAAACTTGCTGTCTCAAGCGATAATAGTACAGGGTTGGTTTGTCGCAGAAACACGTACTTGGTAATCAGGTTAGACGAGTAAAATTCAGTTTCTAAATCTTTAAGAATTTTTATTTATACAAACTTGATGAACGTGAGCGTAACCTAGATTTCATGATGGAAACTCCAAATGATCATCATTGAACATTTTGGCAAAGTCAATAATTTTTTTTCTAGCTATTGTCGTGGAAATAGCTTCAGGATAAATTTTAGACTTCAACTTAGAATTAAGCATTTTGCCTCCTTGTTTTCAGGAATTAAACCATTTCATTTTAAGCCGAGAGTTTTTAATTTCCAATCGCTCTGACGAAGGGCTAACGCCCGAAACGTCAGCCTTTAAACTCTTTACGTTGGCCAATTTACGTTTTCATCTCAGTTGCCTGTTTTTAATTTCAGTCATGCAACAAGAAGCAGTTAATCTGTGCTTACCAGCCATTTACCTTACATCACGCAGGAATTCACAAACAAAAATTGCATACATTTAGTTTCTGCTTGCTTGAATTATAACTAACATCATTCGCAAATTCCTTGTCAACGCAAAATACTGTTCTCCTACTCAAATTTCGAGAAGAAAGCATTAAAGATAACAAAATCTGAGGTTTTTTTGCAAGTCTCGTTCGTACCGAACCCCCTTAGAACCATTCCTAGAAATAAAACCATAAATAAAATGTGATAACTGAAGGAACAAGCCGATATTTCTCCTCTGTCTCAAGGGATGAGACCATCAACAACTGAGCTCCAAGAGCTGTTTCAACGGCAATAATAGCGCAACTGACAAATTTAACATACTCCAGACTAATCAGGAGATCTAAAAAAAATTATATAACATAGTTTGAGAAATTAAAAAATCCTAAGCACATTATAATTGTGTTTAGCCACAAGTGTCGAGACATTCAGGCATCAGGTTGACCGAAATTTATCATTAAATGAAAGCCCTCTTTAACATCTTATGACCATCATCCCGGCTATTATGCAAAAGCTACAAGATGTTTTGAAAGAAAATTCGCCGGCCGAGTATCAGTTGTCAGTTCTCAGTGAATCAATAAGCTCGGCGCCTTCCTATTCTTTTATTATCAGTTTAGTCTTGAATCAAAATATTGCCTTGGTAAGGTAAAACGTCCGAGATAAATTTAAAATCTTCTAGTCGTGGCGTACGGCAGTATTAAGTTTATTTAGAGGTTAAAAAAAATGCTAATCCTTTGTGTGGTGGTGGTCTGAATCTAGCCTTTTGATGCGGGTAAGAATTCGAATGTAACATTCAACTAATTCAAGGTCTTGGGAGAGCCCTTGGGCAGATACGAAACATATTAGACCAGAAAATTATACCTTTTAAAATGTCTGCACACTGTCATTAAGTAATCTCTAGAAAAATATCAAGGAAAAGCTGGATGATCTGGCTGTATCATTATTACAATTACCTTCTAGTCATGAAGATAACTTCAAGATAATTTGAAAAAGTCGTTACTAGGTAGTTCAAATGAAAAGTCATGCACAACGATGATAAGGTATTTCTTTGACTCCGCTGGTGAAACAGATAAAAACTGTTCATGCACATGGTAGAATTAATTCATCAAACAGACACCGCTGAAAACTATTGAAAGCTACCTCAATCAAAAAAAGATCCAAGAAATTAGACAGTGAAGAAATTGGTCCATTTCTTAGTTTGCAGTTTTTCTTCACTATTGAGTGGGTTAGTTTCGAATTGTGAACATTCGCTGAAACTAAGTTAAATCGTTCAACGCAGACGAATAGGTCTAGAAAAAAAGCCAATTATCTCACCTTGTTAGAAGTTGTTGTGTACTTCTTTCCTTCCTTTACTTGCTTGTGTTCTTATTTCCTTAGTGATACTATCCGATGTGATGGAGAAAACAAGAGACAAATGTATCATGAAGACGTAAATACATTCAGATACTTGAATACTTAATTTTCTTTCTAAATAGCAAAGGCCTACGTCTGGATCGAGAGACTCATTTGGAGCCACCACATTTTCTGGAGACAGATTTATGTCCTTATAAGTCTTATTGAACAAAGGCATAGGTAAATTTCATGGTTTTAACGTACTAAGCATTTGAAAACAAAATATTTAATTAATTGGGAGTATCCGATCTAACTTTGGCTGTTGGCTAGATACGTTAGAACTTCAAAGGTGTTTGATAAGCTCACTGTTGCCATGGTAATTTGATACCAATATCGTCACCATTGGATATGAAGCGATAGAATTGCTTCATTTCAAACTTAAGCTTGTTTTTGATTTACCAGATTTATAGGTTTAGATAAGTTAATCCTTCACAACGATAGATACCAACCTAATTGGATGTTACCCTTTCTTTCCTCTGTTCACTTCTTGATTTTCAAGTTGTTTCAATTTGTGTTTGATGCTGTCTTACCTGAAAAAGAGAAAAAGGATATGAATATATTTACCTATCTTTAGGTAAATTTAACAAAAATCCATGAATGCTATTTTCAAGTAGACTCTTTATAAGTAGAAATCAACACATGAAGAGAGAGAGAAAACTTCGGGTAGAGCCCCCGTATTTGATGCAGGAAGACAGTCCTAAAAAAAATATCATTTAAATTTACTAGTGTAATAACTTAACAACAACAACTTCCTTATACCCTTTATCAAGTTTTACTAATTTATTAAATAGAAAGTAATCCTTAATTATTGTTAATAATGGTAATAGGACTGATTGGAGTCCAATTCGGTCTGTAATCATAAGAGTGATAAACAAAATCGGACGACCGCGAAGAGAAAGTCCGATTTGTCAATTACGAGTATGATTACAGACAGAATTGGACGATACGAAGTTCTGTTACCAATTAATCATAATCGTTACAATTTAGAACAAACATCTCCGGCAGAGACAATGTCCTAAGTAAAAAATTCCCCCATTTTGGAAATTCCCCATATTTTTTTTGGGATAAGTGGTTGTTGCTATGGTATTGTGATCAATTCTGTGATTATTGGATTTAGCTAAGTAGATTAAGTATGACTGGCTGCTTCAACTGCCCGACTACAGGTGTTCGATTACAGCCAACTGTCCGATTATAACTGTACAGAATGATAATAGAACAATGACCAGCTAATGCACAGATCACATTTTGATAAGAGAGTACCAGCATAATGACTAAGCAGCTAAAAATGACAGGGAGCTGGACGGAAAAAGTAAATTAAATGTCTGTAGCAGAGGTACAGAGGTATGGTAAACCTACACACCCAATAGATAGACATAACACACTCAAAAACAAAGAGTAGTATCAGTATTTAACAATCTTTGACGATCCAACCCTCACTTCAGTTACATAGACAATACTGTTCAAAGATAAATGCAGTTACGTGCCTTTACATTCAAAATAGTGAAACAGAGCGAAAGAAAACATTTTTCAAATAAAGGCCTATTTCTGTATACAGGATTGGCTTGTACAGCTGCCAGGGTGAAGTCTGGTTCCTGCTGTATAGTATGAATTAAATAACAAAGAGTACAGCCACTTTTTTTTTTTTATTTCGAGGCAGGTGCATAGTAGGCTACCGTTGAGCGTTTTGTAAGGTTTCCTGACAAAATAAGTAAAAGCAAGCGTAAAATTTCTATACAGCCCCATACTACATTATGCATTCAGTTCTCGGATAGAGAAAACAATGACAAAAACAAGACATTGCTATTGGGAAACAGATTTGTTTTACAATAGTATGGGAACGTACGGAAATTTTACCAAAGCAAGTACTGCCCTACGCGTCGTTGTATCAAAGATAGGAACCAGTCATCTGGTAACCAGAAACTAGAGTCTACACCACATCGTTTTCCCAACTACTCTCTCCTTTTTTGGCAGGCTTGAAGTGTAAGAGATAGAGCCGAGTGGATGAAAACACATTTACAAGGTCAACACACAATAATCATAAAAGCTAACGGTACTTAAAAAATTTGTACAGGAATGAAAAGAGAATTATGTAAACTGGCGACAAGTACTTGGACAATAAAGTAAAAGATTTCTCGCGTTGCCACTAAAATCACGTTTAAGAAGAAAATTCATAGCGGCTGCCACTGAAAAATTGTCCTACACTGTGTTATGTGCATTACACTCTTTCTTCTTACATTGACCACGTAAATTAAATTTGCAAGAGCTACAACGAGAATGATGGAAACTACGTTTATATCCAAACGTATCTTTCCACGAGGTTATTTACCTGAAGAAAGATCGTCTCAAAGTAATGAGCATGAATCCTCGAAACAGCATCTGAACCATTTCATCCAGCATAAGAAACACTCGCCGACCTGGACAGACCAGACATTATCCAAGGTAGTGGAGTCGAAATGACGTTGCTCTGGACTCCGTAGATGTTCAAAGAAGAAGCTTAAATTTCTTGTAGTTCGTAAGCTCTTCCACGTGTAAGACTGAGTGCAAACATGAATATTAATTTTTAAAATTCTTTGTAATTCAAATTAGTTTTTGCAACTTCAAAAAGCAGGTTCAAAATAATCGACATCGAGTTTTATGGCGTGTTTCGTTCAATTATAAAACGAGAAGCAATGATGCCTCACTTTAGACCTATTTTCACCTCAAGGAAGTTTAATATATTGAGAAAGCTGCACATAGTGTTGAAATATCAGTACGAACTTAATCTCTTTCCGACTGGATGAAGGAACATATTTAATTCGAATAGCGGAGCTCGAAGCGCGCGCGAAGCTCGCTCGCAGTGAAGCCTTATACTTATAAAAAAGTTGAAGTAATTCGCTGATCAATTCAAAGCTTCAACATTCCCCCCAGGTAACCCACGGGCATTTGACTGTCCTTCGTGCCCGGGGGTGGGGAATTTGAACCTTGCCTGGGTGAGGTGGGGAATTTGAACCAGAACTCTCAAGTCTTTCCGATGGAATATACTTGTTTTATATTTTACAATGGAGGTGTTGAAAGGTATAGATTTCACTTTCGCGAGCAGATGTCTGAAAAGAAGGTCTACAAGAAAGTCACGGTTGCTGATCTTGCCTTTTATGAAAACATTTTCCATGAGATGTGGCACTTGTGTGGGGCATTTACTTCTTTAAGCATGCGCGAACATCTGTGTTGCTGGCACGCATCTTGGCATTAGTTAGGGGAAAGGAGAAGGTAATGCACATGCGCGCGTTAGTGGGGGTTTGGGGATTGAACCAAATCTAATTGGAGAGGCAGGGCTAATGCGTTTGATCCACGTTTAATGCATAAATTAAATGTCTAACAGATCTGAATGGAGTGAATTAGTGAGTAGGAGAATTCTGATTTCATACTAAAACCTCATGCTACGACTGACATCATAAGCTTAATCAAAGATTTAGGTGGGATTTTCCTCACGCAGAGAAAAGAACCAGGTGCAAATTTCATTTTGTTCCTCCATACCTGAAAATCTAAAAAACGTTTCCCTATGTCTAAGAACAACATTTAAGGATGTTTATGAAGCATAGAGCACTTAGAAAGGTATTGGCATTGTAGCCAATACACAACAGCTAAAACAGCAATTATTCTTTTGCAAAAGCCAGACTCTCATTTTTGATGGACCTCGGCTTCACCCTTCGAGCGTCTATACTTCGTGGAATTTTCCGGACGAGGTATCAAGGTTAAATTGGGGACCGGTCATCATTAAGACATGAAGGGCGGGGGAAGGGGAAGTAGGGAGGATTTTGGTTGTGTCAGGATTAAATTTAACAGATCCCCCCACAAAACTCTGTAATATTCTCACGGCCCTCCCCCCCTCATCGGCAGTTAATTTACAGTAAATTTTCTGTATTTTCCTATCATGTTAGTGACGACTGACCCCTCCATTACCACTGACAACCATGTCATCCTCTAAAATCCTCCACCAACCCCCCCTTCCCGCCCTGTTCCACCCCTCCAGGCGATTAAAAATGATGACTGGTCCTGAGAAAGCAGGCGAATTCACTTAAGGAAAGCAGCAAATTTTAGTCAAAGTAGCCATCTTTCTCCACTTCTCGTCCTACTTTTTTACAGTTTGCATTTTCTGTAGAAAATAATAGCCCTTTATCGTGATTTTCTCTGCGCGAGAAGAAATTCTTGATGGAATTCATTGGTCCATTCGCCTTCTTGTTCAACTGAATCATCCGCAACTGCCTAACGGCGTCGTGGAAAGCAACTTTCACGTTAATATTACTAGCAGCTGAAGCCTCGTGAAAGAAACATTCGTACTCCGAAGCAAACTCTAAAGCCTCCTGTTGGGACACCGACCGAGAGTGACTCAAGTCTACTTTGTTACCAACCAGAACAATGGCAGTTTGTTGACCTCGCTGCTTCTTCAGTTCCCGGATGAGCTTGACGAGTTGCGTGGCGGTTTGAAAAGATCTCGGTTCGTCTATGGCATAAACGACTATGAAGCCCTCATTTTGGCTTAGATATACCGGTTCATTCTGAGGTAGATAAATAAATAACAAAGTAAATAAAGAAAAAAACGATAAGAAATCAAGTGAATTCAAAATGTAGTGAAAATAAGTGTAGATGTAGCTTATTCTCTAGTTTTCGTTCTCCTGGTAAGCGTATGTCATTATTTATAAAAAAAACTGATTTTAATCGCGTGTGATCTCTGTGAGATCAGCCTGCTCTATGAGATCAGCAAAGCCAAACATGAGCTTCTGATCTTTGCCGGCTCAAAGTAAAAAAAAAAAAGGGGAGGAGTGATGTTGAAAAATTCAAGCAGTCTTTTTTCAGTTCGATTTCCTTTGCTTTCTCAGGCTAATTGCAAAAACTCGGTACGTAGTTGATGTCATATTCACCCCAGACCTGTAAAAATTAATGTAGAACAACGTCTATACTAAAACTCACTGTGCTTGCGGTGTCAGTTATGTGTAAAATCGCTGGATCCTCATCTATTTCAACACACATATCGTACGTCATTTCTGTCAAATAGAAAATATGTCTTTACAATGATTTATTTTCAAGTTTATCGATGCATATAAGCTTTAACGGTCAGTTAATCGCTAGTACTAGTTTCCCAGGTTTGTTGAAAAAGCTCGTTCCTTTTTCTCCCGTGCATTTCAATAAACAAGACTGTAAGCTTTTCTCGCCCAAGAATACATATATGGAGGCTAGGTACAGGTTTTGACTGTTGCCATGTAACTATTTGGTGCAAGAGAGGATGATTGGGCTTACCAAAACAAGGCAAAAATCACTCAAAACCGACTGAAAATTACTGCGGGAATATGGTTATTGAAACCAAAGTTTAATATTGAGAGCTAGGATCTAGACCCAAAAACCGAAAACCATAAGTCTAAAGTTGATCTCAAAACTGAAGATTTGGATTGTAAAGACAGGACACCCCGACCTCGAAATTTCCAAAAGTTGGCGTAGGAGAAACCCTCTCGAAATCCAGAAAACGTAAAAACCTACAGTGACTCTTTTAATCAAATTCCTCCATATAATTTTAGTCTAGTCAGGATCTCCGCTCCTTCCGTGCTGAAAATCCTCAAAAGATTTGTCGTTTCCTTTTACTGGTATTTTTTAATCCGCTTAAATGCAATAAAGAAACCGGGTGTTATTATTATGACTAATAAGCTAGTTAATCACCGGCTAAGAACCAAAATGTGGTGAAATCCTATACGTCTTTAAACAAGGCAGCTGTAAATAGAAACACTTTTTTGCACCCCTGATTTCATGTGATTAACCTAATCAATTATCTGCGGTAAGTGTAAGGATTTAAAGAGTAGAGATTCATTTTTGTTCTCTGCGGTCAGCAGTTGCCATGACAGTACGTAAGCACACACGACATCAATTTTGAGTACCTACACCAACAGCCCATCTGGTCATGCAGTCTCCAAAGTGCTAAGTGTTTGTTGCAATTAATATAAAGAAAACAAATTTACAACTCACCAAGGGTTGGGTCGTATTCATGAATAAATCTTCCGGTTGTAAACCGCACTAACAATGCTGTGTACATAAAATGAATGAGTAAATAAGTAACATGTCATCACTGCCTCTACAACACTGACTGTATCAAAGAACTAGACATATTTTCTGCAGATAGCATGATACAGAATAGGGCTCAAAAAATTTCCGAATAAGACTGGGACGGATAAGAACCTAGATGTTGCATCCCAAACTTAGGATGTGAAATTTTCAACCCTTTAACTTCCAGAAGTGATTGACAAGTAACTTCTCTCTATGATATCCGTACATTATTCAGCAAACAGGTAATGAGAATATTCAAACTTATCAGGTAGAAGTTATCTTGATCTGACATCAAATTCTCGTAAATAACTTACACTGTGAAGGAAATGTGTAACAGGCAAAGGGGAGAAGTAACAGTCAGATCTTGAGAATTAATAGAAATATTTTCCTAAATATGACCTCGTACGCCGTGTGATCTAAGTAGTTAATTATTGTATACATTTGAAGCGTCCACTTTCTATACGAGACAATCAGTTTAGACTTCAATAGAATGTCAAGTGGTAGTACTGTTGACTTTTCCTACAAGTATCGCGTAAACAGCAAGTAGTTCTGAACCCTGGTTATTGACCTTTAAACCATGATTTTGTCTGACTGCATACACTCAGATGCAAATACTTCGTCACAAAGCACAAAGTATAAACCACCAGACCCAACTGCTTTACCGATTGCGTCTTTACATTACCTTCATTCGCATAATCAATAACTTACTTTTTTTATATTTTAGAGCAACATTCAGTTGAGCGTTAAAAGTAATCAAGGACTGTATTACTTTGATATAAAGCTTCATATGTTGAGGGTTTGGAATGGGTTGGCTGACAACAATTTGTAGGTCAATTTTGCTAGGTATGTGCTGCTGGCCTCTCAGAACCCGTCAATACCCCATTGTAGTATATTCTGTGATCAATCAGTGACCCATCTTACTCACTTTTGGACAAACTTAATTTTCGCGATCCTAACTGAGTCACTTTCTGTTTATGCATCTGCCTCATAGAACATTCTAAGTAGGTCATCCTAAAATGAATTGACGCATTTACTAAACTTACCCCGTTGTCGCGCCCGAATCCTGAAAAAGTGCAACTCCAGTCAAGTAACTCTATTGAATATGTAATTCCATTACAGTCAATCCCGTCGTGAAAATGGATTGAATCCTTCTAGTAGCAAATCCCCATGAAGTACCCCCCCCCCTTCCATTCCAGGCTTACGTTAAGCTTAGCTGCAGTCAGACCAGTCAGCTACACTCAAAACATCCTGTTGTATGTACTTTAGAGGAATTTGTGCCAACGGCAGTGTAAACGTGCATGCTATAGTACCCCATGAGTCCATTTATCCGGAAGGATATAGCACTCACACTCTATGTCATGAATCAAAATGCCAAAAAAATTGAACCGAATTTCTAATCTGATTAAGTTCTTTACCCTCCGCACCTGATTAATGCAATTTAAATGAGACTTTTTTTATAGCAACACAAAAAATGTTATCTGGTTAACCTGTGGTACGATGCGTTATCATGCATATTACCCACGGCAGTATGGGTTATCAGTTCGACTAAAGCTAAGTTGGTCTGAGACACATTTCGCAAAAGTAAAATAAAGCATCTAGATTGCCAGTTTTTTTTAAATCAGATCATATTCTTATGTTAATAGATTGAACACATACACAAATTCCTTCCGAACCCAACAATATTGTTCATATTTTAAGGTTCGCTGCATGGACATCGTCTGTTCAGGAAAAAGGTACTTAGGTTACACCGCGATTAATTTGATACCACAGGATTACATACATTTCTGCTAACATAGCTGAATGAGTTTTCAGTGATTCATATCTTATGCGCCATACTGTGCTTCGATTGTAGTAAAAGGTATTTTTCAGTAAACTAAATGTTGAGTTCACCTTTCTCTTTTCAGAGACGTCCAATTTATCACAGGATGTTTTGTGTCGTCCATTTGTTTTATTTTAAGCTCATGAGATGGGATTTACATGGGTTATCCATAAATATCGGATTGTTCCAACGGATTACGATTTTTTTTTCCTAGAAAAGTGAAGAATTCTTATTGAGATCAAAGCACCGAAGCACTACTTGATGAGATGAGTGGCCGCCAAAATTTACCAAGTGTACTTTTTTTGAATATAATAAAGTGCATAATTACCGCAGTCAAAGACTGTAGTCTCGATCTCTTCAGGCCCTTTAAAATACTAACTTGCAATCACATACAACTAAATAGCTTACATATTCGATCAATTCCGAAGCTGTCAGGCGTGAATTTCCTTATGATAACATCAAAGGAACTTTCACTTTAACTTTGCTGAGTACTAGGAACCCACTTAAATTCTTTATAGCTACGCACTGTGTTCGATCAGTCAACTTTGACGTAAATCAATGACTACATTTTCATTTTGAATAAAAGCCGAAAATCGTTGCCTTTAGAATTTAGGTTTGCTTGGCTGACCCCCCATAACAAAGTGAAGTTATGGAACCAATACCTAAAACGATCAACTTGAGTTAAACAAATAAAAATATGAAATAACACACTCAAAGGTGCCGCGTGGAACAAATATTTTCGAAGAGGAGTTGAAATATATATTTTTCCTTAACTAAACTCCATTGTCTGAAGGACTGATGAAATTCGACTTTTTGTGTTTGTAAACCATAACAACCATTTTTTCCCTTCAAAAAAAATTGCATGGGCTTTGAATAATGAGACATAATTGGAATTTAATTTGTTTTCGTAGCTTTTCACAAGATCACAGGTATTCAAATAATTTGTAAAGACAAAATTGTTATTCTATCTTAAATAAACACAGCAGGTCAGAGCGAAACAAAACTGGATTCTGCGAAAGGAATGATTTTATTTTTCATGAGGCAACAATGAGCCAAGAGAAAGAAAAGGAACCGTTTACTAAAGTCACGCTACTTGGTTCAAGTTGGCTCAATTATAATGACTGGGCTTTTTTAAAACATTCTTGTATAAGCTATCATCATCTTATTTCTCACGTAACATCGTAGTATTGACTTACCCGATTTCCCAACACCTCCCTGTCCAAGAAGAACAATGTTATAATCTCTGAACGAGCTGCTTCTTCTGTGTAACGAACTCGATGTCGTGTTGCGCGAATTTAACGACGCGGGTGGCTGACCCACAAAAGGCTCGCTGTCTCTTCTCCTTGATCGATATTTCATTGGTTTCTTACTTAATACTGGGGAGCTTGGCGATCCAGGCGGACTCGGACATCTGGGTGATGGGCTGTCATAGTCACCACTGTAACGCGCTTCGTTAGTCTTTCTGTCCGGGGACGAAGGAACTTGTGGTGGAGGGCTGCAACCCCTTTCCGCGAAATCCTTCTTACCTCGTTTAGCCTTGGACAATTTCTGCGTTTCTAAAGGAGGGATTATGCGGTCCGCTCTCAAGATGACCCCTTTTGATTCCGCGAAATGTTGTTGTAGCACGACGGCTGGCGCAGAACCTCGTCTTCGAAGCATTCTAGAGGAAAATTTCACCTCTGATAAATGGTGGCACTTGAGCTACTGCTCTGAACTGCGAAAATGCACAGTTCGTTTAAATTTTTGTCTGTTGCCAGTTCAACCATGAACAGCTGCTAGGCAATTGTCTGAGTAATTGTTCGCGGCAGTTTTCATCGATAATAATTGCGTAAACAAGCACAATATCATTCGCATGCTCCACTGCCCTTTGTTTGCTGTTGAACCGAGCTTTTCAATTTTTCTACCGAATTAAGCGAGCACGTCAAGAGGTAATTACTAGACATGTAAATCAGCGGACGGCAAAATATCTTTTGTCCACAACAAGAGGTTAGTGACCCTCCAGATTGAGCTAAGCCGCCCTACATCAATCAGTAAAGTACGCGAAAATTGTTTAAATCCTATTAAACAATTGCAACGTTTGGGAACTGCGGAGCACTGTTCTGTTGCTTTATGACAGGGAAAAGTTTCAAAATTGCCTTATTTGAAGAACAGATAGAACGGTGTGTTCTCACAGGAGCGCTCGATTGATGTTTCACAGGGTTGGGTTTGTGGTTGCGTTGATGAGAATTGTGTGATGGATTTGTTACTGATGGCTGATTAGAAAAGTCTGTGATCGTTGTGAAACTGGCTACGCTTAAAATAAACCATCGATAAATAAAGAATGACTCGTCTTTGCTGTGGGGAAATTTCATTGCTTGGACAGTTTGCAATACGACTCTTTAGAAGCCTTTGTTTGCAAACAAAAATTTAAAGATAATGGCATTGTGTTGTTTAGGAATTGTAGATAACATGACGTGAAAGGGCGTGGAAGACCGCTGGAATCTATCAAAGCTAAGAGAGAAAGATTGTAAACAGGAAATGAAAAATAGGTAGCCAAAGACTGCATGTGAATACTGATATAGCACAAAATAGAACAAAAATGGTTGTATAATGACGCTAGAAGGTGGTGCTGCCAAAGATTTGTATTCACTTGCAAAACAGTAAACCCGCTGCATCCCACATATTTATTAGTACCCTGATCTGATGAATCAGATGAAGGTAAATCAAGAATATGGGGGTTTGCTCGAATGTCTAACGGTCCCCAAATCCTCTAGGCTCCAATAATGATTAAGGAATGCTTCTTTTAGTTTTGCCTGTTAAATATAAATAATTTTCTTACTTTGCTGCGACTCCATTTTTGTGAGATTTTTGTTTCATAAAAAGAGGAATTCTGCGGTTTAGGATACTCCGTCATTCTGCGTCTTAGAGCATTCTGCCATTCCGTGTCTTAAAATATTTGACCTTTTCGCTATTCCGCTGTTCCACAATTCTATCAATCCATTGACTGGGGTCACCCTATAAACTTCGCAACTATCTCGCTTCGCAAACTTAGCGGCTCTTTGGGGTAAAAGTCGCTGATTCAAACAAAATGTGCTCTTTTCAATTAAAAAAAATTCCTCAAAGTTGCCATGATGCGCACATCACACCTAGTGAGATATTTCTGTAAGGAAAAGTTTGGTTTAAATTATGCGTCGGTGGATGCCACTGTAAAATTGTTTTAAAAATTATTTATCGTCAATCATAAAGTCACGGCAAGAACTGAAAAATTATATCTCCGTATCTACTGAGCATAATTTGCCAATTCAAATGGCAAAATTTTATCTCTTTAAAGAAACAATGTTGCCTCAAGTTTTCATGATGTGCTTAGCACACCTATGAAGATATTTGTGCAAGGAAAGTTTTGTTTCTAATTACGCGCAATCTTGAAATGATTATGAGAAGTTTATCGTCTTCTGCTGTCCTCTGTAGTGTTACGGCAAGAACTGAAAACGTAATGCGCTAATGGCTATAAGCCTGAAATCAAAAAAAGAGAGAACTCGTATGTGTATCGAATGCGTATGTCGAACCAATAAGATACTCCGAAAAAAATGATAAGAAGCTCCGGGAAACATCGCTTCAAAATTGGGGCAAGATCAGAACTCTGTTGGTACTTACCATCTCTTCTCTCAATAACATACGTGGCTTCGCTTCCCATAAGAGGCAGTAGCCACAAAAATGAGGAACTCCAAGCTGCGGGTAATCCCCTGTGGCATTTCGATGGCTAATCCAATGGTCCATTTTGCAGTTGCGTGATCGGTTGCCAAGCCTTTGAACAGAAGTGAGGCTAAAGGTGACCTTGTTATGTTACAAACTTTGCTGCTTTCGTCTGATGAAATACAATTTCACTATCCTCGGGACCGCAATCCAAATTTTCAAGGAGGGAAAAGTAACAAATCTTGCAATCTGATTGGTTCTTAACACGTTATGGGTCCACGGTCAATACTCACCGGATCTAAAATATCGCTTACTGACTCTTCTCCCCGAGGGAGTCACCTCGAATTCGAGGTTGCTTCACAGCACAGGTTTACGCACGGTCTGTGCTACTACGCGTGCCTGCACGGGCTTTAAATCAGACAAACAAACACTGAGGAAAAACGTTCGTCGCCCGTTTCCCTCCGCTTTCATAGTGCACCCTTCAAATCCCAGCATGAAAAAACGAGTTACTGGTTCAGTGTGGTCAGTTAAAATTCATTCTCTTAACTTCTACGATAAGCATTATTTCACAGCATCCACTGACGGGAAACACTGCAGTAAAATGGATCAAATCACCTCAACAACCTATTTGGTAAAATGCTCTTTTTAATAACAAAATCTAAACGTTTACGTCTTTATAACACTTCTGAAAAACTGCAAACAAATAAGTAACGGTCTTAAAAACAAAACTAGAAAAGTAGCTTTAACATAGGGTGTGTAAATAGTTGACACTGGAAAAATTACAATGTAACAACTGAAGAAAGACTGACGTGTTACCTTTTTCCCGGTTTTTTACAATCTCTTTGTAAACTGCTAAAAACCACAACAATCTGAGTTGCATTCTCAGCTTTTCCTCAAGTTGCAGTGGTACTTTCCTTAAATTGAACTACTCTTCTTTACATTTTTAACAACAGGTAACAACTGAAAATCCCAAAATTTAGTTTCTTTCCTCTTGGAGGAGACTTAATCACTATTTCTACCAAGCCTGTATATTCCGGCTGACTTACATTAAACTACACAGAAGCAGTGTTCACTCTTATTGATACGTCCTGATTATAACTGCGTGTCAAAGAAAAAAAATAACAAACAAACAAAAACAAGTGATATCGTATCACCCGGTGACTGAAACTAACGATAGCGCTTTTTGAAAACACTTCGGGGAAACTATTCTTCTGGTATCTTCAAAACTATGAGTCCCATTTTTGTGCATTGGCTTTTATCTACAGGGTAACGCGAAAAATGTTATCTACCCACGTTTTCTTTCTTTATCTTAGTCGCTTGGTTTACTTTATTATGGCAGTCTTAGATAAAAATAAGGCAGCGTTTTTTCTCCTTTGTCATGGAACGAATCATAATTCAAACTACACTTCGAATTAAGTGCAATCCTTGAATTGCCAGTAGATGGAATGCAACCCAACGCCCGAAATACGCCTCACTTGTCGTTAAAAACTTCCCTATCGCTAGGGCGCACGCGAAAATCGGCATCCCCAAGTTTTTTAAACTCTAGGTTACGACGATGAAATTCCTTGAAAAATGTTTAGGGAGCATTTTATCGCCTGAGGGGGTTGAGCTGATCACATGGGTTTTTTTTTTTGGGGGGGGGGGGGGACAGAGGGGCGTCAGTCGTCGCTAACAGATTTCAAAGGGGGACAACAAAAATTGACTGCCAGTGAAGGGGGATCTTTAAAATACTTAATAGCCTAAGAGGGGGACCAGATAAAACCCCCACCCCCAGGGGATAAAGAATGACCGGTTCCTTAGCCCTTTAACTCCCATGCGTGACCAAGAAAGAACTTCTCCATACAAGATCAATACGATATCAAGAAGACAAGTAATGAGAATAAAGAAAAACATCAATTAAGGATTAGTAGTTGATCAAATACCAAATTCTCGAAACTAACATCACAAGAACTGTATGGCAGACAGTAAGGAGAATTACTAATGAGATCTTGGGAGTGAAAGGGTTGAACATCCACTCGTGGGTGGAGATGAGATTACGTATGCTGCAGCGCCGTTTTACGTCTAAATACGATAGTTTCAAAATAGATTACAACACTACCACGTACATCTAACGAAGGTTTCTGTCTTAATGTTCCCACTCGACTACGTTTTGAATTGTTATAGTGCAAGGCATTTTCGGGTTGCATTTCACTGATGATACCCTAGTTATGAAAAAACAACCCAATCATGTCCAACATTACACTGGCGAACAACTGATCACACGTGGAGTATTGCGCAAGTGCGATTTTCTCTTCGCCTCTTAGACAAACTCTTCCTGGGCTAAAAAATGAAAACATTACCAATGTAGCTGTTGCCGAGAACGAAGTTCGAGCTACGGAGTGGGAACAACGAATTTAAGGTCTCTATAAAACTATGCACAAATGGGAACAATCCAGATCAGCTAACCGGCGGTCTAGGCTGTCACTAATGGTTCGTCGTCGGAGAATCCCTGGATAAAGGGTACGTCTTCGTCTAGAGGGTAAAAAAAGTAATCTACAATCAGAACGTAGTCTGTAAAAGTGCAAACAAGAGTGACTAGTACAACTGTGGGAGCTTACCCTAGTTTCTGTTGCATAAAGCGACAGGGAGTATTGCTACTCTACCCTGGATGGGACGCTAGTCCATCTCAGGTCCACCCTTTTGACTCCCCCTTCCTTCTTGCAAACATTTCGTTAGGCTTCCCTGACAGCTCGCCCCGGTACCCATTTATACTCCTGAGTGGAGAGAGCCTAGGCACTGAGAGAGCAAAGTGTCTTCCCAATAAACAGGACCGCAACCACTCATTCGGGGGTCCAGCCCGCTAAACTGATGGCCACAGCCTCTGGAAGTTCTTCAATAATCCCTTATCCTGGGAAACTTCTAAAAAATGACCAAAAAAGGGAGGACTCCTCCCTTTATTTCACGACAAAAGCAGTCGTGATAATGATAGAGTTGACCCTTTGCACTGCAACATCTAAGAGCATATTCTCCATTCTGTTCTCTGTATAACTCCTTTGGTACTGGCAAGGAAAACTTGATTAACAATCAAAGGTTCTCAGATTGGAGATAATTTCCTTTCTTCTCGTTATCTTAATGAATGACTCCAGCAGTATTATTGAACGGAGAAAATAGTTTACGGTCACTCTTAAGATTTAAAGGGTTAAGCCCTCTCAGAAACATGCCATCCGTTTGTCTCAAGTCACCGTTAAATACACTGAAGTGTCCTTCGATCAGTACCTGAATGAAATGTGACTCCACCCTCGTCATCAATGGTCCTCCTTGTCATAAGAGCGAACATTGAGCGCTCCAGTCGACGCGACTTACGAACGAAGTAGGTCATGACCAAGACGAGGATCAGTCCAACCACAGCTACAGGTACCGCCCATATCACGGGACTCATACCTTTCTTCTCCCCCCCCGTTTGTTTTCCAGCGGATGGAGGGGAGGCGGTAGCTGGAATATAACCTAAAACAGAGTCGACGGTGAGTTTAAACAATGCTGCTGAAGAGAAGGAGTACGATAAATGCAATACGATACCGCATTTAGTCGAATAAGATCTACAACGTTTAATGCATATAGAGCTGCAACTGGTATTGGCTTTAAGAATTCTTTGACATTTCCTTAAAAGAAAAAAACCAAGATTTGAACTGATAGGGTGTACTTAACCGGCAAGTACACATAAGGAGATTCTTTGGCAAAGTTCTACTTTCTTAAAAGCTATTGAGGTCTTTTTTTATAATTTACGTTGCGAAAGCGTCAAGATTCCAGCAATAATAAATTCTTATCAGTCAAGAGAACAGACAAATTCGGTTAGCGAGAGCTACCTGTTTCCATTCTGGCAAAATTCTTTTGGGAGGCAGGGGAGGATGGTTACAATTGTGAAGTTTGTCAAAAGTGGCTAAGTACAGTGAGGCATGTACGCAAAAAACACTTGTAACCTCCCAAATGAATTTCACACGAACTTACTTAGATGAAAACAAGGAAGTAAAAAAAACAGTTGATTTCAGATCCTGATTAAAATCAAAGCCAAAAATTGATGAAGAAACCATACTAAAAGGAAGCAATACTCACCTTCACCTTTGCCAAGACGAGCACGCAACATGGCTGTTGCACCAAAGCCACAGGGCACGATGACACGGATTTCGAAAATATACTCCTTTCCAGCTTTCAATTCATTATCCTCACGATCACACACAGAATAATTCTGAGTTTCTTTTGACATCTTGGTGACCTCTACGAAATTCTTTAACGCATCTGTGGTCCGCACCGCAATTTGATAACCCGTCCACTGAAACAGATAATATTAACATAAGTATCAAACTTTGGGTTACACTCCGGGGTTGATAATCCAACACACTTTTTTTTTTTGCAGATTTATTTAACTCGTGCGACCGACTTCGCGAAAAGGAGGGACTACTCTTTATTTGACTTCGCTCGAAGTTTTCAGTTTTTCAGCAAAAAACTCAAAATTAATAATTTTGCGCAGACTGTTCCTTAAATGTCTAAGTGCGTTAGGACATTAGCAATAATTAAAAAAGCGATTATTTATACAGGCTATTTATCGTTACTCAATGGCATTTTTAGCCATCAGAGTTCAGCCTTGGAAGGACAACACCTCACTTAACAGAGTAAAAATAGATTATGAGTCGAGCAGCACCATTATTGGGAAGATACTCAGCTCATCAAAAGGTATTGTAAGTGTTTAGAGGGGGCATTTCTTGGGGCAGTTTCACAATACCTGTGCACTAGAAGAATCGTTTTCCTTAGGGGGGGCCCACTTCATCACGGAACATTTCGCCGCCACCATATCATCCCTGTGAGTACTATTATCCCTGTGAGTATCACTAGACGTGACTGAAAAGTTCTCTACTTTTCCAACAGGTGGTGCGATTTCTAGCGTATGGTTGCTCTCTTGGGTCAGCACATTGGCCGTGGTTTGTGCTCTAACAGTAAACCTGTACTTGTTTCCACACTGGAGGGTTTGGGTGTATTTGGTATCTTTCAACCGTGTTCTGATTGTTGTAAATGAAACGCAGTCTGGACAATCAATAATTAAGATGTAAAACTGAAAGAAAAAAATAAATAGGGGACCAGTTGTCATTTATTGCCTTAGGAAGGTCGGGGATTTTTTTTTTTTGGGGGGGGGGGGAGAGAAAGAGGAATCACACGGTTTTCAGGAGTGAACGGAGGGGAGATCAGTCGTCGCTAACAGAGTATGAAAGGGGGACTATAGAAAACTGACTGCCAATGTGGAGGAATTACACGAATACTATAGACTAAGAGGGGGGGGGGGGAAAATTAGGTAAATTGTATCGTGACAAAACCAATAGGCTTTTGGAATTATTGTGAATATTCAGGTCGCTTTTTCTTCAAAACCAAAACAGGATGTCATGGATACTTAACGCACAGCTTTTTTCGATTACTTCGGGATCACATCGTAAGTACAATAACGACCTCGTTTTCTGACGACGTCAGAATAAGCTACTCTGGAGACCAAGCACTGTTGTATTCCTTGATTTAACCCTTTCATTTCCAAGTTTATCACAGATCAATTATCAGCTCTTTCCACCCTACATTTTTCATAATTTGTTCTGAGCTCATCATCAGTATGCATATACTGTTTTCCATACATTTCCAAAGAGGCTGACAAGGAAAATTTGTTTTACAGTCAAGAGCTGCTTAAGTTGGTGATCATCTCCTCTATTCCCATAACTTTCATGTTTGATTCAGTGATGATATAGTAAGGAGAAATTAGATGCTGGTCACTCTTAGGGGCTAAAGGGTTACTACAAACCTTAACCAACGTGTTGATTGGGGCGTTCCATGACAGATGCACAAGGGTCTTCTTTTTTGGATCAATTACAGCTTTCAAACTTCTCACAGGTCGTAAATTGGACCCAATAAGAACCGTTGTCTGAGCTTGAGTTCCATATCCATATGATGCAAGAGCTCTGTTCCAAAGTGTGTATTGTTGACCTTTATCCACATATATGCTGACCGAGGTTTGATTTATAGATCTGATGGATTTGTATACGATATGTCCATAAAGACAATCGTCACACCTGTATTTGAAGTCGTAGAGCTACCAAAAACAAAATTAAATCACACAACAGTGACTCTTAGAGCCTTGTAACTGACAAGTGATTATTTTAAAGGCTCAGGCCATCATTTTAGATGAGCCTATGAAGGCTAAATAAACACTGATAAAAATAGTGCTAAGAAAGCGTTCAGTGAGTGTATGAAAACCAAATTAACGTCAAAATGGCTAATAAGAACAAAGATTTCAGTCGTCATTAGCCAATGGGAACTCTGAGCTAAAAATTGGCAAACTGCTTAAAGCGCGGGAAAACGCCAACAACCGAGTGGCCAATAAGAACAAAGATTTCAGTCGTCATTAGCCAATGGGAACTCTGAGCTAAAAATTGGCAAACTGCTTAAAGCGTGGGAAAACGCCAACAGCCGAGTGGCCAATAAGAACAAAGATTTCAGTCGTCATTAGCCAATGGGAACTTTGGGCTAAAAATTGGCAAACTGCTTAAAGCGCGGGAAAACGCCAACAACCGAGTGGTCAATAAGAACAAAGATTTCAGTCGTCATTAGCCAATGGGAACTCTGAGCTAAAAATTGGCAAACTGCTTAAAGCGCGGGAAAACGCCAACAACCGAGTCGCGATAAATTTAGCTTTTCATATTATTGGTTGAGGGAGAGAGGTGCGAACTTTATGGGAAAATCACAGCTAAGTGCAGCAAAACTAGAGAAATCCTAGATTACTTTCGAGAATCAGTATAAAATTGCTGTAGATGTTATTCTTCGGCAAAGAGGAAAAGCAATCGAGATTAATTCGCTGAGATGGATAGAGTCCAAACGCAGTTCCTACCTTCAAAAAAACACGAGCTTACGCAAGTTTAAAATGATTCTGCATTCTCACTTTATCCTCACCGTGTTGACGATTGTTATGATTGGCTGTTAAGATAACTTTGGTTTAAGCCAATCAGGAGAAAGAGAAATTTCCTTGGGACCTAATGAGGACTCAAAGTGCCTGAAACGTAGGTAACTAAGATCAACCAAATCTGACCAGCGTCGACTGCATTTAATTGGTTGAGGGTGACGCAAAGTTTTTAGACCAATCACAGAGCGAATTAAAGTAAAAACGATGCAATATTGTGTTACTTTCGTTACTCAGTTTTAAATACCCTAAAAAATTAAATCGAAAAGCGCTAAGATTCAGTTTGTTATCACTTACATAGAATCGAGATGGATCGAAGCCCGTGGGACGGGACCAGTGACACTCAAGACGAGTACCATTTGACGCGCTTTCAGCCCAACAAGTAAAATTTCCAATGGATGCAGTAAAATCAGGCATAGTGACAGCTAAGGAATAGGGCTTTCCTTTCCCTCGTGAAGGGATGGTCGGTGTGATTTTGAACATGTAAGTTACTCCAAAGGATGTCATATTCAGCTTTGCGGAGGTTGTATTCACAACGATGCTGTTCCAAGCGTAGAACCAATAACAGAAACCCCTTCCTGATCCTGATGAGCAGCGCCACTCCACTTCATATTGCTATCGGATAAAACAGATAGAGAGAGGAGTAAGACTGTGTTGCGTTTCCTCATTGGTTTTGTTAACCCTTTACACCCTTCCATCCATACTCTCCTCGATACATTTTCTTAAGGGCTTTAGTTTTGATAAATTCCTTTATTATAGTGACATTAATGCTTGATTCATGAGTGATAATGCAAGGAAAAATTATATACTATCCTCTTTTAGGGGTCACAGGGTTAAGAAGCAGACATAAGCGCACACCAACTATCGCAGAAGCACTAAAGTGTTGATTCCATGTGCCTCTCGATAAGACGTTACAAAACGTGGAAAAAGAGAAAAACTCACAACCAACACAATAAATACAGTACAAGCGTTCGTCAAACGATACTGATTACAATCTTAATCATGTAGGAGACCGGGGCCGAGAATAGATAAGATTTAAGATTGACAGATTGGGGCATGTTAGCGCAATCATGCGTATTTTCATCGTGAGTTTGCAAAGAAGTGAGGGAATAAATCGGTCGTGTTTAAAAACTTGTGAGTAGTACCTTGTACTAAACTTTTACTGCTAATGGAGGCATTCCCAGCAACCATCATCTTAATAGTGATAAACAATGATAATTATAATCCAAAACCAAAGGAACCAAAAGCGAAAACAAAGAACAAAGCATGCACTCACTATTTTGTCTCCAGGCCTAACCGACCATGGCTGCCTCCAGGTCAGATATACTTCTAATCCGTGATTGCCGCCCGTCCGCGTTCCGCGACCATTCCACACCACCAGACTAAGAGGTGGCACTATGACTTGAATGCTGGACGCTCTCCCTTTTCCATAGGCTGTGTAAGCTTGAACATAAAAAGTGTACGTGTAGCCAGCGAGCACCTGTGTCATGAACTGAGTTGCATTACCCGTGGAATTAGTTGAGTTGGTATGCCAGCAATATGAGTAGTCTCCGATTTCACACCAGCTGATTTCATAGACCTGTAAAACATAGACAGAGCAGTATCTAAGAAGAATGGTCAGTCGCACCTCGCCCTATGAACTTTCCGCGACAACAGCCAGCGTTCAAATTTTCTCCGTATCCATCAACGGATACCTCTGAAAAAGGGACACATGTACCAAAATCCTATTTAGCGTGGACACTACGAGAGGTTTTAATAAGGATTGCTCCTATTTTAAGAAAAACTACTAGCCAAAAGACTGAAAGGCTGTTATCATTGCGCAAATTACAAGAACCTGTACTAAAATTCTGTCATAGAATAAGCGACAGAGCTCCCTTAACAACTGGGCTGTTTTTACCGGAGACGATTGGCGCTAATCCAGAAATAAAAAGGAATGCATAGTTTTTATTTTTCATTTAAAACCTCACTTAAAGGCATTATGCAAAAAAAATAAAGCAAATCAAAAAATGAAACATTGACGAATCAATCGATTTTTCACTTGAAGACTTCCAAGTTTTTCAGCTAGAAGTAGTTTCACTTTTTTTTTCCGTTTGTGGGTGTATTTATAGCTAAATTTTAAGAGTTGTGAAAGGCTTTAATAAGTTTTACCAAAAGGGTGTTAACAGTTAGATTATTTGCAGTGTATATCAGTTATAAAATGTCATTTTTAATTATTTATCATCATTTAATGTTACTACTATTATCATCATCATCATCATCAACATCAATATCATCATCATCATCATCGCCATCGTCGTCGTCGTCATCGCCATTGTCATCGTCGTCCTCGCTACCGTCATCGTCGTCATCATCATCGTCATCGCTATCGTCATCATCGCCCTAGCCATCGTCATCTTCATCACCATCGTCATCGTCAATATCATTTTTAACTCGTGAATTGCGCGCATGCGCAAGAGCGAGTTGTAGATATGATGTGGGGAATGGCACTCGCTCGCTCACTCGATTCCTGTAAACTTTTTTTTCGATTTTAGGCTTTTGGCGAGTAATAAACAAACGAAATTGCGACCTTTGTTGCTAAGAATAGTGGTGGGGTGAAAAATAAGCCAATGATAATCTTAGAAGAGTTTATTTTTTTTCGTTTTCGTTTCAACAAGCGGCGCCAGCGACTAGCAGGCGTGTGTGAGGATTCACACTGAAATAAGAGAACAACCTTCGTTTTTCATAAAATTATGATTTACAATCCTTGAACTTGAAAACAATCCGAAGATTCAATGAAAATATCACTTACAACGAAGCGCTCCGAGTTTACAAGCGTTCAAAAGCTTTTTCTGTGATGGCGTGAGATTGAGGACAAAATCGATCGTTACATTTCGTAACGTGTGTTTTTTCTGAAGCAACAAGAGGTGCCAGCGACAGACAAAATTACAGGTTAACACGAAAGTAAAATAACACCTAAACAAATAATTTTGGCTACTGATTTTCAGTGAATTTTTAAAGAACAATTTTCTTTCAAAGTTTCAAGACAATTTGAAGATTCAAAATAAATATCACGTACTAAAATGCGAAAGTTATACACCACAAAATTGATAAATAGGCCTGAAATGAAAATCTATCTTGTTCTTGATTATACGTTGCCTAGCACGTGACAAAAATCTACCCAGGTGGAAATCCAAAATGACGGTGGCAGTCTGGGCTTTGTTATATCTCTCAAAACTCGTTCCCGTTTGTCTCATTTGATAAAGAGGGAATCATTCATGTTTTCATTAAGACAGTATTGCCTTGATTTTCCAATATTTACAATGATAGACAGTAAATTTCACTTTTCACTCACATTTACTTTGAACCTTTTCTTTTGAACCAGAAACAGAAATGATATAAGTTTTAAAACACATGACACCATCCACCCTTGTCAAGTGTAATAGCATGATCATTTCAATTGTAATGCCTTCTTATCCCAATGTTACTTTGTTTCTATGCTACATAAGCGAGCACTGAACTAATGCTCGTACTCTAAATATGTCAATCAACCACAAATTTGCCTAAAATCAGATAACATTAAACATATTCCAAAAAATCATGTAAGTCATCTGTCAATTCACGAGCTTGCTCACAGAGCACTTTGATCATTTTTATTATCACTATTATGAAATTACTACTGCAGTGAACCTATATATAAACAACCTTTAAATCTTGTTTTGAACGACCCGTACCTGAACATCTTTCTTTTCCACGTCAGATGGCACATCCCAATCAAGTGTTAAATTGTTTCCCGACACAAACTGTCTCAACCTGCCAACGGCACCAAAGTTTCGGGTTATTGTGGCCGTAACAATCGAGGCTTCCCCAACGCCAAATTTAGTCACTGCTTTTACAGAGAATGTGTATTTTCGGGAGTGCTCCAACTGTTTAAACACGCACGAAGTTGTAGCAACCGTTTTTGTACCATGCTTCGTAACACACGAGGGGCATGTCCAATTCGCCTGATAGTGCTTCACAAAACAAAACAAACAAAATAATTAATAAACGAATAACCCAGTGTCATTAAGAAAGAGACAGGAGATGGAAAAAAAGCTCTTATCTGTCAAAGAGGGAGCTGGGCTAAGGTCAATTTGCTTCCCGTAAGACTCTGACCGGAGCCAAAGGTTGGGTAAAACAAGACTTTGTCAACAACGACAATTTATCATGAGGAAAAATACTCCTCATACCGAAAAGAGAAAACAAGGCAAAGTTAAGAAGAAAATCATAATTTCAAAGCAGCGAGGCTAATGTCATCAGAGATGTACATATCTTGACTTTTTCCCCAAACGATCGATATGAAAATTATGAAAAATGTTTCCCAAAAATCCCTTTTCCAAAATCACACCTGTTTTGGTACTATTGCATTTATAAGAGTTAAACTTGTCATGGACTGAAAAACTCGTCGGTGTAACTGGTACATATATCACCAAGATCGGGTTGTTCTAACAACGAGACTTTGTCTACAATAGCGAATGAAACAATTTACCACGAGGAAAAATACTCCTCATACCGAAAAGAGAAAACAAGGCAAAGTTAAGAAGAAAATCATCATTCAAAGTAGCGAGGCTCATGTCATCAGAGATGTACACCACTTGATTTTTTTCCCTAAACAGTCGATATGAAAATTATGAAAAATGTTTCCCAAAAGTCCCTTTTCCAAAATCACACCTGTTTTGGTACTATTACATTTAACAGAGTTCAACTTGTCATGGACTGAATAAAACTCGTCAGTGTAACTGGTACACTTATCTCCTAGATCGGGTTGTTCTAACATGGAGTTAAGAACAGCAGCTTATTACCTTTAGAGCACTATTACTGATCGTTCTTGGTGCAGACCAGAACAGTTCAACAACGTCGTTTACGACTCGTATCCTCAATGGCCTAACAGATGCCGTGAATGGGTTAGTTTTTTTGGTGGTGCTTAAACCCATGCCAAGTCGGTTGCCGTATTTGACTTTCACTTCAAAAGTGACGATGGTATCAAAAGGGAGGTATTTGAACTCATAAGTAGTTTGGTTGGTGGATCGAGTAGCAGTGTTAGTACCGGACTCCTCCCTGTACGTCCTCGTCACTTGGTATCCCTGGAAAACAAAACAAGACAAACTAAGGAAAAACGAAAATCACTCATTATTCTATATAGCTACTTAGAAAAGCTGGGTGCTGTACTCAACCGTAATAAATTACACTAGTTCGGTTGACTCAATAATAAATTTGAGACACCAAAACGCTTCCTAGTTTTGATAACTATCTGATAGAAGTTCTCCCATCATAAAAGTGTTGATTGGCTATCTGTAATTTCAATGTTCATTCAGATGTGCTACACAGGCTAACAAAAGGTTGATGTTTAGTTTGGTAGGGCGAACAATATCGTAATACTCCCGACACCTTAGTCTGTTAAAATATAATTCCCTCCCTCTTTCTCGCTAAGTAGTGCAAAAGAGTGCTGGGATGTGCAAGATGGATCACAAGGATTGCAGGGGATGCTGGTAAAGATAAAGAAACTAGGAAAAAAAAAAAAAAAAAACACTTGCGCAGAGGAGTTACAGCATCTGTAGATTAAAACTTCCCTACAGTTTTGACCACGAAAGTCATTTTTTTATTATCAACAGGGTTGCCTGGAAGTTTTACTACAGTGAGAGGGACTGGTACTTACAGTAATTTTACTAACACTCGCATTCACTGGTACCTCCCAAGTAAGAACCACACTACTGGAGTTGACAAGGCGAGCTTGAAGACTATGGACAGCGTCTGGTGAATTATAACGGAAAGTTTGTTAGATCACTATCAGTGTTACGTCAAGAAATTACATGTGTTTTTTGTGACGTTACAACTTATCCTCGATTTCATCCGCAGCTGTACCTTGTTTCGTAAAGTAACAAGCTACTTAGGAGGGTGGGGAGGGGTGGGGTGGGGGTAAAGTTGTGTGACATGGCCGAAAGGAAAATGAAAACCGTATTCGACCTGCTGGGACTAAAAAATATTGGTTCAACAAGATAAAACACAAGGATGAGGAAAAAATAAAGTAAGAATGATCAAATTTGGCCAAGGATGGAAAGCTAAAAAAAGAAAGATGGTATATTAAAGACTTGGAACATTCAAGCAAAATTTATAACGATAGACAACCTCCGACGTCACATCTCTGGATATAACAATGTCAGCAATGTTAAAAACGCCTTACCAATGAGTAAAGGCGAGAAATCGGCACCCAATGTACTTATAATGAAAACAAAAAAGGAATGATGGATTATGAAAAGGTCAAATCGACTCTATAGAGCTGTTAAGCGAACAATTACGCACTAGTTTTCGTTCGAGAGTTTGCTGCTTCACTGTGCTTTCCAAACAAGCCCACTGACACCTCAAACACGTAGACAATTTCCTGCTGCAAGTTGTTCACTACATATCTCTGAGTCATTGTGGAGCCCACAGGCCGTGAACTGACTCCAGTGGTCACCCGTCCGTAGAAAATGTAGTATCTCTGTGGAGTGGAAAAAGTAAAAAGCATTATGGGAAATGAGACTTAAGACCAAAAACAATGTCAATGTAAATTTTACTTATTTCTTTAGTTTTTGCAATAACTGGAGACATTTTCGCATGCTTATCTTCGGAAGAAATGGTCAAGACAGTTTTGGCTGAGTAAGAACATTTTTCTGCAGTTTTATTTCGTCCATGGCGATTATTTGTTTTGTTTTTGTTCTTGTTGTTTTTTTCATCTGTTACATTTTAGATCAATTTTAGTATCTGAGCAACTGCGCACCCTACCCCTCCCCTACCTAATAATAAGCCCCGACTTGTTATCAGTTGACTGTTATTGGGCTAAGGGAGGGGTAGGTGCGCAGTTGCTGAAATACTGACATTGACCTGTACTTTTGTTTGTTTAAGAACAAACATGGCCTAAATTTCATTTAGGAAGTAGTTTTTTGCGATTGTCTGCTCAAGCTCCAAAAAATTAACCATTTCACTTCAAAGATCTCCATGGGATTCTCCTTACTGTCTGTCATACAACTCCTATGATACTAGAATGAAGAATTTGGTATTGAATCAACTAATAATCCTCTTGGGTTAGACCTCGTGTAAATGAATTGGCTCTTTAAGTTATGGGAGCAGACGTCAGGTAAGAGCAGGAATAATGATATCAGCTGCTTAACCCTTTAACTCCCAAGATCTCATTAGTAATTTTCCTTACAGTCTGCTGTACAATTCATATGATGTCAGTTTGGAGCATTTGGAATTGGATCAACCAATAATTCCCTGATTGATATTTTTCTTTATTCTCATGACTAGTCTGCTTGGTATTGTAATGATATTTTAAGGAGAAAGTCTGACTTGGTCACTCGTGAAAGTTAGAAGTTTACAGTTTAGTTAGAGTTAGAGGTTAAGTCACTATTTCCAACTTACAGATGCAAATTTGACTTGTATGTTTCAGAGATAAAGATCACAGAAGACGCGAACATGAAGTTTAATCATAAGTGATGCATGAGTCCATCGCTCGTGTGCCGCTTTTTTTATTTCTTTGTAAGAATATATGATTAGACTAGTAGTAATCGGAGATTAGGGAAGTGCGTTCGGCATTTCAAAGGGGAAATATTGTTTTTTGCGATGCACAAGGCAGCATCCTTTGCGCAACGAAATTGTGACGTCATTCAAAATGGCGCTGAAAAGAAGAACGGCCGGCCGATCGAACGAAAAAACACGGGTCAGCTTTCGCTTGCGTGCACAGGACACCTACGCGATCACAGGTAGCCCAGGAGATTAGGAAGCGTTCTTCCTTCGTCGAACGCAACTAAAAGTTCGTCCTAAGTGAAATAATGACCACGCCATGGTATAAGCGATGCAACAACTGAACAGAGAGATTACTAAGCTCCTATTTGGGATCCAAAAAAGTTATTGTAACTAACCACACCCTGACTGTGTCCCAGTGGTGCATTCCAAGACAGAATAATGCTTGTGTCGTTGTTCGGAGTCGCCTTTACATCTCTTGGAGGGTTCCCTAATCAAGGAAAGGAAAGAAATATCATTATATGGTAAATATAAATCGGGCGTTCTGACTGGTTCTTACTTGGTGGGGATTTTGCCATACGGACCGTTTCCAAAATAACGGTCACAAGCCGTGAATTTTTGATCGCAGAAGCCAGCACGTTCAAAATACTTTCTCGCCTCGCTTGCTCGAGCCGTTGTTGGAAATATTGGCCCTCGGTCGTTCTAGTACGGACCTCTCTGTGATCAATCCAAGCTGCCACGACCTTGGGCCAATATTCCCCAGTGCAGCCCTCGTGCTCGGTTAGTAAAAAGGTTAATATTGATGGTGCCTGATTCTTGTCGTGAGCGTGACAAGCTAGGAATTCTGCAGCTAGTTGACAACACAACGAAGGAACAGCTTCCCTTTTCTCAAACCTTTACCTCTTTGCATCGTAACATCAGTATGCGAATTTTCCACTCTGTTTTATACATTTGCTATGGAACTGACCAAGAGAATTTGTTTAACAATCAACAGCTTCTTTAGATGGCGATCATTTCCTTATTTCTCATAACCTTAATGTGTGATTCAGCAGTGATGCCGTAAGGAGAAATTAGCCCCACTCAGGGAGTTAAGGGTTACATCCTAAACGTGACTAACATTTAATTTTCCCCTCACAGTACCACTACTGAATCAAACATCATGAGAATGGAGAAAATAATCAGCACCTAAAGAGCCTCTTGATTCCTGAACAAAGTATTCCTATCAGTAACATAGAAAATGCGCCGAGAACAGTACGGAGAATGTACCCTCTGTCGCTGGGGTGTTAAGGGTTCATCCTTCTGCTTCCTAGAGTCAATCCATTGTTAAGCAAAGGGATGAACATATGACACTTACTTATACAGCTACATGACATTGACCCGATAAAAAGACAAATTCTCTTGACAAGTTCACGGGGAAATGAGGAGAAAGCAGAGGACGAACGCAAAACCATTCGGGACGCAAGCGAAGAGCGCGAGGCAAATGAGGTGGGGCTAGGAGGGAACATCCCTTGATTTTTGATTTGTCACCAGCCCTTCAGCGATCAGTCGGCGGAAGGCAAAAACAGAGGGCTATTATCATTACATCCTAGCCATTTAAATCGCAACCCACCCTTTTTTTGTCCAGCAAAGAGTTACAGCAACCATACCCGCCACCTCAAGCTTACCTCCATTAGTCGTTACTTCTATAGTCGCAGGAGGACCTTCACCAGCTTTATTGTATGGTGTTATTACAAATGAATATGTGCTATGCGAGAGCAGTGAATAAACAGTGTAATTATGTTGACTCGTCGTAACGAGGAGAATCGAGCCATCGGTGGTCAACTCATACACTTTATAACCCTAGAAAAATATAAACAGATAAATAAATGAAAAGGAGAAAACGCCGTCCATCTTCGCGTAATGAATAAGGCCTCTCAGACTTGGGCCCAATAAGACACTCTAGACACTCTTCAAAGAGCCCCTTGCAAACGACTAATACCACACAGTGTTTTGCAGTAGCAAATGAGGGGATTAACTTTTCATACAAACATCCCAGGTCCAATTTGTTAACATCGAACCCTTCGTCAAGTTGCCCTGGCAATTACCAGTACCCATCAATAATCCAAGCAGAGTGAAGTGGGGAGGAATGTAGAAGAGTCACGTGTCTGGTTGTGGGGCGTGTGGTAAAGTCTCTGGAGCTGACTGGTGGGGTAAGGAGACTTTGTTAATCCAGAAGTCCTTGGTTCGATTCCTTTCAGAGACGTCGATTATTTTTTCTTCGTCCCACTCTCGCGGCATTTAATTGTGGCGGGATTGGTGAGAAAGAAGTACTGACTGAGAAGTAACATTTTGGTCTCTGGTGACCAAACATCAAGAACTCATTTCCTTTATATCATTCATATGATAAATACCAGCACAGGATGTGTAGGATTTCCCCAGACGAGTGTCACTGCAGTGTCATTCAGAAATGTGTAATGCGGTTTCTTTACTGGTGCTGAAATACGATAGAAAAGAGTTGGTCTTGCATGCATACTACTGGCTCAAGGCTAAGGAAATAACGAATTACCAGCCGCCAATGGTCTTAGATAATGCATCCGATAGGTTTTGAAAGAAGCAAGAGTTTTTTTTTCTCGCAAAGCAACGAAGTAAAGAAAAACCGATGCAATCGCAGATTACTTTCACCGCCCAGTAGAAATATTTTCTTATTGTTAATATTACCGACAATTTCATACAGAAATGCTTATTGAGCTGAACTGCCCAAAAAGGTCCGCCTAACCGAGAGCTGCTGTCAGCAATCTAACAGAATACAAGTTCGGATAGCTGGGTAACCTGTAGCAGGTTCTATGTCAATGGAGACAAGCAAAAGAGCAGGTAGGCGCAAAATGGCGGAAATGTTGCCGTTTTCCTTCTTAGCGTCGCCCATCCATCAACACTAGGGACTTTCAGAAAACCACGACGACGACGACGACGGCGACGAGAACGCAGCGAAACCAAAGATACAATACAATAGACAAAACAATACCTTAGCACGTGCATTTCTACGTCCTCTCGGCTAGAAAACCCCGCCAGCAACAACACGAACTCAGTATTATATTCACATATTACGCAGAGGGGAAGATGTCGCACCGTCAGAAACGGTAGACGCATCGAACTACTACTCAGTTTCATTGGGACAAAAAACGCAAATAGAGGGAAAAATGAAAGGTTAATGGCTTAACAAGAAGCCAAATATACCTGTCGGTTTTTGAACTACAGTTGGAATATACACAGGTTGCACCTTGGAATATTCACCATCACCATCACCACCCTTGTCTCCGGTGAAAGCTTTCACCTTTGAAAAACAAAATTAAACGCACTTTTATTTATTTCAACTCTTCAACATTCAAGGTCTGGTGCCCAATTCTCTCATTTCCATTTCCATGCAATTCTTCGTGACAAATAATTTGGTGGTATATCAAAACAACACCGTTACGCCACTTTTCTCCGGATAAACGAATCATAGTGCGGACGAAAATTTAACCATTTTCACGGAGGTTAAAATCCAGAAAACAGAGAGGATAATCCCAGTACTATAAACATACAAAGGAAACAATTGTTCTCTACTCATATTTAAATTCTCGGTATCGTTTGAACATAAGTTGGTCTTTACCAGCCACTCACGGAACAGGTCTGTAATACATTTGCACTGTATGAATGCATTATCGCTTAACCCTCTCAATCTCAAGATTTCACTGATAATTCTCCTACAGTCTGCAATGATTCTTAAGGTGTTAGTTCGAAGAATTTGGCATTACATCAGCAATTCCCTAGTTATTAGTTTTCTTTAGTCTCATTACTTGTATGCTTGATATCATATTAACGTTGTGAGGAGAAAGTCTGTCTTGGTCACTTGTGGGAGTTTAAAGGTAAAGAAAGAACTTACACCCATTTCCTCACCTTAATGCTATAATGAACTCCCTGTGTAAGATTAAGGGAAAGCGAATAGACATTGCCAGTTTCTTTGGTATGGAAATCAGCTTCACTGGTCATTTTGTATGCAACCTGTAAATAAAAATGAATAACAGTCAATCAATCCGTCAATCAATTAATTTATCTGTAGTCAATCTATCGATCAATCGATTAATTAATCAGTCAATTAATCAATCAATCAGTCAATCAATCAATCAGTCAATCAATCAATTGATCAATCAATCAATCAGTCAATCAATCAATCAATCAATCAGTCAATCAATCAATCAGTCAATCAATCAGTCAGTCAACCAATTGATCAATCATCAATCTATCAATTAATAAATAAATCACTCTGTCAATCAATCTATCTATAATTAATTGATCAATAATCAATCTATAAATCAATCAATCAGTCAATCGATCGATCAGTCAATTAATCCATCACTCAAAGAATTTATCAATCAATTAATCATTGAATAAATATATCTATCTATTTAAAAAACAATTTGTCAATTTGAACATCAAAATGTTTAATTCCTCAATGAACACACGATTCCTTTTACGATTGTTTTACCTCATAGTTCGTAATAAGGTGACAGTAAGTGGTTGGAGGATCCCAAGAAACTTGCAACGAATCGTCAGGTGCCAACAAAAGTCGCACATGCTGTGGTTTACTGGTTCCTAGAAAAAAACAAGCAATGACAGCCGTCAATTGTGCATCGAATGAAGTTGACACAGCCAACCTCATCCAAGCAGTTTGCACAAATTGCTGATCTCATTCTTGATTACTTCCACGCAAAGTCACACACCACACCAGTGAACAGACCCCGGACCTTTCTACTGCAGTTGCATGAAGGGTCTTTGGTTCACTCCACCCCCCTCCCCCACCCTGCCTCCCGCCTCACCACTTCTCTCACTGGGAGAGACGCTCTATTCAGACAGTATTGATTATTTGGTATCAGTTAGTTGAATGTATCTACATTACTTAGAGCAGCTGAGCAACCATGAAGCAATCACACACTTCACGAGCACTAATAACACTCACTAATAGATTTAGTTGTCGTTTTCACGGTCGAAGAGTATGGCCCTGGTTGAGCTCCGCTCACAAGGAGCTGAACCTTGAATTCATATTCTGAGCACGGCTGTAGAAATCTGATGACATAATAGTTGATGTTTGGGGATTCCTCTTGCTGCCAGCTCCCTGACATGGGCACAGAGTGTAGTCTGACAGCTCTAATAGGGAAAACATCCACAAAGGAAGAGGTAAGTTTTAAGTCTGGCAAAAGATACACGTTTTCCTCTGCGACACATTACAAGTTTTACCCACAGCTCCCAAAAGGAACCGGAAACTGCCTACTTTCACTTCAGTGTACTAGTTTTCAGTTTTAAATTCTGATGAAAAAATTTTAAATACCGTCAAAGAAATTTGCACTGCAGCCCATTGCCCGTTACAATGAAATTGAATGTATAATTTACTAGTCACAGCTTTAGATAGTAGAATAAACTCCATGTTCAAAATTTGCACATAGGTTTGTGCGAACGTCGCGGAACGCCTGGGACATTTAAACTGAATAGATCCCAATCTTATGTGCAATCCTCTGGCTGCCTACTATGTCTTGTATGTCTTCTAGTTTCAAACTAGTTGGCAGCCCTGTGCAGCATAACATTAAAATAATTTACTTCTTGTTCACTCACCGGTAAGAGACCCTGTACCCAGTAAAAGTCATTCCAGGGGGCTGGTAAGAAATTGGGCTCCACCTTATATGGACACTTGTTGCAGAGAGAGTACGTACTTGAACGCCTTTAACTTGCAAATTGGTACCTAACGAAAAACATAAAAACCCAGACACAAGGTTACTGACTTGGTAAAAACTTTTTTTTTTCGATGTCTATTTGATTGGTTTGCTAGCAGTCCACCGTGAAGTACGAAAATTCCAGGGGGATGGCAATGGGATGTTGGGGCTTCTTATTTGATTTTGTCATCGATTCAGCCCTTTTGATCAGTAAGGTTCAATAAAGATAGATTGTGCTGTGACTCAACGAGTAGGCATATTACATTTGTCTCTTTATCGATGTTCCGCTACTTCATCATAAAAGCGCAGATATAAGTTCCCAGGTGATATCTTGAACCAAAAAAGCACATCGCACTAAATACGATATAAACAAGAAAATAAAGGAGAGAAAAAACGCTAATCCGAAAAATGATACTCTCGCCAAGTTTTCAGCAAACCATTTAAAGGTCAGTTGGCAAAGCATTCAATAAAAAATTCAGTAATCAAATGTTGCAACAATTTTTCTACGACTCTCTTGACTTGTAGAGAAAATCCGTTTTCGATAATTATTTGCAAAAACCATGAACGATAAAAACGTTTTCTAGTTGTTTTATTGTTTCTTTTTCTTCAAACTGATCATTATCTTTTTCCTTGATTATTGTTTGTTTGGTTTCTTGCTAAATTGCTATTTTGCTTTTGATTTGTTTTGTTTTAGTTCTTTTTCATTCTTATCGCCTGCCAAAACTTTCGACCTCTAGACTACGCAAAGACGATACGACAACAAGTCAGAAATTATAATGGGTACTCACTGCAGTTCCTCTCATCACTACCATCGAGGCAATCCGGGATGTGATCACACCTCCGTGAAACAGGTAAACACTGGGTTTTGTCGCACCAAAAGCCTGAGCAAGTTCCTAGAGAATATCCAAAAAAAAAAAAAAAAAAGGCGAGGGTCAATTCTTTACACCGGCATACCTTAGTTTTCACATATGCGTGCGTAGCGAAACTCCATATTTAATAAAATTCTTTCACTAATAGATATGACTACGATGGTTTGGTACACTTCACGATAGTAATGAACTAAATCTGTGCGTCACATACTCGTATGTGAATCCAAAATAACAGTATAGTGACACATTTATTAACGCGGCGCCAATTTATTTGGAAAGCTCAAGATGGAGAACAGTCGCTTGCATCACCCTGCCCGAAATCCGTATTCGCGATAGGACCACAGAAGTTTCGGTGAGTGGTCTTCAAGGATGAAATTATGGTGTTAAAAAGATTTTTAAAACCCCTACAGTAAGACGGTCTGCAGAAATATTTGAAAGCTTAACTTTTCTACTTTCTACGTCTTAACCTAAGGAGAAAAAACCGTGCCAATTTTGGATTTTTCCAACATGCGGCCATTTTACTATAGTATTGCTGCTGTTTTTTAACGTTTTTGAGCTCTGATTCCGTGGTTCGTCTGTAGGACTGCTCCACCTTCTAAACCAAACAGATGGAGTACTAAAACCAATCGCTACGTGAACACCTACTTTCCCACGCATCAGGCTATCTTCATGTGTTTAATTTGAATTCTTACTGGCTCCGCGTGATCCTTTCTTTTGTTCTGGTTGGTTGTTGAGATTACTTTACTATGATTTCACCATCACTCGAGAGAGAGGCGCGTCAGAAGAACATGACGCAAAACAAAGAAGTCACAATTATAGTTTTTTAACAAGGTATAAGATCAGAAAATGTTGCCAAGTCTTCACTTCAATTTGGCCAATAACTTCATTCTCTGCACAACTATTTTCCAGCTTAAGTTGTAAACGAGTCTCACTTAAGGTCTCCCCACGACGATACAATCCTCGAATAAAAAAATCAGGTTCTGTTTAATCAAACTAAAACTTTTCATTCCCCTATCATCACCCACCCCACCCAAAGGGACCTTCTGGTGGAGACACAAATGACCATGCCACATTTCAGCACCAATTCATTACAACGTATTGAGGGAGACAAAATGTGTTGTATCCTTCTTCTTACCACAGCCGGCCTCATCTGAACCATCACCACACTGATCCCTTCCATCGCACACAAAAGAGCGGGGAAGACAACCGCCATTAGTACATTGATACTGGTCACTTGAGCACGTGATGGGTACTCTGGTAGTTTCTTTGAGTAAAGTAATGAGCACAATTTCAGTTAGTGAGTGGGTATGTTAGGGTACGTTTCACCAACTAAAAAAAAAACTTTTTTTCGAACAGGACATTGAACAAACAGGGCAATTTGAGGAGATCTTCAAATGGCAAAGGAAATTCGTCCGAGAACTTTAAGCGATGACAAAAATGGTAATATGTTGGCTACCTCAAAAGGAAATATCATTGAACGCATTTGATAGGATGCTTGTTGTAGACTGAAAAAAGTGAAGGGATACAAAAATTTATCTTACAAGAAAAGATAACTGAGAGAAAAGAAAGAGCAACATTTAAGAAACATACGGGAAAGGAACAAAAATCCAACAAAAAGCTGAAGAATCAGCACTGAGGAGACAAGTTATCCGTAGTGTGATTAAATATACGACGTCCAATAAGATGGTAAATTCAGATTTCCGGAGAACAAACTGTTCAGGAAAAGAAAAACTACTAAATTAACGTATGACGAAAAAATTTTAAATCATACTTGGACAATTCTCTGGCCTTTCATCCCAACTCTGTGGACAATTAGGTTGTCCATCACACAACCACTCCGTTTTAATGCAGATTACAAACTTTGTTTGTCCGCAATGAAGCCAGCCATTTGGACAGGGTGCCGGGGCAGTGGAGGGCGCCACTGTTGTTACGTGAGCAGCTAGAATATGGCGAAAGAATAAAATTTTGAGCACTGGCAGTTATGAATAAATATTTTCTTTCGCATGAACATTGGGATTGATGTGTAATTTCAATTCATGATAAATGAAAATGTTCCGAGTGCATTAACTGGTAATTTCCGAAAGCAAAGATCTTGAGGAACACAGTGAAAGAGCGCTATGAGGCGGTGATCTTCATGCTTTTAAACTGTCCTCTTGAGTTTCAAGTTGATTGGGTAACTAAGTCGCCAGTTATAGTTACTTCAAGGATTCGAGTGAAAAGAATTCACGAAGAAGTTCTACAACACTTTAAGACTAAGATGAAAAGCTGGATGATCTGGAAACTGATTATGAGTGAGCAGGGAGAACAACTTTAAACCTATTTCGCTATGCAAACCATTGATTTTCTACACAACAATGTGGGTTCACTTTAGAAAGAGAGGAAGTTCTACTCACAGCATCCTCTTTCATCACTGTTATCCCCACAGTCATCTCGCCCATTGCACTTGTATCCATTGTTAATACATTGGCCACTATCACAAGTGAATTCCCAGAAATGGCAGGGTCTATGTGGTGATGTTGTCGTATTTACAGAAGGCGTTCGAGTTGTACCTACCAATAGGGAAGATTGAGATGTTATTAAAAAGCCTATCAGCATGTAGCATTCCGCAGAGTTTGGACATAACCCTTCCCTAGCAAACAACACAATCATACGGGGATGCAAAATATTTCTTCAAGCATTATTTTGTGGTCGAAGGGATGCGATAAATTTTAAACTATAGCTCCTGTTTGTTCGACTTACAGTCCAACCTGTATTACGCGGCACCGTATAAAGCGGTTTCCCCTAATTAATGTCAATTTCACCTCTATTAAGCGGTCGTGGTCGCCCAACGGCCTGTTTTTATTGTCCTCCACCCAAGTCTAACGGTCACCGACAGCACAACCACTCAAAACTAAGAATAATCTCTCAGGTAATCGTAAATCGATGCTCCTCTCCCCTTATCAAAGTAACTGGTACTTTCGAGCGAGATTCTGTACATGAAATGGTCAACCATGCCATAAAGTGGCGTCGTTATCGTTGTTTATAATACCCCTCATCTGTGGAACCTGTATTAAGGAGTCACCCCGCCCACTCCCGCTCAATGCAGGTTTGACTGTATTAACTTATTTCCTCCGATTTTTTCCAGAACCAAGCACACACAGTGTGGTTGCATACGAAAGGGTTGGCTGTAAAGTAACATGTCAAGCCACGGGACCTTTAATAGCGCTATTTTGCTTTAGTTTCCGTGTGTGATCTCCTATCCAAATACATACCACAGTACCACTCATCTGAATTATCTCCACAATCATTGACACCATCACAGACATCCCACTGGAAAACACAGTGTCTATTGTTGCACTGGTATTCCCAACTGCTGCAGTTCGTAGATGGGGTCCAGGGTATTGTAGAAACGGGTGGAGGAGTTGTATCTACAAAAAAAGATTAGAAGATACGAGAAACGAGCTGACAAATTGATCCTCGGCAAAAATTGTGGATAAGCCACAGGCAGTATTAGCTATCTCTTTTCCTATTTACTTAATTTAACTACTTCTTACTTTTGGGAGGGAGAGCTTTGGGCGAGAAGAGATAAGAACGAGAAGAGCTAAGAACTAGAGAGAGTAAAATTGAAACCAAAAAAGCCTAGAACGAAATGATTTTGGATCGAGGAGAGACTGGTACGAGAGACTGGGATCTCAAGAGAACTCAGGATGAACAAAATCGCGGGCGACCAAGTCGAGATGGGTTTTAGCTTTGCATCTGATTAGTTGAGCGAATGGCACGAGCTTTCTGGAACAATCAACAAGCGAAATAAGGTAAAACCAATTGAATACCGGATTGCTTTAGATAATCAATCAAAAATTACTCTACAGCGAACTTACAGGTACAGCCTTGTTCATCAGAACCATTCCCGCAGTCATTTTCCCCATCACATTTCCATGAACCAGGGATGCAATGTCCATTTGTACAACTGAACTGCGTTGAGGAGCATGTGCGTGCTGTGGAATGAATAGAAATAGGAAGACTTCTGTAACGGATACTTCAAAAGAGTAATTCACAAAAGTAACTGTTATAGAAAAATAATTTCCCCAAATTTCTTCGACTGTAAAGTACAATACCTTTTTTTTCCCAGACTCATCCAACCTCACTGCCCGAAATGTGGAATCATTATGCATAAACGACTGAATCGCATAGCTGCCGCAGTGATTAGCAGCAATACTTCTCTTCGAGAGGGTGTCATTGCCAGTTACCTACGCCAACCCTCACCCTGCTTCCAACCCCGCCCGCCCGCGGTTACCATCAAGCCACTAGGCACCCTTGCCAGACGAACGATGAAAGATTATTTAATAACGATTCAACATGACGAAACAAACAGAAGAGAACTAGATAAGGTGAAGAAGTGAAGGAATAAATTGTACGGCAAATGAAGGGAACAATGCTTGAAATCTAGTTGACATACTGCTGCAGCTGCTTGGCTCGTCGGATCCGTCTCCACAGTCTTGATCGCCATCACATTTCCAGCGGCTCGGAATACATCGGCCATTGTTGCAAGCGAACTGGGATGAATGGCAGGATGCGGGTCCTACTGTTGTGACTGGTGCTGAAAACAATCACATGGATGTATATTAACAAAAAATACAAGCATGATTCACCGCCAATCATGTCCATGTTGCAGTACCTTGCATACTTCTCAAGGTCAAATATTTTAATTCGTTTGTTTCTTTTTGGGGAAAGAGAGAAGAAGCTGAGAGGGGAGGGAGGGGAGGGAGGGGAGGGAAGGGGATGAGAGGTGAGGGAGGGGAAGGAGGGGAAGGGGTGAGAGGTGAGGGAGGGGTGAGAGGTGAGGGAGGGGAGGGAGGGGAGGGATACCCTCCTTTTTTGTATTGTAGATTGTAACTGACTCTTAAATTGGTTTACTTGAACAGAGCCATATTGTATTAACTGTGGAGTACCATGGCAGCTTCGGTCAAAATTCTGGTTCGTTCGCCCAAGTAACAAATCACCAGTGAGGTTCTGAAGCGTATGCAATGAACATGGTAAATGAGCACTAAGTCAAATACCGTTGTGAAAGGTGATTTATCGAAGGATGTTGAATGTGAGCGTAAGTATACATAGTTTTGCCTCGTGTTTCTTTGTGATCGCAGATGACAACGTGCAGTAGGCATCAAAGAAAGATGCTTTTTAGTTTTGTCACGACCGGGGAACAGAATTTTGAGAACTCAAGGGGAATCGAACCTTAGACATACAGATTCCGTGCTCTGATGACCTCAGTGTCATTAAGCTTCATAGAACTCTAAGGTAAGCTAGGCTTACTATTAGAAGGTAACGTTACGGCATCCCAAGCTATGCGTGGACCCATTACAAAGTTATGTCTGTAATGTTTGCTGGTAACTAAGGTAAATAATATCTCTTTCGGAAAAAAAATTCACCACGCATTTCTACCTGGCGTACATCCCCGTTCATCAGAGCCATCACGGCAGTCGTCGTCAAAATCACAACGCCAACGGTTTGGAATGCAGCGTTTGTTGTCACATGTAAATTTATCTGGTCCACAGGAAGGATACGCTGGATAAAGGAGAGATAAAACACGTAAAAATTACTTACATTATACCAGGCACAATCATATTAGTCATAATGTATTGCGAGGTGTAGTTACTGTTACAATGATCATTACGTCCTTAAGCTTGCTAACCCATTACACCCAAAACTTATTTGGCATATTCTCCATACTGCTCTCAGTACATTTTTAGGGCGCTGACAAGGAGAACTTGTTTAACAATCAAGAGCTTCTTTAGTAAGTGATCACTTCCCTTATTCTCGTGTCCTTAATGTTTGACTCATGGGGTGATATTGAAAGGAAAAATAAGATGCTAATCACTCTCAGGGGTGAATGACAGCCAAGCCGCGGTTTGGTTCCTTTTTTTGCAATACGTGGCATCACCTTCCACTCAAAACTCTTCAACCTCCAAGAGTGACTAGCATCTAATTTTTCCTTACAGTATTATCCTAATGATCACAAACTAAAGACGCTCTGTAACTGTTTAAGACAAATTCTCTTTGTGGACAGCATAGGAAATGTATAAATGAAAGTAAGGAGAATATCCATACTGATGCCATGGTGTCAATCCTTCGGTTCATTCTCATCGCTCTTTTGATTTTCCCTTTCTCGCTAACCTAACATTCCGTGAGTTTCCCTTCACAGTGAGGACTATTCCAACAGGACTGATATTCGCTCCCAGTTTTCTCACTTTTGCCATTTGCCAGTCCTAATACACTACAATCTCCAAATGTACAGAAGTCTTTTTACTGACAACCAATTTCTTTCAGAATTGGATAAAGGTGTCTGCTTTAAAACTTCATAGAAACGAATAAATCTGAACACAAAAAGTAAGTCTTGGGTGGTTTCTCTCGTCAGACAAAGCAAGGCTAGAGTGAACTGGATAAGCGCTATGCAAGCACTGAGGCTGTTATTATCATTATTATTACTATTATTACTATTATTATTGCTATTATTATTACTACTATTATTGTTATTATTACGGCAATGGAAAAAGTTGCCAGCGTAAACATTTCATCTTATAACTTAAAATTTCAGGCCAGCCTTATGGCAGTTTTTCTCATCAGACATATCAAGGCAAATTTCAAAGCAATTGCGTATAGTAAAAGATAGAGTTCCCAGCATAAAATTATTTTTCAAAAAAGGGTCATTCTTACCGCAGTTTCTCTCATCAGACATATCATGACAATCATCATCGTGGTCACACTTCCAGGACGCCGAGATACAACGGCCATTGTCACATGTGAACTGTGTCGAGCTGCAGGTGTCGTACGCTGTAAAACAAAATTTATATGCTTTTATTAGCTTATCTAACCACTTAACATCCAAAGAAAATAATCAAATAGCAATCAATATGAATTTATTATTACTTGAAAAGACGAAGTCTTCACTCATGGAAAACATCAATTTTAATAAGCCAAGGGGGGAATAATACTGGAATTGAAGCACGAGTCCGATGGCATCTTTTACACAATTCAATATTTTTTGTAATCCACCTGTCGGGATTTAACTTTTCAGAAGCGTTTCTATCAATCGCTCTCAGCACTCATGTAAACGTTTAAATTCCTACTGAACACGACACCGTGAATCTAGAAGCATCAGCTAATGGCAGGCTACATAACTGTGGTATCAGTGAGCAAAGGTGCAAGGCCTGCCTTCACAGGGGGGAGGGGGGGGCAGAATGTACTTGTAACAAGAGCTGGCTGATGATTAACATTAACAAATGCCAGCTATTTAGGTATTGTTAAGCAATATTTTAGGTTTAGGATTTCCTTGACTTTAAACTCAAAGTGCAAACTATGAATCCTCAATGGTACCTTAAGTGATGAATGGGGAATAAAAACCCTTAAACTCCGAAGATCTCAACATCAATTCTCCTTACTGTCTAACAAATTTCTCACAAATCTACCGCTAAGAATTCGGAGTGCAATCAAACTGTATCTTCAAGTGGGTATTTTTCTTTCTTCAAATTCACTAACAGATCCTATGCTGGCGTGTTTCTGTTCAGTGACAGATCACAGATGACGTCAAAATGTGGTAAGAACAAAGAGTTGGCACAGGACGCCCAGTCGAGTGAGTCACTGATGTTCTTCCCAAATTTTGACGTGTTCTATGATCTTTTACTAGACAGACGCACGGCAACATACAGATCTACTTGTTTCAAATGATAAAAGGGCAAAATGTGGTCGATGGTGAATTCAGCTACGCGTCTGTCCACAGTTAACCCTTTAACCCCTATGAGTGACTAGCATCTAATTTCTCCTTACAATATCACCCTTTAATCAAACATTAAGGAAATGATCACCAACTAATGCAGCTCTTGATTATTAAACAAATTCTCTTCGTCAGCACCTTGGGAAATGTATGGTGAATAGTATGGAGAATGTGGATACTGATGTTAGGGGGTAAAGGGTTAAGAACCAATCAAAATACGTGTATAATTCAGCTTATCATGCAAATTCTCAAAGTAACTAAGCGTGTTACATACGGCAATTTTGTTCATCAGAATTGTCCCCGCAATCATTGTCATGGTCACACTTCCAGTGGGATGGGATGCATCTGCTGTTGGTACACTTGAATTCATTCGGATCACAAGTGCCAGCTACAAAAGTTACAAAGAATTGATACAACAACATGTAATCGATTGATAATAGATTATCGATCCTCGAAGTTTTCGAAAATCGTAAATCAAGTTTTACGTTTCGAAGATCGAGTTCCCAGGGATTTACATTTGACTATTATTGGGTATTTCTAGGTACAACTAATACGATATTTTTAATAAGAGTGCTTCGATCCAGTTAACTTACAGGTTGACCCAATGTACCTTCATGATACTCCTAAACACAGCTTTTAACGGAGGCAAGACTGGGAGCCTGACTAAATCTTCCCTACGAAATAACGTCGTCACAGTAATGGCAAAGTACTCACTTCTTGTGGTACACTCTCCGTTACTGTCCATGTATTCACCGGTTTGGCATTCACACATCACAATTCCAGACACAGATGTCACAGTTCTCATGTTATCGGGACATGCACAAGCATAGCTGTTTGGTACTGCTAAGCACAGGTGAGTACAGAGTTTGAGCTGAGAGCAAGAGTTGTTACCTGACGATTTAAAACCAAATATTCAGTGTCAGCTTTCACTCCAGAGAGAGGAACTCTATGGATCAATATCAGTATCTAATCATCTACACACCTACCCCTTCCCTAAAAATTAACTCCAACTTGTTATTGGTTGATTGTTGTTGGGTTAGGGGAGGGGTATGTTTGCAGTTCCCCCCATAGTGATTACATTGATTCAATTCTATCGCCAGAAATTTTTTCGGTAAAAACATAAATACAGCAGTTTCTCGAGGCTTGAGCACTTGCTAAAGTAAGAGGACTGTAGTAACTTTAGGACCAGCTACGTCATGGTTTGACCAGAAATTACCCAATTCGTTGAAATAAAACTTCACAGGTGTAACAAATGATAATAATTATTAAGAATGATCCTTTAGGTCGAATTTTGTTCACATAAATGGGAATGGAGCATTAAGTGTGGGGATATTTTGTAGAGAATTTTGTAAGCGCCATTTCGTGATTATAAAGGAAACCGTTACATCATACGATCCAAAATGGGGTCTACCAGGAAATTTATACATCGACATTACTTGAATTCTTTACCTGCTTTTAAACATTTCAGTTGTTTCCCATATGTTCTAATAAGTGGTCATAATACAAGACGTTTTATCAGATGAAATTAAGGGATCCTTAATTACAACCTATTTACAACTACTCGTTTCAGTAGTGTTCTTAGCTGCGAGTATCCCTTAATTTCATCTTTCCACCGCAGTGCAAATATGTGAATTTTCATATATCTAAAATCTTTACGTTTTATCAGTTTAACCCTTTCACTCCCAAAAGTGGTTAAAATGTTACTCCTCCTCATAATATCCATACATTATCCACCAAATTGGTAATGAGAATACTCAAACTTATCAGATAGAAATTATCTTGATCTAACACCAAATTCTCAAAACCAATTTACAAGGAAAGGTAGAGCAGCTAGAGGGGAGAATTAACAACCAGATCTTGGGAGTTGAACGGTTAACTGCACTTTAACTCGTTCCATATCTGAACGCTTCCTTTCAAATCAACAAACGACGAGCCTTACTAACCTATCTGGGCATCTTCGTGGAAAACTTTCACGTCCATAAGACCACGCACACCCGACTTGATAGTCTGCCGAGCACCACCGTCTCGTTTGTTCGCCTTTTTAATCGACTGCGTTGACCAGTCATCCCAGTAGATTGAATCTTTGAACACAGATATCGAGTACGGATGGGGAAGTCCCCTGCTGGTTATTACCTAAGAAACACGGAAATGTTTATGGTCTTTCAGTTTATCTTAATATACAAAATAATACGTACGCTATGACTAAAGGGGGATCGGACAGGGAAAAACATAACTCAAGGTCTCGTGACCGATAGCTAAATATTTTCCGTCCAGCCCGAACTTACTCAGTCAATAAGCGTTTTATCATATGACCATCGTCCGTTCTTTTTCTTACTTTTTCCTCTCAGCCCGCAGCTTGTGGGACCTTATGATTCACATAATCGTGTGTGGCTCTCAAACAAGGATTCTCGACGAAATGTTTTTCAAAGAGAGGGCTGGAGGCGTCGTTACTTTCAGTCTCTCTAGTCATGCGTGGAAAATAGTAAAATTAATTTTGAATTAATCCTGGCCTCCCTCCGAAAAGTGAACGCGACAAAAAAGAAAAAAGTCAGCAACACGGGATACTGTGTGTGGTCTCCCATCTTCGTATCAACCCCAGCTAAATTGGGCTTAATTTCAATGAGGCGCAAAACCACGTTGATAATTACCATATCTGAGTAAGACGACACTCAAGCGAATTTTAACGTGGTCAGACAAAGGCATCCCACGGAATGAAAGTGCACATGGTGAACGGGTTATGTAAGAATGCAAACTAATTATTTTTTAAAAATAACCTGGTGGAAAGTTGAGGGTGGAACTGAGGTAATTCCGTTTTGCGAACTGAGTAAATAAAGTAAATTGGCCACCGTATAGAGTTTTAAAAGCTCACGTTTTGCGCGTTAACCTTCGTCAGAGCGAAAGAGGAAAGGCTGGCGCTTGAAAAGTCCGCCCAAAAAACTCTCTACAGTAGCCGACTTATATTATCAACTCTCACCAACCAAATTATCTTGTAATCCCGCCCCGACGCCGCCTCACAGTTTCTTTAACACTCCCTTTGTTCTTGTGTAGAACTAAGAGACAAGTAACATGCGATAAACACAATTTACCTGTCTGTAACTTCCATCCAAGTTGCTCCTCTCAATTCTATCCTTACCCGCATCAGTCCAGTATAACTTTCGCGCAACGAAATCAATAGCTATTCCGTTTGGCCACTGAAGGTCAGATGATACAATTGCAGCGCGACCCGCCCCCGTCATATAAGACCTTTCTATTTTCGCATGGGTTCCCCAGTCTGTCCAGTACATGTACCCAGCCACAGGATCCAAGACTATGGCCCTTGGACGGTCGAGATTGCTGATAATGACTTTACGGAAACGCCCATCTGCTCTGGAAACTTCAAGCTTCTTTCCAACAGCATCTATCCAATAGATGTTGTCTGCTAGCCAATCTAATGCAAGTCCTTCCACCTGCTGAATTCCACCATGCAGTGTTTCAATTATTCCTGTCAACAGATAAAAGTAAATATAACTCCAGGATGACACTTCCAAAGTGGATCATAACGTTTCGACTACACTGTACCGGTCTTCTCCAGGCATAACGTCGAAGGGAACACCGGATGTGACTACATCGTGAGAAAAACGATAAATAATAATAATAATAGTGCTCGGGGGCGTATCAAGAAAGACACTAGATAGTATTAAAGAACTTGTAGGTGTCAGGGCAGATAAGATCTTACTGGATATGCAAAAGGCAGTCATCTCAAGTACCCTTAACATTGCACGGAGTTTCAAAGTTCTCACTGCGCAGGACCTATGAACTGGCCAAACTTTAACCCATAACTTTTTGGGTTTCTAATATCATTTGAGAATTTCTTTATTTTACGAATTATTTAAGGCTATGGTAATGACAAGCTACGCGATTGCACCTTGTCAATATCTTATTTAAGGAGGCATCCTTACGTTTTACTGCCATTATAATAATAATAATAATAACAACAACAACAACAACAACAACAACAACAACAACAACAACAACAATAATAATGGGATTCAGCAATGGAAATTCCACAAGGAGGTTCTTGTCCACCGTTTCCAGGTCGAATTAGAATTTGGAATCGTTAGTTTTTGTGGAGGGTGTTTCAACCTACCAGAGCCATTGAGAAAAGAACGCTTAATGGTGTCCAGGGTGATGTCGGCCCAATAGATGCAGTTCTGTGCGTAATCATAGTCCAACGCGATGACATTTTGCAACCCACTTCCAAGTGGAATAGTTGTTTCTCTATTGTCGCCGAGTGAGATTCTCCGGATGAACCTTCGTCCAGCGTAAAGTAAGAACTGCGGCTGAGCTGTTGAGTACACACAGAAAGAAAATGAATTATTTGTGTGATACTAATCATTAACGAATAACAAAATACCGCATAAGGCAAAACATCAACGTGACATTAAACACCAAGTGGTAGAAGAAAATGAACTGGTACTCCCCGAGTACAAGCAAAATACACCAGGATCCAATATTGAACCCTTCGCCGGTCACCAAAGCAATAAAGGTGAACGCTCGAGCTTGCGACATTTTGACTTGTAAACCATTCACACCAAACTAGCCCGCAGGGCAGGCGTCATTTTGGCGAGCGACTGCATAGTATTCTCTTGGTCAAAATTATCGCTGCCTTCGTTGGTTATTGCTTTCGAATAACTGTTGGCTCCTAAAGGAGCTAAAGTGCGTCTTTAGTGTGGCTAGGAATTGCAAGTTGATCGAACCTTGTTACGATTTCGCGGTGAAAACTGCATGATGTTCGGAGATATCAAAATTTCGACAAGAAATAAAAACGTTTTATTGTAGGGAAACAAGTCCAAAGATTTGGAGACAAAGTGGGCAAGGTGGGGGCGAACATCCAGTTGTAAATAAAGATTTCCTTACGTCCTATTCTGCAAGAGACCATGACAGCAGAAAAATGATCCTCCATTCCTCCTGAACAGGTATCTCCAGCAACCTTCCGATAACTGGAACACAAATACAAAAATAGTGTAAGTTGAAAAAGTACCATTTATTTGTGGCCTGTATAAGTAATCAAAAACTATTTGTCAAGACACGATGCTGATGCTTTGAATGCTTAAGATGGTTATTAGCTAAATAACATATGCACAATTCAGTAAATGGCATGTACAGCTGAGAGTAACAATCAATCAAGTACATGTACGTGTTAGACGATCACCTGGTTCAGAGAAGCCCTGAAAACAACTGTTGACAGTGACATGTACCAGCGTTTAACCCTTTAGAGTTCCTGGCATCTAATTTCTCCCAACAATATGACCGCTGACCCTTACATTAAGGTCGCAAGAATGAAGGAAATGATCACCAACGAAAGAAGCTCTTGATCGTTAAACAAATTCTCCTTGTCAGCACCTTAGGAAATGTTTGGAGAATATGCATACCGATGTTAGGGTGTGAAGAGTTAAATCAACTCGTACGTAAGTCATCATCAGAACTGGCGCTTCACACGGATAATTAATTCCTCTCGCGTTTCAAAAGTGTCGATGACTACTCGTTCTTCAGCGTTCATTACAAATGTTTATCTAATGTACATTCGAGCGCAATTGAATGAGTGTCGGAAAACCAAAACTTTCAGAAAACCAAAGCAATCACGACAGCCAATCAGAATAAAGAAAAATATCACGAGGAGCAACGGAGAACTCGTAGTGAAAACAAGCCGCTTGACAAACCGCTTGAAGCGCGGGTAAACGCAAGTCACCAAGTCCTGATTAGTTTCAATCTGATTGGTCTAGAAAGTGGCGTGAGCCTTTTTTGGATCAATCAGTGAGCGAAATACAGCAAAACGAAAGCGATCCCAGGGCGTGAAATTGCGCCTAATACAGGCGCCAATGCGACTAAATTTTTCACTTTGGCGACCAAATCCTGAAAGTTAGTCGCCAAATTGGCGACTAGAACGTTTCATCATAACCTTACGAAGAGATACAGTGAATTAAAAAGATTTGCAAAGATAAATCCGCGGCAAACTTCCTCGTTAAGTTTGTTTCCAAAACGTAGCACATACATCTCGATCGATAACTAGACGCCATCTTGGATTTAGATGAGCCTGAACGTTGTATATCATCCATCTTAGTGTCCACTTTGTAGCACGTTAAAGATCTTTTCCCGAACTTAATTTTGGAGGGTCTATCTAGAACGCTGACAGCGTAAAGAAAGATTTTGTTTGTCTTTGAAAATGGCGACCAACTTTTTTTGAATTGGCTACCACTTTGAAGAATTTAAGAGCCAAGTGGCTATCAGAAAAAAAAGTTAATTTCACGCCCTGGATCCTGAATTACTCTCGACATTCAACTTGAACCCTCTTTATTGTACCAGTCCTCATCCCTACATACCCTTTCGTGCGGCGGTAGGTGCTTCCAGGAGGACAATAAGCTGGCATACTTGTAGGAGACAATCCACTGGTTCTGTCAAATACGCACTTATCGGGATTATAGGCGTCAGGGATATATCCCACATCACTACAATTTTACAGAAGTACTTTTAACTTGACGGCAGATACAGTAAAATACATTAACTGGAAATAGTTGCACACTGTGAAATTCTGGAAATGCATCAAATGGCCTGAATACAACATGCAATTTTGCTCTTTATCACCATCATATCTGTGTGGAAAATACTGGATGAGGCTTGTACATGTACTGTAAGCTCATGCACTTCTATTTAAAACGAATGAAAGTTGACACGTCCACAAGGAGTTTCAAAAACAGCTTGGACATGGACCTTAATCAGTGTGGAGCCCTACATGCTTCGCCAGCCAGAAACTTGTTACCTCAGGGAAAAAGTAAACCAGGAACGAAGCGTACAACTTTGCTTCCACACACGCGCCATCACACGAACTGGAGGCTTGTGTAATTCGCACTTAACATGCGCGAAGCTGCTACAAGCGGGCAATACTGTAAGTTAACTAACTCAGGGGTTATTTCCTAGGCTAACCTCTTGAGCAGCTAACTTGACTGGTATTTACTGGAGTTAAATGTGACATAAACTGTGTGCACGCTCTGATGGTCTGCTTTTGGAAAAGAAAATGTTACTCAGCTGTTCATTAGCCCTACCATTCGAAGTCCTCTTTGTCACATAGACAATTCTGAGATGAGATCGGACGGTCATAATCGTAGCCGTTATAACAGTGAGCATGAGAGATACGCCTCTCGTAAATAGTCTTCCTTCCTAACAAACATGTTCCGTTCCGTTCGTCTGATGGTATCCATGGTTTGTAGTCTTTATCTTTCAAGCATGGAGAACCTAACATCAAAAAATGGGTCAGATTAGGAACTGCTCATTATTTATCGCTCAAAATTTACTTGAACCCCCTGAAAATTCATGAGACCAATTCAAATTTAAAGAGGCAAAAAAAGAAAAAGCGAAGAAACTCCCTTTCTAACCCCTAATTTTTTCGATCCTAGAATAATCGGCAGGACAAATGTCACTTATTGTGAAAAATCGTGGAAGATTTCACCGAAGCAAATTGGAATAGTTGGAAAAATTAAAAGCAAAGTCTATTAACCGCAAGTAAGCACCTTCTTTCGTCGCGTTTTAGCTTCAGAACGAAAACCTTGATGTAAATATTTTGTGACAGGAAACAACAGCCCTACCCTTAAATTTTACATTTTGGTAACTTTCAGTAACCATGATGGCAGAAAACAAAAAAAAATTCTCCATGAAAACCCCGGCGCGGTGTCATAATCAGGCTTAAACGCTATGGGGCTATCTGGGGAAAATTTTGAAATAGCTTATGACTAGTAATACATAAATGACTTACCGAGTGCCTTTCTCAAATTAATTTGAACAACAACCCATCTGTGATACCCAGGATATGACCCGTAGAGTGTAAACTCAGCACTCTGTTCACCGGGCTCTGTCAGGAGACCATACACTCTCATCCTGGTACTGTTTAAGAACCTGTAAGTCAACCAGGTCTCCCCCTCATTCCAGCTATAACTAAAGATAAAAAGAAAAAAAACAATGACTTCTTCTTCGGAAAGAAAGCCTGTAGTGCAGGCGTCTTATTAAGACGAGTTAGCGTTACAAGCTCGCAATCGTTTATCCGGCTGGCCATGTTTGGTGTGGAGTTACACTAATAGTGGACAGTGAAAAAAAGACGACAATTCTATTACCCCACCCCCTCCCCTCTCGTTTCTCTTGAACGTCGCTAACCCCCTTGGTACGAAATATTTCTAACCCCAGCCATCCACTGCCGTAAAAAATCAAAGATGGCAGCACTAATTTTCGTTCGTCAAAATTATACCTACTCTGCAAACTATAGCAAAGTTAGAGTTTAATATTGCTAGTTTTAAGATAAACCTTCTCAAAAGCTATTTCAGAATACATTTCTTACAAGCTCGAGTTTATTATGCTGTCTCAGTTAATTCTATCTGATCAGAATTAATTTGTTCTTTACTTACTAAATCAAGTTTGTCAGTCTACTTCTCTGAACCGCGATGAAAATTCCACCATGATCGCCAAGGTTGTACCACCAAAAGGGACGTTTCAGAATCTGAGAAAATAAAAAGTAAGCTCAATACCCTAGAATCCTCCCTTGCTGGTAGTGTTAGTGCCGCTAGTACTAGCGTCGTCAAAATACACTTAAAAGAAAATAAAAAAAAAAAAAAGTATATGTAGCTTAAACAGAAAGACCAGAAAATTTTTAAAATGCCACTCTAGCCATTTAAAATCACAGAAGTGACCACAGAACGAGATCATCTTTGTATTGAGATATCTTACACATAACTTGTACCACAAACTTGTATTTCGCAAATATTTCAAAGCAGGTTTCTTCGACAGCAATGCGTGATTGGTGATGAAATCTTATGCCATCATATCAACCAATCAAAAGCACAAAAAAAAATCATGATTGGGTGATAAGCAGGTTGTATGTGCCGCCCTTCCTTGTATTTTCTTTGAGACTGAATTGGTTTAAGTGATGATGTCTTCAGTTCCGTTAGGCTGTTAGAATTACCATAATATTAGTAAACTCAGCAAATTAGACTTCTACAATGACACATTTAGATTTAATATATTCTATGATGGTGTACGTCTGTCCGGTAACACAGGTAGATTGAGTGTGTCACTGCTGTTCTTGTCACATTTTGACATCCTCTGTGATTTCTTGCTGTACAGACTCGCGGCAACATGAAATTGAATTGTTTCATATAATAAAGAAACTGAAAATTGTTAATAGGGACGTATCTATGACTCTGCCCTCTTACAAGCTCATAAGAAAGAACCAATCAGAGTGTACGTGATGCAGCTTATTATACAAATGCAATTGGTTACCATGTGCCAGTTCAAGCCTGCATCTGTTGACAGGAAGATGTCACTGTTCAGTCTCAAGTTTTTGCCATAAGTACCTGAAAATTTACAATATGGGCATTGATGTTAGTAACCTGAGTATATTGAAAGTCAAAGTAAGACGGAATAGAGAATATTATCATATGACCCGCGTAAGCTCATACAAAACCACAGTGAAAGCGGCGTGTGTAGGGCTGGACAGGCTGACGTGAGCCGGTTCGGAAAATAAAGTTATTATTATTATTATTTTTATGATAACTTTTACAATGGGAGCAAAAAGGAGGTGGAAGTTTACAGAAGAAGGGGATGGTGGAAGTATTGTATATGCAAAATGAGGGGAACAAATATAAGGACAAGGATGATGGTTCCCTTTAACTCCCAAGATCTGATTGTTAATTCTCCCCTCTAGCTGCTACACATTCCCTTGTAAATTAGATATGAGAATTTGTTGCTAGATCAAGATAGCAGCTTCTATCAGAGAAGTTTGAATATTCTCATTACCTGTTTGCTAGATAACGTATGGATATTATAGGGAGAAGTTTCATGTTAATCATTTTTGGTAATTGAAGGGTCAATGTACATGTATTTTAAAACTTGCAGATACAGCACGTGGTTAAAGAAAGAAGACGAGGTGAAAGAGAAAAAAGAGGAATGGAGGAGTATTCACATAATGCGAAATTGAGAAAAACAAAAAAACTGCACTTCAATGTACCTGTCGCCATTATGATGCCTGGGGCTGCAGTCCATGACTTCATAGGAGAGTAGCGGGTGTAGGGGTAGTACTGGCCGAACTTTTGCGACAAGTGCAAAGAACAATTTGGCTGGGAAAGAGATAAAAAGTATAATGATAACACCTTCCAACCAGAAATATACCCCATACATGTGCATGGCCTATTAATGTCCAAAACTGCCAAATGAAGGCAACCAAAAACAGTTCCAGCTTGGAGCCCTGAGTATGTGTACGCCTCTCTTTGGTTAAGACAACATTTAACATGGGAACTGGCAAAGGCTTTCAGATGCCAGTATATTTGATACTTCAACACTACCAAGCCCTAGTAAACAACAACTCAACTACAAGTAATACTCAAAGAACTTTCATCTGGGGAGTGAAAAGATGGAAAGTCTATTGAAAAAGGGGAGTTGTGAGAGAGAGAGAGACTTGAAGTTCTACTAGATAGGAAAGCTTACTAGAGAAATTACATGTACAATATGCATGCTGTATAACAATATCTATTTTAAACAGGAGACATGTGACATTCTTGTCACATTTCATCTTAAGAACTAACAAGGACTCACCAGACTGCAATTCAAAGGTTTATCAAGGTTGTCATATTTAGGAGCACTAACTGGCTGCCACATTCCACCCTTGTCAAATGTTATCTTGGTCATGATACGCCGAGTACCCACTGCACCAACAGTGAGTTGACTTGCAATATACACCCCTCTCAAGCCTTGCACTTTGTGAAGGTCAACAAACGAGAAATCTATGTAGTGCCTGATGCAGGAACAAATCATTCAGAACGAATTGGGTGAGCTTCATGACAGGAGAGTCTTGCAACATCTTTATGAAATCATTGTAGAAACCAAAAACAATGTCTTACCTCAGCCAAGCCGTGGTGGTGTTTGGAGAGAAATACAGCACCCTTTCCAAAGACAAGCTGTACTTACGGCCAGAAGTGCCCGAAATGTAGAGATGAGTAGTTCTGCGATCGTGAGTGACTGCTAGGAAAACTTGATTTTCAGACGCATCGACAACATAGAAATCCTGGTAAGTACATACAAGAACTATATTAATCATAACCATTACAATTTCCTCAAATGTGATTGACACATTAGCTGCTTTATTTTTCACTGATCATTCTGTACAGTTGTTATCGAACAGTTGGCTGTAATGGGATATCTGTTATCGGACAGTTGAAGCAGCCAATCATACTAGTTCCACTAGGCTAAATCCACCAATCACAGAATATAGAATACACTTAACAAATAGAGAAGCCTTGACTGTGCTCTGTTCTGTTGTAAAGCACGCAGGAAGCGGCTAGAGTACGAAAGAAGTGTAGGGGGAAACACGAGACGTAATCGAGTGTTTCTGCCTACTTCTTGAGTAGGAGTTAGCTTCTAACCCTTGAGTGCTCTAGCCGCTTCCTAAGTGCTTTACAACAGAACAGAACACAGTCAAGGCTTATCTATTAGTTTTATAATAAAGAATCCGTTAAATTCCCCAAGAATTACTTTCAATTTTCAAAACAAATTTAATTTCCAAAGCGAACAACAGTGTCGTCAGCATGCTCTATACTCTCATAAAGCACGCTACAATAAGCTAGTCATAATCCCTGTTAGAGTGGTTCAAATAATCTGATTGGCTGTACAAGACTAAAGCTGTCAAAAATGTCAAACCATCAAAGTTCATACTCTGCAATAGTTTACAAAATAGTTCGGAATGTCGAATTTAACACTCTTGCAGTTTCTAATACAGAATCTGAAGGTGAAATGTTCAGTGAAATTCGGCCCAGTCGTAGCTCACAAAAATACGCTCGGAATGACAGCGACGTAAAACTCGGCTGCGGTGACTAATGAGGCCTTCCACTCAACGCATCGGAAAGGTAATCAGAATTAGCTTCTATTTTTCCACTCGAAGGGTAGTCTATTTAGTTCCTGAGGCTTGCTCCATTGCGATGACCGTAGATCGCCATGATGAGCGAGTCGCGATAGACCTCAGCATGATCGCAGTCGCTCCGACACCGTCATGATTAGTATGAATTTTAACAGTTATGCCAGGTTATATTTTTCATCCTTCCTGTTTTGTTTTTGGAAATGAAACTTCATATACTATACAAGTGTTGGCTATGTTTGATTTTTATTACCGTACGTAAACATGCAATCCAACTGAGCGTGAAAACCGTTAAAACTCGGACTGTCTATTTTGTTTTATCTTTGAGGATTTGTCTCTGCTCACGTTACAGTAACCTAACTTATGCACCTGGCATTTTTGCAAACCTTTGCTCGCTTGTTCCGAAATTTCACTGTCAATTAACGAAAGAAAAGCTCGAAAGAAGTCCCGGAAAAGGTCGGACATAGTACAATTTGGCAGATGGCGTGACAACTTTAGCTCAGTTCTATGCTCTATACTCTCATAGAGCACGCTCTTTCAACCAATGACGGTACGTCTATATCCGAACTTTTATTATAAATATATGTAGAGTCCTGCTACTTGCCCTGGACAAAATCAAAATGGCTGTGAGCCACTCAATCCAGAAAATGTAATATGAAGGAGGGTTGAGATGGGGTACTGAACCAAGAGTGACCTTTCACGGAAAAACGTACACTAAAACGTGAGGTTTCAACAAAACCTGAATCGGACCGGATGTGTGCATTCGTTCGGAGGGATAACCTACCCGTTCGGCCTTTATGGCGAGCGTTTTTCATGAGCCGTTCGAAATTAATCATAAACCCGTTCATCCGTCTATGTCAACCCGTTTGAAAATTTTGACAAGCCGTTCAGTCGTTTGCGTGGTCCGCTCGATAATTTTGACAAGCCGTTCAGTTGTTTGGGTAACCCGTCCGAAAATTTTGACAAGCCGTTCAGTCGTTTGGGTAACCCGTTCGAAAATTTTGACAAGCCGTTCAGACGTTTGGGTAACTCGTTCGAAAATTTACGCAAGCCGTTCGGAATACTTAATAACCCGTTCAGCCGTTCGATAGCATCCGTTCAAACGGGTGAGTTACCCGTTTGTTACCCGTTCGGTAGCCGTGCGTTTCACCCGTTTAAAGGAAAGCCGTTAGTGTACGTTTTTCCGAGAGAGGTCACAAGTTTTTTTGGATCAATATTGGTCACTGAGTTCAGTGCTGGCAAACAATATTTTCCCATAACTACATAAACATGTAACAATCTACACTGTATTTTCAGGGTCAGAGAGAGCAATCCTTAAGTTCACTTCAATTCAGCACAGTAACATGACCATACTGTCAACCTTACAATTCATATAGTGTTAGTTCAGAGAATTAAGTACTGGATCAACTAATTATCCCCAAATTGATATCTTCCTTTATTCTTATCACTTATGTGGTTGATATTGTATTGATATTGTAAGGAGAAATTCTGTCTTGGTCACTCAAGGGAGTTAAAGGAATAAACAGAGGGGGGAGATTTCAAATGAAAAAGTTTTTTTTTTAAATCGAGGGGGTCTTAGACTTATCACAGCCAGCAAAATTGAACAGTCATTGTGCACGTACATGAACTAACTGAGAGACAAGAAATATCACTAACCAGTCCTGTAACAACAATCAAAGAGTATTTGTAAGATTCAAACCTGAGATGGAGCATCTGAGGGAATTTCAGCTGGATGGAAATCACTTCGATTCACAGATACCATCAGAGTAAGGACACGACGCCCTGAGGACTAGAAAGAAAAAGGAAAGTACAGCTTTTCACCCAAAGATCTAAAAAATACATGAAGTTCTCCCTGCTCACGGATAAAATCAGCAAAAATTTTGAAACTCTCGCAAAGACAACTTTAAACACTGTGCTTCCAGAGGAAATGAACAAAACTCACTCCAAAATACATGCGCTTACAGTGTGTTCTAGGAATAATTATAACGTAAACAAATTGACTGTACTGTGAAAAATGATAACTACAGTTATATAACATTTAAAAATTAATGGTTGACTTGAAGCACATACAGGAATCATGTTCCCTAAGTTTTGGTGGGACTGAAAATGAGGAGAAGGTTACAAATTAGAACTGACAGCATATGTGGCTGCAAACAATAAACACTTACAGCATTGTATGGTCAGAATCAGGGTAGCCTGCAGAGCAGGTGTAATTTTGGTGAGCAATTGCTTAGAATTTTCTTAATGAAAATTATAGCCGCCATCTTTGATTTTTATGGCAGCGGAAGGCTGAAGAGAGAAAGAGATTTGTACCAAGGGGGTGGTCAACAGTAAAAAGTAGGAGAGGGGTGTGGGTCAGGGAGTGAAGATTACACCTGCCCAAAGTCATTGCTATTTTGCAAAACTCGGTTCACCCAACAGAGTTCCTGATTGGTGTGGTTAAGCTCCAGCTGTCAATCACAAGCCAAATGTGTCATTTGGGCATCATTCAAAGAGAATGATGGGAAACTGAGATTGTGAAGTTATTAGTTTCAAATCCCCTCTTGAGGAAGCACTTAAGTGTCTTTCAGAGTTTAATATGTCTTGTGCAGTAAAATTGGAACCAAAAGAAACAATTTCTACAGTGGTTTCAGGAAAGGATGTACTGGTCATGTTGCCAACTGGCTTTTGGAAAAGCCTGATATTTCAGGTGTTGGTTCTTATGAAAGAAATAATGACAGGAAAGCTTCAAGTGTAATTGTCATATGCCAACTTCAACATATTTTTTATGATCAAATGGAATAAGCATCTTTGATTGGATTAAAGATAGTTACACTCATGGATTGTCATTTAGAGGATATACAGTGCAGCAAATATCAATTCGTATTTGCATCAGCAAGAACATTTTTGTGAAGCCACTTTTTTGTTGATGCCATTTTTTTGGTGATGAAAAAAACAGCCACATCATTTCACCAGAGTATACCACTTTGCACCAAACAAATTATGGCTGGTAAACCTTTGAGTGCAGTTGTTTGTTGCTTCCAAGTATCGTTTATGATCAAATGGGAGAAAATTTGTCAAATAGATTAATGGCAGCTATACTCGCAGCTTTTTGTTTGGAAAATAATTTTATAGAGTGCAGCAAATAATAGCTCATATTTGTGACTACAGAGGAGGTTTTGTGGAAGCCATTTCTCTCCTAGCTGAAAAGAAACTGCCACACTGTTTCACTCATCAGCTCTACACGTGTTTGTTTTTGTCATAAGAGAGTGCTTCTGTGCAACTTATCAGGGGGTGTTTTTCAGGCGTCTTCTTGTCTCCTCAACACACTACATTAATCAAAAAGCTACAGTATACACTGACATGGAAACACACCATATCACACCCTGAACCTGATGTTTGCAGAGATTGTAGAAACATTCGTTTCCAATGACTGGCAAACAAACACCAATATCTCAGTCTGTGTTGTTAATGCACATTAGTTGACCCATTTAAATTAACTACTGTACTACAACTGTACATTCAAACTGGGTAAGAATACTTACTGTGTTAACTTGTGTGGCAAACATGTAGTTATCAATAACTTCAAAGTCCTCAACATGTGTTATCAACAGTGCCGAGAAGTGGGAAAAATAGTCAGTTTTAACCACATTGGAATAGCCACCTGAAAATTGGAGGAAACAAAATTTAACGCGATGATTTTAGATATATGAAAATTCATATATTTGCACTGCGGTGGAGAGATGAAATTAAGAGATCCTCACAGCTAAGAACACTACTGAAACGAGTAGTTGTAAATAGGACCTGAAAAAATTCAGGCCCGTATGGGATTTGAACTCATGACCTCTGCGATATCGGTGCAGCGCTCTACCAATTGAGCTAACAAGCCAACTAGGAGCTGGTCAATGAATTGGGTCCAAATAAACATCCAAGTGAATTCATATATTTGCACTGCAATTTAACCCTTTACACCCTAACATCAGCACAGGTATGTATATCCTTCGTACTATTCTTCATGTATTTCCTAAGGTTCTGACAAGGAAGACTTGTTTAACTATTAACACTTTAACTTCCAGAAGTGATTGACATGTAGCTTCTCCCTATAATATCCATACATTATCCAACAAACAGGTAATGAGAAGACTCAAACTTATCAGGTAAAAGTTTATATCTTGATCTAACATCAAATCCTTATAACAAACTTACAAAGAAATGTGTAGCAGCTAGAAGGGAGAATTAACAATTAGATCTTGGGAGTTAAGGGGTTAAAAGCTTCTTTTAGTTGGTGATCATTTTCTTAATTATCATGACCTCAATGTGTGATTCAGGGATAATTTTGTAAAGAGAAATTAGATATTAGTCACTCTTATGGGTCAAAGGCTTATGTAAAAAGACAGTAAAAAAAAACTGTCTTGATCTGAAATAAATTTTATCCTATTGCAAACATGTATTTTCAAATTTACTCAAAAAGATCGCATAAAATTGTGAAGAAAATTACAAAAAACAAGGGGAATAGGTGCCAGAGGAATAGTTGCTTGTTTGCTTTATGCAATCACTTGTTTCCAGCCCACTACATACTGCACTTTCAAGGCTGTGCTCTAGGAAAATTTTCAGGGCGCCCTTCGGGCACCTAACCATGACAAGTAGGTCACCCAGCCTTCCAGGTTGGTTGCCCAAATTGATTAATCAATAATTAATTGATTAATTAATTAATAATCCATTTTATAGTGGAATCAGTTAATAATTAACCATGAAAATAATAATCATTGAATTTAGCATTTTACTGTTGTTTTATGGGATAGGCAGTATCTCAGTGATAATTATTCTTGCCTGCTTACGTATTTACTGACAATAGACAAGTTTAACTATATTTAGCAGTCACATACTCTATTTTGGCGAACTTGTAATATCATGAAATCCTGTTATAAATTAACCACATACATGTTAAAACCGCTAAGAAAATTTCTTTGAAGACCACTAAAATAGGTTTCGAAACAAAAGGGTTCTTATATTAAAGTTTCATTTTCGTCAAATTTTGATCGAATAATTACAATTGCAAGCGAGTCGCCAAATATGGTGCTGATAAACATCTTGCATGCCACGGACGAAGCTAATTAAATAAACACAAATTTGCATAAAGAATGGTTTCGTTTTATCAATCACGCGCTCCACTATTGAAACTGTTGAAACACAAAAATTAAATATAAGTATCAACCACTTCAATAGAAAAATTAGATCTTCAACACATGCTTGTGCAAAAATCGTGCAGTTTCTCACGGGCAAGTAAATAATTTTTCGTGCTAAATCATGTGAAACAATATTACATAACACACAGCGACAACTTTGAGCATGAACAATTCTTGTTGTTGTCCTGCCAAATATTTTTTAGTTCTGCAAATGTCATCAAATTAGCAAGTAAAATTATAAAATGTTAGTTACAATCAGTTGCTCGCTTTATCGCGTCGTTCAATGGACAAGAAACCTGGGTCATGTACTATATTAATAAACCGGAAGAGAGACCACCGAAGCGAAACAAGACCCATGACCTAACTTAATATTTAACCTAAATGTACAGATCACACAGGCTATTGATTGCACTGCGCTTTCAGCGCTTTTGCTTTTCGGGCTAACGGGAGCCGGGGAGCACGATGGAGTTTCTTTTTGTTCCGTTCCGTACCATTTCTATACGTTTGCTGGTTTCGTTTCAGGTTTTCACACAAGCCGAAATCTATGCACCCGGACGGGCAACCGCTTTTCTTTTTCAGTCGCCCGAGACCAAATGTTAGTCGCCTGAGGCGACCGGGCGCCGCTAGAGCACAGCCTTGACTTTATTCCCTTGCTGACTACTAAAAAAAATACCAAAAATACTGAAAAAAGTACTGAGTTTTGAGGGTCTTGATACTCAACTTGAACATCTTGAAACTTTACTCAAGCTTCCATCCTCACAGTCTTTCAAGAATCGAGGATTGAGAATTGAGGATCAAGGATCAATTTTTGAGGACCTGTCAACCTACTTTTGAGTGGTACTGTACATCTCATAGATCATAGGCAAGAACCACTCAAAATGCATGCATTACTCAGATTATTTTATAAATAAGCATATAGCTGTACCTGCGTACTCTTCCCGCTCAATATATAAGGTGTTGGGATTGTCCCATGGAAGAATGCCCCTATTGTGAAAGATCATACAAAAATATTATGCATGGTTAAAGGCTACATAAAGTATAAGAAAAAACATCACAAGACAAAACAGACTCACCAAAAGTATGTTACAACATTCTCATCTTTCAAGTTCCAAGAGAACCCAAAATCAGCAGAATAGTACAGCTGTGAAATAAGAGGAGTATCTTGTCAGTCAAGTTTTCAAATATTGACCTATCTTATCCCTCGCTCTACAAGTACATTGTACAAGTACCTCTCTGCTCTGGTACTGCTCATCTCTAACCAACTTTTACACATATTGTAAGGTGTACATTAAAAGTAACATAAATTGTACTGTGCTTTAACCATTTCACCCCAAAGACAAAGTTTCCTTGACATAAAGTTTCACAACTTTGTGAATATTTGATGGATATGTGATGGATTTCCAAAATTTGTCATGCAAAGAACTGAAGTAACAACATTTCCACCCCTCCAATCCAAGCACCATTGCAATTTTTCAACTTTTTTTCTGGAATACACCTGGATTGTAAAACTAGTAACACCACAGTAGGCTGTGCTCTAAGAGTTTCAACTGAGGATCTGTCTAAGAGTATCAGTACTTAAAACATTTGGCAGTTAATACATGTTTTATGTTTTCAGTTTTGAGTCAGTTCTCTTATATCTCCTTGATACTGTTAGTAGTTCCTCATGTTGATGTTTTTTAATATATACTGGTCACAAGCTTTCAAAGGGTGTATAGTACACTTCTGAGCATTAGTTGAAACCTTCCCAGTGATTCTGCTGCATAACTATAAAGCATTGGTTCACTCTTTGCACCCTAACATCAGCATTTATATTCTCCACACTGTTTGCTTTAAAATACCAGTGGTACTGACAAAGAGTATTTGTTTGACAACTGTAGGAGCTTCTTAAATTGGTAATTAGTTTTGATCCAAGGGTGAGACTGTCAGGAAAAATCCCAAGCCAGTCACTCTCAGGGGTTAAACCATTAAATTTCAACCTTTTCAACCCTTGGAGTAACCAGCATCTAATTACTCCTTAAAAGAAATAATCATTAACATAAGACGCTTTGATTGTTAAATGAATTCTCCTTGTCTGTACAGCAAGAAATGTATAAGAAGAGTATGGAGAACATGGATGATGATATTAAGGTATTATGGGTGCAGAAAACATACCTTTTTGGCTGATGCATCATAAGCTACAACAACATCTTTAATGGTTGAGTGGAAGGTGATTTCATCTGCAACAAATCCAACACTGCTGTTTATAACAGTCTGACAATCATCTAATGTGCTGTAAATCATCTTGTGCTGTCTGTCAACAAAGAGATACTGAAAGGAAAAAATAAAATTTCACATAAATCACACTATCTGATCCAATCAGTAGATGACACAAGTTACTTAGTACAGTATCTTCATCAGTAGACTCTGATGAAACTTAGCTCTGTACAGACAAGAAAATGTGAACTCCACCAACACTGTAGAAGGTTTTATAGGCCACATCTGGCACAATATAATAGATCACAAATTGAACACAGCTATCAAGATTGAGATGAGTTTGCTCTTTATTCTTATCTTTGCCAAGGGATTTCCTCCAGATTCTCCCCGTTTACAGTATCTACTCTTAAAAATTTCAACCAAATAAACTTTAACTCCACCTGAAAACAGTGGACAAAAAAAGCAATGTCTCAGATGTCCACTGTTAATATCACCACAGGGCTACACAAAACCTCTCTGCCACACCTAGTAATACATGCAGTAACAAAAATGGCCAATTTGACAAAATTTCCTCAAACCAAGTGAATGTCCCACCCTTCACTTACTCTTGTATTATCCAAAGGAGAAGGATAAAACATGTCAATGCGTGCAAATCCATTTGAAGTCCTAAACGAGCCAGTACGATTCACAAAGCTTTGACCATAGTTCCTAGATATCCACACATGACTGTTGCTCCGCGCTGTAGGGATAGGATCCCGCATTAACACTACGATGGTATCCCTGTGATCTCCAGCCCAATGCACATAGGCATGGTAATGACTGTCATTAAACCTAAACTGTTAATAAAAAAAAAAATATATGTAAGTGTCCATAAAAATAAGAGTATGTAACAAAGTATCCAAGGTTTCTTTAAAGACAAAGTTTTAACCCTTTTACTTCCAAGATCTGATTGCTATTTCTCCCCTTTAGCAGCTACACATTTGTATGTTAATTGTTTCAAACATTGGTTTCAAGAATTCAGTGTTAGATCACGATAAAAACTTCTGCCGGATAAGTTTGAGTACCCAGTATTCTTACGACTTGTTTGCCAGACAATGCACGAATTATAAAAGGGAGAAGTAACATGTCAATCACATCTGGAAGTTACAAGGTTAACCCTTAAACTACCAAGATCTGATTTTCAACTCTCCCCTCTAGCTGCTACCCCAATGCCCCCCTCTTGATCAGATCTTGGGATTCAATGGATTAAATGAGGTACTTCAATAAAAGCTGATTACCAACAGTCTGCTACTGCTATGCTGTTGTTTGTTAAGATTTTATTATTTGCAAGACAAACTACATGCTCATGGCTGCATAATTGTTCTACCGTCAGCAGCCACTTACAAAAAAAAAACAATCTGAGTCCTTGCTTGAGCAGTACAAATCTTGTATTTTAAAAAGGTTTCCAAGTTAAAATAATTCCAAATTACATGTAGCTTGTTCAGTATTTTTTCTTTAATTAATCATTTCACTCCCAAGATCTGATTGTTAATTCTCCCTTCTTACTATTACACATTTCCTTGTTAATCAGTTACAAGAAATTGGTGTTGGATCAAGACACCAACTTCAACTTGATAAGTTTGGGTATTCTCATTACCTGTTTGCTGGATAATGTATAGATATTATAGGGAGAAGTTACATGTTAGTCACTTCTGGGAGTTAAAGGGTTAAGGACTGTAAAGTAATGTTTCTGGAACAAAGGAAAATATAAAAGTAGTGTAAAGTTAAATTGAATAATGTCGAAATTACAGCCTTTTCACCTCAAATATATTCAACCACATTAGACAATTGGTTCCAAAGAAATTTAATCTTTTTTACAATTACCATAAAATTCATACTCAGACTATTCAACACTTTTGGCAATTCAACCATGTTAAAAATGCACGAGATAAACTGACCTCAACACAATAAACTCCATTCTGAAATATTAAAACTTTTGCCATTTAAAAGTCTGTCTTTTTTTTTAAGAATTTAGTAAATCGTTACCCAATGTAATGTTCATCAACCCTTCACAAAATTCCACTTTGCTTGCACTCTGTTTTCCTATCTCATCTCTAGAGACAGCGGTTTTTATCCCAGCTTAATGTGTTACCAACCCTGCATGACTCCTTCTAAATTAATTATCAAGTTACATTTCTTTTGTAAATTCTTTTCTCTCACATTTAAATAAACATTGCTAGGCACTCAATGATCTCCCATGCATTTTCTGCTCTGTTTTAATTTCACACCAAGGCTCCTGTTTTGCTTTTAAGGAATTGGTTGTTTAGTTTTTGTTTTGATGTTACATTAGCCAGACTCTAACTCTTAGGAAAAGCCAGCTGCCACTCTCTCCAATGAAGAGAAGAATACTTATAAAATCCAGTTTGAGTAAAACCTACTTGGGGTATGACAAGATTCTACATAATCTAAAAAACAGATTGTTTACTTTGTAGTATTTCACAATCATACTGAAAGTAAAATGATTGAAAATATAAGTCCTCAAAACTTCAGGTGATTAAAACATATGCCATGGAAAGCTTCATTTTGACAGAAATAAATTTTACATTATAAAAGCAGAATGCGTTTTGGGAAATTATTGCTTTATGCAAATACACGTACAGCTGAACAGCACTTTCTTTGACAGGCACATTAACATATAGTTTATAATACAAAGACTGGAGACAATGCTGTGTTTTCGCTGAGCCATGACACTTAATTTTTGTAACTGTTCATTAGATTTGTTTCAAAAGATAGCTGATTGTCAACATACATGTATGCATAGAATTCTTCAACTCTACAGTAACTTTTCAGCCAACAATAGAAACCGAAGTGCAGCTGATAAAGAAATGCGGTGAGACACAACATTACTGATTAATCAAGAAATTCTTTCAAAACATTATGTAATAATTCTTTGGCTATAGGGGCACAAAATATGCTCTAGAATTTTGGAATAAAATGTAAAAAAACTTTGACATGGTGGAGTCTTGATAAGCATTCTGAAGCCTAATCCTTAAAATATGAAATTACATACAGTATGTGATAGTTCAAGATATCAGATAACCAAAACACACACATACCTAGAATAAAATTTCCTTTGTAATAGAAGAACTTGAAATTGTGCCAAACCTTTCCTGAGCATATTGCACCACCCAAGTGTAAGTCAGAGACTGAAACTATAAGATCCAGACTTTCCAGTTAAAGAAAACACAAGATGTGCATTGGATCTTTGAAACATAAACTGGTTCACAGTGTTTATTGACCTACTTACACAAGGGTTGTGCTCAAACCGAGCATAGACACCAAAGGTAACAAACATATTCCTAACAGCAACCTAAAAAACTGTGCTTGAATGAAAGCTTTACGTATTTGAGCATCCTAAATGTTTAAAATGGTCCTCTAGGAACACAGCATCATCAAAAGCTTAGAAGACTGACAAAAGAGTATGATATCAGGGGAGAGTGACATCACAGACTTTAACCAGTTTTATTGCTGTGTGGTCTGAAACAAACTTTAAAACAAACATGTGGATCACTGGCACTGGAAAACGTTTAGGTTGTAATTACCAAACAAGTGCGATTGAAAACATTTCTACCACCAAGTCATGTGATCATTAAACATCATTTTTGTGCACTTTTCAAAACGTCTTAATTAAAGTATTGAATCCAACCGAAAAGACTAGCACTACATCGTATGCAATTCCCTGCCAAAAACTGTCACATGTAAAAGTTAATACAACCAAAAATATTGTGCAGAAGTGCTCTGATATTTTTCCTTGTTGACAATTGCCGCTAAAAAACGGCTTCGGTGCGAAACTCACAAGAAATTCACATACTTGATCAACACTGCACATTATTATCGCCAGAAATAACTCTAAGCTGAACGAGTCTGTACAACAGTGGAGAAATATTATATCACAACCGTTCAGAACTACTGAAAATAAAATTTAGATCTTCAGGTCAAATTCTCTGCTCCGACAAATATCGCTCCAATTTTGATCAGTGAAGCAGGAAGTTCGCATTAAATTTGTTTTGGTATGAACCACACTGTACTTATGCAAAGCTAGCAGATGCAAAAACCTCGACGATCATTGACTCATATATGCATTTTAAAAATGCCCCATAAGTTAAACTGAGCAATAATCTTTTGTTAGAAATGTAAACTATATGGAAGAACTTTAAAGGTGTTTGCATGCAGCCGATGACATCATAGTTTTAATAATTATATTGCTTTGACAATCGCGTATGTACCGAACGCTTGAAAGTCTCTCTACCTCGCCAACACATATTTTCGACAATTATTTTAAAGAATGAAGCATTTTAACAAAAATTCTTACCACGTGAGCTTCGGGATTCATGTCGGGATCCACCGATCGACGAACTCGTCGCAAGAATTCAGGTTCCTCTTGTTCAGCACTGAACCGAGGTGGTTCTTCGTATTCAATCTTCAACAACTTTTTCGAAGAGCCAGGCAGCGGTTGGCTTCTTTGTACGAACAAATGTCTTTTTCTAGGTTCTTCAGCCGCCTTATCCGAAATTCCCCCACATTCTGAGGCCAGGGAGAACAGCAAAAGTACGAAAATTTCCCACACGACCCGCTCCATGTTTCGGTGAGAATGAGACTGAGACTGGTACGAAACGGTCAACCTCACGTGATCATACGTCATTCTTTGCCCTCGCGGCATCGCGCGTGTTACGATGACAATGCAAAACAAAGTCTTATTTTGGTAAAGCAATATGATTGGTGGCGTGCCTTTACAACAGACAATTTCCGGGTCAGTTGCCATTGGCACACAGACATGGTTAGACACGAACAACCTTTGAGCACGGAAACGCAGCTGATTTTCTATTATCCTGGCGTCATTTTTGGCTTCACTCAGCACCAAAATTGATTCAGTGAATCAGTAGGAGACTTACAGGACTACTGAAAAGTAATAGGGCCTATACGACCTTTGAAAAACATAGCAAATAAGATTCCTTTGCTTAGGGCTAGGTCTAAGGTCTTCTAGAAAAGCGCGAGTGTTAATGAGTTGACAAATCAGCACGTACGACCGAGGCCTGCTATAGCAGGTGGTCCCAAAAGTTTGATGTATTCGTTCTAATATCTATTGGAAACATTTAAACAGGCCGGCCCAGTTCAAACTAAAGCTGGTTTAATAGGGGGCCTGTAAGCGCATCGAAATATTTTTAATATATCTTTGGGTACGGGTGATTTGACGCTAGTTAACTGAAATTCTCAGCGCGTATATTCAATAGATATTCTGTTTGAATGAGATTTCTTTTTCAGTATCACCCAGCAAGTACTCCTATCAACAGTCACAAATTTTTCTGCGCCTTACTTGAAACGGCCTTTATCGCTGCCCGTCCATGCGTATCAACGGGCTTGTATCTATTTATGCAGTGAGACGGACCGGCAAACAAAAAAACAGAGTCTAGCACTGGTTAAGATTCTTGGTTCTTCAGAAGCAAATTACATAGGTTATATGATTCTGTAAAGACAGTCGGTCACCCACGGGGAATGGCGGCGTGACCGCTTCATAAGGGTTCCGTTTATTAGGGGTATTATAGAAAACCATAAACAATGCCTCTTTGACCTCTTAACGTACAGAATCTCTTACTTTGGTTATGGAAGAGAAACATGAATTAACAATTACTTGAAATACTATTTTTAGTTTTATTTGAGTGGTTCCGCTTTCTGTGACGGTTCAATACAGGTGGAGGGCAATACAAACAGGCCGTTGGGACTTCGTAAAGGGTGACCACGACCGCTTAATAGAGGTGAAAATTACAGTGATTAAGGGGAAACAAAATAGGGACTTTGACTACTGACCGCTTAATATAGGGTGACCGCTTAATATGGTTCCTCTAAATACAGATTCGACTGTATATCTTAGTCACAAATCATCATACAAGCCGAAGAGGGGCCTCATTAGTACCTCAAGACTTACCAGGATCCCCCTGGCTCGGTTCCTAATCAATTGAGCTCTCTATTCATGTTCGTGTTTCCCAGCCTCCTTGATGGCAGGCTGAGAGGATCTCTCGGCCAAAGGGTCCTGAAAGTAACGTACTGTCGAGGAGACCAATGTCTCCCTTCTTTGACCCCGGAAATTTGCTCGCTAGTTTTATCATTGTTTCCTGGCCCAGCATCATAATGTGTACCACAATTTGTTCTCATGTATCTTCCCGTAAGGCAGCATTACTCTGATAAAAGCCGGAAAATATAATTCGACCATGATTAAATTACTTCTACTCTATCATTCGTGCTTTTGTCTAGAATTGTAGAACCGGTTTAAGCAGTACTGTATTAAGCGGTAATCCCTTATCAAGTGGTCTGTTTTCAAAGTCTTACAGCGACGTAGAAACGAATGAAAAACAGCACCGAACTGATACCACAGAAAGCCGCTCACAGAATGGTCAACAGAATACGAACGCGTGTAAGAGTAACCACTGCCCTATACCTCATAACCAGAAACAGGGCGAGAAGTCTTTCCACACTTATTGTGGTTAATTTGGTCGAGGAAACTCCACAAAATATTCCTCCTGCGATACTGATCGGTATTCCAATAAGATGGCAAATGTTAGGGGGTTTCTGGTATCATCAAATAAGTAACGTGCGGCTGTTGCAGAATGAGACCCACGCAGAGATCTGTGCTCGCGAGACAGCGGAACAACAATTTCGTGGGGGAGGGGGGGGGCGAATTGAACACTTTCGTAAAGCTAAGAGAATGAGAGCATTTCACGTAAATGCAGACATAGAAAAGCAGATATTTAGCACTAACTACAAAAAACACGTGTAGTTCTTTTCGAAACGATGTGTTAATGACGCAAAATTTGCTTGTTTGGTGCTGTGAATTCCATTCCTAAATAGATTTGCCATTTTCGTGTCATAAGAACAGAATGATTTTTTGATATTTCCTGATCTTTTCAGCAAGGACAGTCTTAACTTCCTTAAGCTTCAAGCCTCATTATTCCTTTATTTGGCGCTGTGAGTCCTAATAATAGAATAAACGAATTCATCTGGATACAAAGCTTAATCATGCTGCCATTGAAAAAATTGGCCTTCAAGTTTCAACCAAATGGAAGAAGCTAATGATCTCCAGTAATGATTGGATCATTGAGAATTTCAAACTAAGGGGAAACAAAATACCGATCATGTAATGGCTAAGCAAATACAAATATTTGCATGGTTTGATTCATCTCGATCGTGAGATAATTTATTTCTGATTTGCTGGGTCAAGAGTTAGAACATTCTGCGCGAGTTAGCCACGCAAATGCTAAGACTTGTTTTGACTATTCGCGAGATAAACTATTTCTGATATGTTGTGGCTACACATTTTCAAATTTTCCAGAGGTAGAATGTTCTTGGCAAGCTGGTGTCCTTCCGGATCAAACTGAGGCAAAAATGCCTGCCCTTTTAACTCATTTTCAAGCCAAAGAAATTCACTGTCCATACATATACTTTACCTGTCCTTTACAGTTTCCTACTTGAAGTTTTTCCCTGATTTTTTCCTCTCCTATTGAGGCTAACCCAGCCGGACAAGGATGTTGTATTGAAAGGTGTATTCCGTTACTAAAATTAGCTTGTTATTTGCTAAAATCAAGCGTGATATTGTTTACACGAAACGAGAGGACACGTTAAAGAGTCAAGGAATATGTCAGTTTATGCGACAAGAAAGAGCTTTGTAATTGTTCTGACTATCATTTGGTCAGATTCATCAATATCTATTTATTCCATTTGGAAATAGCTTTCATAGCCATAACTCAGTATACAACCTTCTTTTTTTTTGTTTGGGAGATATGAAAAATCGCTTTTGAAAAGAAAAATCACAATAATACACTTAATACTCGTCATCAACCCCTTTAGGCTGAAGAGGAAGGCCATCAATATCCTAATGCTTTGGTTAGTGATCGGAGATGTCGACCAGGAAAAAATACAGGGTGGTTGTGCTAAACTGTCATTACCAAATTTAGATGTCGTGGCAGGATATTGTTTTAATTGTTCCTAAATCTATACAAAGGTTTCTTGTCCCTAAGATCTGTTGGAGCTTCTTCTTGATATTGGATGCACAAAATTTAACTGCTTTTTAAATTCAATAATTTGCTTTCACGTCCATAGCTTGTACCAACCACTCTGTTAATTAAGATTCATCTTAGGAACGAGTGAAAAGGTGGGGCCAGCAAGGGAAAATTACATTTAGGGAGGGCTCAATCTCAAAAACCCAGCTTACGGATTTTTCCCTCGCCCGCTGTTTTGCACTCCTTTAATAATTTCGGGCCTTGTAAAAGTAAGACAATAAAGATCCTTGATGAAATAAGGTTTTTGAACCGGTGAAACCCTAATTTGGTCTACGGTAAGTTAGTCTTTAGAGCTAAAAGAAAAACAACAAAAAGTCATTTAAAAAGTCATTTACTTTCCTCTTTGCAAGTCCATTGACATCTGTTTTATCAAATCTTTACCGTTTAGTGGCAAGCAACCCTTCTGATGGTGTCTTTTACTGCTTGTCTCACCTCTTGGATTTTCCAGAAGTAAAGAATCGGGTTCAGAGATGAGTTGAACACAACAATAGACAATGCTATGTTATAGACGAAGTCAAGAATTGACGAATGTAGTTTGGTGAAGGCAAACAAAGCAAGGACAATTGCAAGTGGAAGATAGCAAGTCACTAGCGCCATCTGCAATAACAGTGAGAAGGAAACTGTCTTTTTGTATCGAGGTGTGCTTAGGAGAGTTTCTTCTCCAGATTTGTTGGGATTTCCCTGGAGAGTATTGTGTGCCAACCGTCTCTGGTGTCGATTAAAAGCGATATAAATTTTTGTGTAACAGAAAGCAGAGACAATTAAACACAATACCATTACGATGCTAACTAATCCTACAGCGATGTGGTAACTTACTAAAAACAGCATCGAAAGGATAACACAGAAAGCCCACAGTATGGTCACCAGAACACGAACGCGTCTAAGTGTAACCACTTCTCTGTACCTCATAACCAGCAACAGGGCAAGAAGTCTTTCCACGCTTATTGCGGTTAATGTTGTCAATGACATGCCACAAAATATTACACCTGCGATACGGATCAGTGTGGCTATAAGCGGGCAAATGTTAAGGGATTCTGATGTCATCATATAAGTAAGGTAGAAGGGCTGCAGAATGAGACCCACGCAGAGATCTGTGCTGGCAAGACAACAGAATAGCAATTTCGTTGTTGAGCGAACTGAACACTTACGCAATGCAACGAGAATGAGAGCATTCCATGTACATGCAGTTATACTCAAGCAAATATTTAGCACAATAAGAAACAGATGCAGTTCTCTTCCCAACGACGTATTGATGCAAAATTCTGTCTGATTCGTAGTGTGTTTTCCATCCTCAGATAGATTTGCCATATTCTTGTCTTGAGAACAAATTTATTTGTGTTTCCTGAGCGGCCTGTTGGCGTAGACAGTGTTCTTAAAATTCCAAAGGATGCGGATATCTTAAGCAAGATATGTACTATGATCTTCGGTACTAAATACGTTGGAGCTGTGATTTCTAATAACAAGGAAAAGGAATTCATTCAGATACTGGGATAAATCATACCACAATTGAAAAAAATGACCCTCAGATTTCACCAAAATTGAAGAAGCTAATTGAAACCAGTTATGATTCAGCGATCACTTGAGATTCTAAACTGAGCGAAATCAAAATACCGATTGTGTAATAACTGATCTCATGACCACATGCAAATATTTGAGTTGACTATTTGCGAGATATTCCACCTGTGCGGATATGCATGGCTAAAGCGCGTTTGGTCAAGAATTAGAACATTTTAAGCGAGCTGGGGTTCTAGTGGATCAAACTAATGATACTGAGTCTACTGAAACAAAATGACAACCGCTTTTACTCATTTTCAAGCTAAATTACAAGTTCACTGTCCCTAAATAAACTTTACCTGTCCTTTAGTGTTTTAGTTCCGTCCTGGAAGTATTTTCCTACATTTGTTCTCTACTACTGAGGTTAACCAGTCTGGATGAGGATAGTGTCACGAAAGATGCATTCATCTACTAAATTACCTTCAGTGATATGGTTTAATTAAAATCACGCGTAATATTGGTTATCTGAAACAGGATGACGCACAAAATTTTAGGGCCAGAAAAATATGTCTGCGAGACTCACGGCAGCTTTGTAAGTGAGATCAGATACCATATTTAGCCAGATTCATCAATATCTATTTTTTTCGATTAGGATCCTGTTAAATTATAACATTCCTAGCCATTAACTCAGTATCGTACCCTCATTTCGTTAGGACGAAATAAAAATCGCTCGGAAAGAGGAAAAAATCACAGCGGTACACTTTGTACTCGTGATCAAAGGCCAAAGAGAAACTCCACAAATATCTTAAATTAATGTTTTGGTCGGTAAACTGAGATGACTATCAGACAAAAACAAGAGGGTTGTATCATACTGCAATTATCAGATTTGGATATCATGATAGGATATTGTCTTTGAAATATATCCCAAATCTGTAAAAAATTTTAATTAAACCAGGATCTGTTAGATTCTCCTTCCGAAATTGCGTTGAAAACTTAAACTGCATTTTTAGCTCAACAATTTTCCATCTCCTTCATTGCCTGTGACAGCCGCCCGGTTAATTTATTGTAGGGACAAATGGTGGGGGGAGGGGGGGAGGGGATAAATATTGGTGGGAAGCAAATATCAAGAACCCTTGTAGGGTTTTCCTCGTCCGCTCTTTGTTTTTCCTTCAACAAGTGTGAGCCATGTATAAGTGAGACAAGAAAGAATTTAAGGTATGAGGACTCTTGATAAAATAAGTATTTTGAACCTATACAATCCTGAATTACTCCACAGGAAATACGTATTTAGAGCTAAATAAAGACTTCTGGCAAAAAGTCAGGTAAAAAGTCATTTCCGTTTCTCTTTGTTAATCCATGACATCTGTCTCATCCCATTTTAAGCGTTTAGTGACCAACAAGCTTTCTCATTGTGTCTTTTACTGCCTGTCTCACATCTCGGATCTTCCAGAAGTAAAGAATCGGGTTCAGAGTTGAGTTAAACATAACGACCGACAATGCTACGAACCAAGCGAAATCAAGAAGTGACGATCGTACTTCGGTGAAGGAAAACAAGGCTGCAACAATTGCAAAGGGAAGATAACAAGTCACTAACGCCATTTGCAATAACAATGAGAAGGAAACTGTCTTTTTGTATCGTGGCGTGCTCAGGAGAATATCTCCTCCAGGTTTTTTGGAATTTCTCTGGGGGGTATTGTGTGCCAACTGTCTCTGGTGTCGGTTGAAAGCGACATATATTTTCGTGTAACAGAAGACAGAGATAACTAAACACAGTACCATAATGATGCTGACCATTCCTACAGCGACGTAAAAACTTACGAAAAACAGCACCGAACTGATAGCACAGAAAGCCCACATTATAGCCACCAGAATGCGAACGCGTGTTAGAGTAACTACCTCCCTATACCTCATAACCAGCAACATGGCAAGAAGTCTTTCCACGCTTATTGCGGTTAATGTTGTCAACGACATGCCACAAAATATTCCACTTGCAATACTGGTCAGTGTTCCTTGAAGACGGCAAACGTTAGGAGATTCTCTGATCACCAAATAAGTAACGTAGAGTGGCTGTAGAATGAGACCCACACAAAGATCTGTGCTGGCAAGACAGCGGAATAGCAATTTCGTTGGGGGGCGAACTGAACACTTTTGCAATGCAACAAGAATGAGAGCATTCCACGTAAATGCGGTTATACCCAAGCAAATATTTAGCACCACAAGAAACAGATGCAGTTCTTTTCCAAACGACGTATTGATGCAAAATGCCTCTTGATTTGTAGTGTGGTTTCCATCCTCAGATCGGTTTGCCATTTCTGTGTTTGATAACAGATTTATTGGTGTTTCCTGAGCCTGTTAGCGAAGACAGTCTTTTTCAAACTTCAAAGGCCGAGGATGTCTTAAGCAAGATTTGAAAAATTCTCTTTGGACTTCTTTTTATCTGGAGCTGTACTTGTGAGTCCTAACAATACAATAAAGGAATTCATCTACTGAGATACTCAGCTTAATTGTGCCACAACTTAAAGAAAAACTGATGGCCTTTAAGTTTCCACCCAGATTGAAGAAGCTAATTGACTTCAGTTACAGTTGGATCACAAGGGGTTTTGAACCAAACAAATTCAAAATACCAATTCTGTAATAGCTGAGCAAATGCAAATGTTTGGTTTGAATTTTCGCAGACACTTCTAATATGTCGTGGCTGCGCATTTCGTCAAGAATTAAAACATTCTTGGCGAGTTAGGGTTCCAACGAATCGAACTGACCATATTGGATCTACTGGAATAAAAACATCCGCCTGTCAGTGTTTGCTTATTTTCATGCCAAATTAGAAATTCGCTGTCGATAAATTTACCTTAGCTGACCTCTAATGCTTCAGTCCTGTACATCAAGTTTTTTCCTTGATTTTAATCTCTTCTTTTGTGGTCAACCCAACCGGACAAGGATAGTGAACACGAAAGTTGTATTCAGTTATCAAAATAAGTTTGGTATGCGTCACAGTGAAGCGTAATATTGGTTATACGTGACGAAATAACGCAATAAAGGGCTAGAGAAATTAAATTGGTGCGAGACAAACGAGAGCTTTGCAAGTGTTATACCATTTTTGGTCAGATTTACTGAATACCTTCTTATACAATTTAGGTACGGCTTTCATAGCCCTAGCTCTCACCTTCACTTGATAGGGGTCGTTTGAAAATATCGCTCGGCCAAATAAAAAACCGCAGCAATCGACACTTTTTAGTCAAGATCTAAAGGCCAAAGAGAAACTTCATTGATACCCTAAATTTTTGGTTGGAGATCAGAAATGGCGATTAGGAAAATACAAGAGGGTTGTATTGAACTGTCGTTATCATCTTGGATATTGGGGTATGGTGTTGTTTTTGTATTCTATCTCTGTAAATACAATTTTCTTGTCTCTAGATCTGTTGAAGCTTATGCCCAAAATTGAATACACTTAGTTAAAATGCGTTTACACTGCACTAATCTGCTTGTTCATTCATAGCCTGTACCAGTCACTCAGTTATTTTACCATGGGAACGAGTGAAAATGTGGAACGAGCGTTGGGGAAAAAATGGATGGGGAGCTAAATCTCACAAACCCAACTTGCAGATTTTCCCTCGTCCGCTCTTTGATTCTCCATGAGTTATTTACATGCTGAAAATAACTTAGAAGAATTTAAGGTATGAAGGTCCTTGATTGTCATGAGTGTTTGAACCGATGCAATCCTGATTTGGTCCGAAGGAAATACGTATTTAGTGCTAAAAATGACTTCAAAAAGTCATTAAAAAATGATTTGCGTTCCTTGTCAGATATATATTCTAATTTGAAAATAATTCTAGGCTTTTTTTGCAGGGAAAAAACTCTTCAACTCAACATCCGTGGCTCTGAATATAGCTCTATAGCATAATATGCAAATGAAACGTGTTGTGTGATATGATAAACGTTTTCGTAAATTGAAGCCATTTTGCCCTCTAGAACCCTAAATTCAATGAAGAATACTATTTTTCATCAATGACTTTTGGCGGTGAAACTTTGGTCCAGTTTTAGCCTCAATCAAGCCTCGAAAATATCAGTAGCAGATATTGAGAAGGCCATCATAAAAAGCTCCTTGAAAATGTTTCCGAAGTATTGACAAGTCTATGGAAATTGCTATAATATTAAAAGATATTTTGTAATGGTACAGGGTTTGATAGCAGAGTGCTTCTTTTTTCGAAGCAGACGAACTCTACTCACGACAAGAAGAAAAAACCAGCTTTCTGAATTTCAATAGGGGTATAGAATGGTCCCATTCAATTTAAAGGTGCTCGAAAAATATGGCCTTTGCTCGAATTGCTCGCAAAAATTACACGGGTGCTCGCTTGCTCGTGCTCGCAAAATTTTTGCAACTGCTCGCATGCTCGCATTCTCGTTAACATGTGCTCGATTGCTCGAAATTTCGTTAATTCTGCTTTGTAGCTATTTTTTATACATATGTAAACGATAAATCAGTTATGATATGGTTGTAACAAAAAGGTTGAAACATCCTTACCTCTGGCTTCAGTCTTTCTTCAACAGTTCAACCCGTAACTATTTTGGAGGCGCTGTATGTATTATCGGGGAAACGCACGAAGCTCCATGACAAGCATATCGTTTATTGGTTTATTCTTTATCATATTTCATCGTCGCAAGCTTTCTGTTCGAGAGAGGCACAGTTCCGCAGTTCAAATGCAAATACGTGATCTTCCATCTATTCACTTGTTTCTTCACCAGGAAATTCTGATATAGTTAAAGAGTAACTGACGCCAAATTTTTCCCCTTTTTTTTCGTCTCAATACATTCCTCTTAGGTTAAAGAATCCTAAATGGACAAATAAGTGATATATTGTGCGAAACCAAATTTTCTACAAATTTTTTTGACGCTTAATCGACGGCCATTTTGAAAACGGTCTGATCCTGGTCACGTGTGTAAGTCAGTGAAAAGCGTCGTGTCAAAACCTGAAAGTAACAGCCTCGCCCTCGCTGTCTAACCGTTGCTAAAATTTACGAGCGGCAAAAAAATAAGATTTGTTCCATTCTGATATAGGCCACCATTTAGAGACTATGAAATACGAAGTGAGAAATAACAATCGAAACGCGAGGGATCGCATGTCTGTATTCAGAGCCACAGGTAATTTGCACGCCATTCCAAACAGCTGTAAAAAAATACATAATCCAATAATTTTTTCCTCTCAACCATTATCGAGTCCTATACTTAAAGCGATGTTTTTTAGTCCAAGCCGAAAAGTATTTAACTTTAGATTTTGTCCGATGTATAACACTGTGACCTTAGACCCATCGGTTCTGAAGTGAGCGTGACTAAGCGCAAAGTGTTTTTGCGTATTGTGGGAGGTCGTCATCTGGTTTTGTGAACTATACTCTTCTTCCACGTTCCGAAAATGTACAAGATTTATCCTTTCTTTGTTTTTTTTCAATGGAGACTGGTGAGCAGCTAAATACACTGATTTATCTATTAAATCTGGTTGGATTGGGTAAGAGAAAGATTTTTAGGTATGCAGAAGGAAAAGAGACGGCGTGTGGATACACAAAGGAAGACTACTTGCTGTTGTAACTTTTTGTTTATTTCTTTCGACGCGTTTCGTCTCTAATTGAGAGTTGTCCAGGAATGATTACAACGAACATTGAGTTGCATATATAGCATATTCGTGTGTCTAAGTTTAATTAACTTCCAGTGGAAGTGAATAATAACAGAGACATGCTGTAAATGAATGTTACAAGAAACGCCTTGTTATGAGCGTCACACTCGAGCGTTGT